CAGCGTGCGGTCTACAAAAATATCTTTAGCCTAGCCTAACCTAACCACCTAAATATTTTGTAGACCGCACGCTACAGTAGCACCCCAAACTGAAATATATTATTACATTTTGTATGTTTTAGTCGGAATTCAACATTTATGACTAGTCTGATGTAGCGAACAGTGACTTGCGCATGGGAAGGAGAGACGTGTTGAACAGTGGAAAGGAAAGTGCTAGCAAGGAGATGAATAAATGCTAAATAATAAATATAGTATCTTCTGAATGATAGTGGACGAAGAAAACAAACCAGTCACTACACAATATTTTCCTGATGTTTTTGTAGGCATGGTGAACTTTTTTTTCTTCTGAGATCCAGTGCTCTAGGCTTTAAATGTTGCCAATGTTTTTTTTCGTCCTAACTCTTGATGTAAAAACGTGGGAAAAATTTGATATTGAGTTAACACGGATACTAAATACCACCCTCCCTCCTCAATTCGAGTCCTTGTTGGGAGGTGCCCCTTGATTGCTTCATGCAGTGTTACGTCAGAATATATTGCATATCACACTCTAGCTATTTTGCTGATGCTGTTTTGTTATCAATATGCTTTAACAACTAATGTCTTTATACGCGTAACTAGGCTAGTAATTACCTAACACAAACGTATTCGACACAAGTTTCCCTAACCAAGAAAAAAAAAAGAATCAGTGAGAGAGAGAGAGAGAGACATATCAAACTCTATTCACGTAAGGGCCTGACGAGTATTTGATCCGTGTGAAGCAATATTTTAGTATCAAGAAGCCTCATTCACATGCAGTGCGCCGATCTGCTGGCCTGCTCAAGCCTCGCGCGTGGTGGGGGAGGGAGAACCCTTGATCAGTATGGATGACTTTTGGCCCCACCTCACTCGTCACTTATTTTGATTGATTACCTGCCCTGCTGAGCCTTCACCTTACACGAGGTCACCACACCACTCCAGGATTGATTATACTTGGCACGATGTCATCTCTTCTAGTTCTCAGCCATAGTTTTAATCTAAAGGTACTGTATATGCCTGTAATCTAGGACGCGGTTGTTGTTGTTATGTTGGTATTTAAAGTTGCAATGTATAGTTTTATGGTGTTTTATGTTGTATGTTACGGTTTTGTGTCAGTTTTGTGTTGTTATGTTTGACATGTTTTCTTTAATGCTGTTCTTGCTTTTATTTTTTAGGGTTATACGTTGGTTGTATGGTAGTTCTTTTGTTATGTCTTTATGAAGGTTGTGCTTCTAGTGTCGTGTGTGCTGTTGTTATTGTTTTGTGTTGTTGTCTTGTATGTTGTTATTGTTTTGATTATTACTTTATGTTATTATTTTATGTTGCTGTTTTGTTATACACTCGTTAACGTATCACTTATTACAGCACACTATATCTCGGTTGAGAACGACAAATACGGACGGACCTATGTAGTGAAGATTGGTGGGTGGAGGCCTTAGAATGTGATGTACTGCGGTCTTCGCATTACTACCTTTATACTCTTCGTCACTGATCAGCTCGTTAGCCGCTTGGATCTTGTTTACCGCAATGCATTCTAAGCAACACCTGGGGTCGTCACGGCCACATTTGCTTTTATTTTTATCCAGCTTGAATTACAAGGGACGCTAAAATGACAAAAGTGTACTGCTTAAATAATAAGGTAGGAGATACACTCTTCCTATTGAAGACAATACGTAATATTTAATATGCAATGTATATGATGAGGCAAAAAATTTAACATGCCAGTAATGTACCTGGTATAATTCTATTTAGTTTTTTAGGATCAGCAATACATATTAATGTACTGCTTACATTTTACCTCAAATTGTCGATTAGTTGTTACTGATTAGGAAGAACGGCAGATGCTGCTGGAAACAAGCATCTCATGGCTTTGTCAGCTGTCCTTGGTCAAATTGACTGAATATCAATTATTATTATTAACTGCATGAGCACCCATGACAAGCCAAAGACCAAATCGTGTTTGATGACAAGTGGGGTACCACAGGTCAATGTGCTGGGACAGTTATTGTTCGTTTGTTTCATTAATAATATGTCAGATCTTATACACTCCTCCCTACAAATGTTTGCGAACGATCATGGAAACTACTAACAAAAATAGTTTTTCTAATGTATTTTGTGGTGTTTCAAGAGAATCTGACCATTTCTGTTGCAAATGAGCCGTTATGGAGAATTGACACCCCCTCCCCCCGATTACCAACAATATTGGTTGCACAAAGTGGGCAGGCCTTTGAAGTAGAGGAAAATTTTGGGGTAAAAACACGACAAAAACAATGACAAAACGAAACCTCCTAACCAGAGAAACCAGAAGTACCTGACCTAACCTACTAGGTAAGGGGGTTCTGCCCCTTTGGAACCCCCGTTGTGTTGTAAAACTTACCTTAATTAACATATGCTTGAGGATAAAATGATGCTACTTGTAGGAGGAAGTGGTGGAGTATAGTCTTGACATCGTTGAATTAAATGTTTCTTCGTATTGCTAACCCGAAGCACCACACTCTTGGTATGTGTTGTGTATGAATGCTTGTAGCACTTCACAGGCTGGCAGTATACCATAAGTCTTAAATATATCAATTGCAACAGCTTCGTTTTCACATACACGATGAATGATTTGCTAAGCCAAGGAAGGATGCACATGGGTATTACGTGACACAGAGACTAGTCCACTGATCTCGAAAAAAAGACTGGATCGAGCTGGATTGTTTAGTAAGTGCAGCCAGGTTGAAATCTTGGCGGCCATATTGGATGGACCCAAAAGGTAAACAAAGCTGCGGAGATCACTGTAGCCCTTGTATTGGAGAACATCTGAATAACTAATGACAGCTTATATATTTACTGCCAAGAACGGCACTGTGCGGTGGAACTAAACAAGAATCAGTCCTGGATGTAGTTTTAGTTGTATTTATTTGCTTGTTTTACACAACTGAGAAGCACATTTCATGTTAACAGACCTTTATCCACGACCACGCTTTACGCGGATTTGGCTGAATCAGTGAGGCTATCATGCCAAATTTTGCTCGCAAATCCAGGATAATAATCGACGTTGGCGAGTTACGTTTAGAGCAGGCATGACCGGCCCATCTATCTATGCCCTATGACAACCTTTTTTCTGTCTTTGAAATGTCCTACAGAGCAGCGAAAAATGAAAGAATACACAAGTTTCAAGATTTATGTTTGATCGGTATGGACATATTTTAGCAATGAAGAAATACAAGATTCTTAAAACTACAAGGCAGACATTCACATTAGCCTAACCTAAGATGTCTATCAGCAGAGATTTAAAAAAGGTTTCACATGTATGTTTGGCCAAGTTAAGCTCAGACACATAATTGCTACACATATTAGATAATACATCTTTTGGTATCTTCCAGACTTTTTGTTAAATCATTTGTCAGTAAAAATATTGATTCAATTCAATGTTTGTTCATAAGTTCATTTTTTTAATAAATTGAATTCAATCTCATCCATCTTTATCTAGAATATCTTATAATTAATTGTAGAAATTTCCAAAAACGTAATTAAATCTAAAATCCTATATATCTACATTCAGTATAAAAGTTCTTCAAATTAACTTGTTCATAAGTTCATACACACATTTTTTATACGAAACTTTGACCCAGTACTTATAGTTTCTTAAAATTCTCAGTTTCTCATTATGTGAGTACTCAAAGTGTCTTGAGAGTTTCTTAGCAATAAAAGTATAACTTACCCATGAAAAGTCCTTGGAAATTAACGTTTCGTCGTCGTTTCTTCGTCTTCAGTCCCTTCACTATCACTTCGAACGTTTTCTCTTTCATTTCCTAATTTTCTTCGCTTGCTGCACCCGAAAGCACAGCACTGAGTTGCCAGCTTCGCCATATTTGTGTTACATTCAGCTGTAAGCTTTGGGTCCATCCAATATGGCACTGCCCAAATTTTGTTGGCTGCAACTTTGCGCACTCGAGAACAATGGCTTGCTCGATCCAGTCTTTTTTTCGAGATAAGTGGACCAGCCTCACTAGCAGTGAATGGCGGAACATACGCACGTGAGTCAGATGCAATCCGTGTCTCCTGCCCATATGTAAGTTCCTGTGTGAAATCAATGTCCAAAATACTCGAACATTAAAATTTGCAGAGGAAACGTAAAAGAATATTGTGTTTTTTTGGGGTAGGGTGGGGGGGGGGAGTGGGCTTTATCTCTCTATATAAAGTAAAGAGATAACCAGGTAACCAGAGCAATTAGAACACCTGAAGCTGACTAGCTTATACTTTAAACAGACAGGTTGTGATTTAATAGAAGTTTATTAGCACCTCAGAGGACGTTACTAGTGTTCACGCCTATAACTAGTGGCTGCCCGCCGGGTCAGTCTCAGGTTAAAGCCAAAAGTTAAAATTGTGATGGTTCCTAGTGTGAACTTTTAAGACCAGACTTGACCAACACTGGATCCAGTGGATCCCCAGTACTTGCCATCAGTGTGTAACTGCGTGACCTCCCGCTACCGCCCAAACCGACCAGTGAAGTATTGATGGCTTTGTTGGCTATCCTTGGGCAAGACGTGAACAATCACCCAAGCGGCTAAACAAGCCTATCTGGGGCGAAGAAGATAAAGTAAAGAATTGATTTACTGTTCACCGTTGTTTATATGTCCGCACTCTAAATGACCTGTACATTGTTTTTCAATGTATACCCGCGTTGTCTATGTCCATTGTTTTATACCTGCACCACCTATGGCATCGTATTGTAAACCAACAATGTAAATGTAAATTGTTTTAAATATCAGCAATATGTATTTTATACCTGCATTGTCTATATTCATATTAGCTTAATGAAGTATACAATATATGATGATTTTACTGTATTGTATATCTTTAATAATCAATCGCTTAAGTATCCTTGCAAAGCCATGTGAACACAAAGGCAATACCCACTTGCCTTTTCAATCAATGAATTTGAATTTAGTCATTTCTGTACTGTATCATGTTAATAATTGTGTTTGCTGTAATATGTTTTTCTTTAAATAGCAAAAACTGACTGCCAAAAGTAGTAGGGGGTGGAGTGTGGTGTGTGCCGCTGAGCGATGGTCGTGCCATCTGTAAACATTTGCCAAAACAATAACAAATACAAAAATAACTATTTCTCTTCTCCTTTTGTAAGTAATTATGGACTAACACTAGCTAAACATGCATGTGGTTGTGGCACACCCTCGTGGCCGACGGGTGAGATATGACATATTGTGTGCTAACTAAAAAAAAGACCATAATAAGGCCAGCTCCAGCAGACGCCTTTCTTGACGAAAAATAGCCTCCAGCCAAATAGTGGCAGCAGTCACGACAAGTTGGCCTCCAGTCTACCCCTGTTTTAAAGTTGATCGTGTTTGTAACCTACAACCATGCCTAAAAAGAAGTCAGGTATGTAAATTTGTGTTTAGAAATAATAAATAGAGGCCTTATGTTGAAGGTAATGTGATGACAGAGCTGTTAGTGGTGATTTCACAGAGACTAGAGCCATGGATCACATTATCCTGAGAAGCATGACATATAATAAAGGTAGAAATGTTTCAGCACTTTTGGTGATGATAGTATCATACCTTTGTGAAGGATATATTGGGTTAAACTAAAAAATTGACACCACTTAACTTGGATTTGGGGGTTTTCTTTGTATAGGTTTTGTTAATCAAATTCACATGTAGTTAATGGGTCTGTTGTCAAATGCAAAAAATCACAATGAAATTTTTGATGAGATATAGAATATAAGTCATAGCTTCTGTGCCGCGGTGCTCTGGTAAATTGATAAAAGCCTTCCCAGAACTACATTGGATTATAGAAGGAATGAACCTTTTCGTGCTGCTGCTAGTCTTGTGTATATATTACTCATTCCTGGCTAGATCAAGCTGAGTTCAGTGTTAGGTTTTGTTCATATATTAAAGTGACAGAATACATAGAGATCATGGACAGGCTACATGCTGATTCTTAGTACAGTAATCTAAGAGTCTTTATACACTTCAGATGCCACATTTATTACCTAAAAGTACATTCAAGTAATGTACCCAGGAGTCTTAGGAATTTTATCTTTGCAATCAATAAGTTAGATAATTGTAAGACTTTTCGTCTATGCCGTCTCCCTCGTAATGACCTTAAAATTTCCTAACCTAACCGGGGAGCACTGCTTCCCTGACCCCTCCGGCATACATAAGTTGTTTGTGAGGGAAATGTCGTAGAAGAAAGGTGTCTTACATTTGTCTAACTTATTGATTGCAAAGATAAAATTTCTAAGATTTATGTGTTGTCTAAAAGTAAAATAATTCCCAAGCAACGAATGTTATATAAAAAAAGTCCCAGATATTGCTACTTTAATAATGATGTGACGAGGTCAGTACAATGTCTTAATTCTAAAATTTTATGTAATTTTAACCCTATAAGTGTTTAAATAAAGTAAGCTTAATTTAAGAATTCATTAATGATTAAGATAAGTGGCATTATATAATCCCTCAGAATTCCACTTTCCAGAAGGGAAGTTGTGTGCAGTGATTTAAGTTTATCTGTATTTGTGGTTTGAGGAAAAACAAATATTATTCACTGAGAAATGTGCTTATGGGTAATATTTAAAGATAAGGGTCCTGGTTAACGACTACCTAGCAAGTCTCTATAGAAGAAAACGTATTCCTTAACTTAAGAATAAAGCAAATCGAGTGGAGGAATAGCACTTTTTGTATTCAGGTTTTTTCCTTAGATTTTCCTAAAAATAAATACGCTACTACCCGGCCATTTCACGACAACAATAAGTTTGCATATCTGTTGGCAAACAATTCGCAGCAATTGACCGGGGAATGACCGACTATCCTTTCATTCCATACAAACCTACCTAACCAAACCTAACATAATAATAATAATGTAATATACTTCCATCCTAGGATAAGTAGGTTTTGTTGGTTCTTCGTATCTACACTTAATTTGGGTAATTATTGACGACGACGCCGCTGATTTTTCATAGAAAACGAATTTAAAAGTGCCTGCACACAATTTCATTGTTTTATAGTGGATACTGTTGTAGTTATGGAAAATGTGTTAAAAATTGTTCATTTAAATGATCGATTTAACTTAACCTAACTTAACGAAACCTAACCGAATATAACGTAACGTAACCTAACCTTAACCGGTTAATATTGATGACTACCGCAAACATCAAAATAAATAACGCGTCAGGGGTGTAGTTGTCAATATAAACCTAAATTTTAATTGGATCTAATATTTATAATAACATTTGTTAGAAGTGTTTGTGTGTACGGAAAGGATGACAATGATGATGATGCTGTAGTTGCTGAGAAGCCGCTGCAGCATTTACATGTACCGGTTTGCCAAACTAATGATATTATTATGAGAATTTCAAATTTGAGTATTTTTAATTGTCCCTTTTTGGGGGTATTATTCTTGTTAACATAGAATAGAATAATTTAACACTATTGTTTATAAAAAAAAAATTTAAAGTTGCTGCTGCTTCTATTACTTAATGAGAATGAAGCAGAATACGGAAGCGTTCGTAACATATATGAAATGTATGGACTCCTTATGCCTACTTACTACTTAAGAGATGATGTTCTTATGCAGGCAGATGGCACTATCTACAAGAAAATCTTGGGATAAAAATCTGAATACAAAAAGTGCTCTGCCTCCACCTGATTTGCTTTATTCTTGAGGTACGAAATAATTATTATTATTTTTTCATTAAGTGGCCGGTCAACCTGGACCGTTATTCTTAAATATCACTGTACCTATGTTATGGTGCACCTAAAAACCAAGAATGCTAAAAATATGGTGAAGGGTAGGTAATTTTTATCTAAACATATGTATTTTACAGTCAAACCATAAATTACTTTTACCCTTTTAGTGTTGAACAATGTGACAAATCAGCAAAAAATATACAAAGCTCTCGCATCTGGCTTCACATTAGTAGCCATGCTTTCCTTATATGGGAATATGTGGAGCTGGCAGTGACATTACAGTACAAGTATTCCTTTCACTTATCATGATGTAATTTCCTTTTCTGTGTACTTTACTGTAGTCCTAAACTAGTTATGTGTAGTATTGTAAATTAAAGAATACAACTTGAATGTAAACAAGTAATAGCTTATCCATTTTTAATAAATTTTAAATGTGGAATTTGTCATATTTGAAGTTGAACTCGTGTTTCAAATTATGGTTAGAATATTTTGAAAAACAAGTTTAAAGGAAATTATGTCTAATAAACAAGCTTACCAACTCTATCGAGACGACAGGAGAGGTATTGTTCTTATTGAAATACGTTACACCCAGGGATAAGAGTAATATATGGACTGACTGAAATTTTTTTTTCTTCTTCTTCCAGAGAAATACTGTAAGTCAACCACTGCCATGTTGGAACTGTTGATGTTCAACTAGGGTTGCCGGTGACCATGATCTTTCTTACTATTTAATAACATATTTATGTGCATAATCATTGTGAATTTACCAGTACAGTATTTGTTTTGAATATTCTGTACAGTACTGTTTTACTTTTTTTACCATAATGTTACCCAAATGTACAGGCAAAGCTTGCATAACCGAGTATCCTGGCTTTTTAATGTAAGAGCTTTAAACCTAACCTAACCTAGAATAAAATCCTGTTTTGGTGTGTTAAAACAATTCTCCCTTAAATCCAAATTTCACTACCTGTATTAGGGGTATTGTCTGTAGCTCCGTGATCAGTTCTTTGCAAAATGGCTAAGTTTATGTTGATTTCACGTACGATCCAACCTGTTTTATGGGCTCCAAAAATGCAGTAGTTCACCTTTTCCAGCAGAATTAAACTATAGTAGAAAAAATTAAATTCTTAAGTGAAACAAAAGAATTCAAAGAGAAGCTACGTTGAATGGATGAGAACCCTTTGGCTGTAGGTGGTGTGGCACTCCATGCAGGCAGTGTTTTCTCTCATTTAATCCTATATTAAAGCACAGTGCTATCCATTGAATATTTACCTTAAAAGTGAAAACGGAAACAAAAATATGGGAAAAACCTGTAATAGTCATTGATAATGCTCCCATATATAGTAGTACATGATAGAAAATGGTGTTATGCTATAATTATCATCTTAGGCACTATCTGGGTGGTGTTTTTTGCCTGCTAAGACTAGTTCATTGTGTCAGCTGATGTACCTGTGTTTCATGTAGAGTTAAAAAACAAAACGTAAGACATTTTTGGTGTATCTTCTGATGATGGCAAATTTCTTTAAAAATTTAACATTAAAAGAAAATTTTAGGTACACCAGTGATGTGATGATGGTGCAACACACACCGAAACTCGCTTAACTGACGATGATACCTTGAAAAAGATTCTAGATCATGAAGAAGAGGAAGAGGGGGGATATGGTGATTATTTGATTGATGAGGAATGGAATGATCATTTAAGTGAAGTTCTGAGCTTAAGGGAAGTTTACAATAAGTTTAGTGTGTTCATTGGTTTGAAAGGCATGATATGGTTCAACAGTAGAAATACTTTGACTCTATTCTGTGGTTCACATGGTTATAAGATGCCAAATAACACAACGGAAATTTATTTTTTTATTGATTTTTCAAACCAAATTTAAATGAGACTGAATGTGATGCAGAATGTTTAATCCCCATGTCATATGTTATCATTATCTTTGTACTTTCCAACCCCTTCAACACCTCAACAAAAGCTGCCATACATCTTCTCATCTTCTCCTTCATCCTTCTTTTAAGAAAATTGAATTTAGAATTCAGTAACCAAATTAAATTCAGTGAGTCACTGAGTGAATTTTATGAATGGCATGAAAGCATGTGGTATTCATGAGTGAATTTAGCTGCTATAAGTGGAATTGTTTACTTAATGTAGATGTTTCTCTGTCATACCTTCTAAATTGGCAGAGAGGTATAATTAAGGCCAAAGACCGGTTACCTTTGCTTTGTTTTTTTATTTGTTGCTGGTAACAGCACAGGGCTTCTACTGGAAGGTAAATTTGTTCTTTAGCGAGGGTTTACAATTATTTTTATATCTGTCCTGCCACATACGTATTTGTCTTCAATAATTTTGGTAAGTAACTTTGGGAAATCGGTGTGTGCACCCTCAGACGTATAGCAGCTTCTCCTGTCGCTTTAAATTATATAAACCATCATGGGTCTTATGTAATATAATACAGTACAGTGAAACTACCCACAACTTGCATTAATAGGGTCAAGATCACTAGCACTGCCATCTTCCCCCATACAAATTTTTGGGTCTTCATATATGCCCCTTGCTTTTCCAGAATAATGGAAAGGATAATAGGAGCACAATGCTGAACTTGATCAGTGATAATAACCTTTAAGTGTTTAAATATACAGTATTATTTTTTGTGGTAGTTGGCTCAGCTTCCCCCCCCCTCCCCAAGTCATTATTGATATTTTCTGAGCCAACAGCTAGAAACCTCACCCTCTCACTATACTGTACAGCCCTTCAAATAAGGGTAATTTTTCTGGTATGGATGATGACCTTTGGGACATTACTCATTTTATTCTAAAGACTCTGAAGATATGATTACCACAGAAGATATATTGTTCATAAATATAGAGAGGTTATCACTAATATACACAGTGCCTCATAATATACATACAGGTACAGTATATGCTGTATACTGTATGTGCAACATGTAATACTGTGTAAAATTAGGTCATTTTACTAAAATATGTGTAATTTTTTGACATTGAATTTGAGGACTTGATTCTAAGGTCTATTGTAAACGTTTATTTCAAAAATTTTAGTGTGTATTTTCTTATGTTCAGATCCAGTGGTACATTTAACATGTAAACCTATGTAGTGCTGTACATGGTAATGCAGGCCCCCAGTTGTTCCTAACTCGCTTTATTGGGCGACACCATTGTACAGCGTCCATAAAAAACCTAAATCCCTGTGACCTTTTTACATAACTTAACAAAAACGTAAGGATAAATAAGACAATAAAATGCATACACCAATTGATTCATCAAGTGTTTGAAAATAATCACAACCCATCTCCATTGTTCAGATCTGTTTGATCTCCTCCAGGCAAGGTATTGATGATGTGTTTTGTGTTGACAGCTTGTATTTAGGTCCACAGAATTCCCAGGCCACTCCAGCACTCAAATATTCTTGCATATGCTTCGTGATTTTTTTTTTTTTTTTTTTTAAGGTGGCGTGATAAAGTGGAATATTCAAATCTTTTTCCTGTCAAAGTTGAATTGTTTTTTGGGACACACCTTGAAGGAGGTTGTGGTGGGTTTTCTCCATTTCTGCTGAGCATCCTGATTACCCTCCTTCCTCCCAGTGGGTAGCATGGAAGTTGGCCATGATTGAAAGATTGATGCCTGGAATTCAGTTGGGATCAATGTAAATGATGTTACAGTTGCACTCATTTTAATGTGACATCATGACCTGTTGCTTTATACAGTGTTCTCTAGTTTTTGGCTGTCACTTCTAAATACTGTATATATTTTAGGGACTTTGTTCAGACAAGAAGGCATTGATTTGTGAATTAGTCTCTAAAATTGAGGTCTCGTGGGTCTTGGGTTGTTGACCTAGTGGACATTTCATGTGGGTCACTTGGCTCTGGTCTTGGCCGTAGGATTTTACTACAGTCTTCCACTTTTATTCTATTAGTGAAAATATTATAGAAAATTATTGAATTTCTGGTATGTATAAAAAATTGTGCTAAAATGATTATGATTCCTTCAGGCAGTCTACTGTACCGTACATAGGGAAAAGTAAAAGTAGGTAGGAAAGGAAAGACACTGTTAAAAAAAAGAGGACTTAGTGATGTACAAAGGAAATCAAAAGATTGTAGATTGAAAAGAAAATAATGCACTGTACAGAATATTAAAAATGTGCATTATGATGTAAAATCTGAGATATGGCTGAGCCAATGAGCTAATAAATTATGACAGAGAAAGTCAGTTCATTTTTCAATGAATCTGATCATACAGTACTGTACTCTATTCATCAACTGAAATGATAATGTAGTTGTAGAAATATTATGAGAAATACTGTAATTACAAAGTTAATAACAAATAAATAATTAAAGCATTCTAACTTTGTGAGAATTAAGTTTTTTATATTTTGAATTAATATTTATCATCATGTCAGTACAGTATATGGTAGTTTTGCATATGAGTTTATTTTTCCAAAGATGTGTTCTGAGGTCAATCATTTTCTTCCTGTTTTGAAATTTTTTTTATGAATAAACTACACAGTATTATACTGTAACAATAGACTAAATTTTAATTTGTATATATTTCTTTGATTTTATGGGATAATATAATTTTTGCCTATACTGTAACTGTACTGTACAGTATTAAATCAGATGAACTGAGTTATACAGAACGTATAGGGAATACTGTACTGTAACTTAAGAAACAAGTAAAGGATTTTATTTTATATATTATTTTTAATCACACTCTTTGCAGACCACAAAGTGCAGACACAGTCTACAACACATAATTTAAATCTGTTATGTCTTTCCTTGAATGTATTTTCCCAATTTAATTTTGTTTTTATTTTTTCTCCTTTTGTCTCCTTTCCTTACTCCTTCTTCCTTACATCAGTCACTTCCTTTATGTATATGGCTGAGACAAACTCCCTTTCTTTTCACACATTCTATTTTTTGCAGTGCAGGCCAATGGTGACTAGTACTGTACTATCCAACCCAGACTGCAAATTTTTTCTGCAGATACTTCAAGTGATGAATAGGAACAGAAAGTTTTTGTGGGAATTTGTGCATGACCACCTACATGGACATCAGGAAAAAGCATGTATGCTAATATGATAATGAAGATTATTATAATACGTATAAAAGTGTATATTTTATTTAAATTACAGTCAACCCCCGTTTATCCGGACAACGCCGTTCCCGAGGAAATCGTCCGGATAACGAGTTGACCGGATTTCTGAAAATGACTGGTAGGGATGAATTGGCAGCTGTTTTCGGTTACAGATATTCACTATCGGTAATGTACTTTGTATAAGCATATGAAAATTTATACTTATTTTTATTAAATGTTGCATAAGACCTGTTTCATTTTCCCGGTTTGCTATTACAGTACTGTACAGTACTGTATATCATACAACAGTACTGTAATTTGAAAGTGCTGTATCTGTGGGATATAATAGCTTTTGATCCCTGGACACAACTTTACTTGCAATTTCAAATCTCTTAAATTAACATACTAAAGAGTTTTTAGAAATACGACAAAAGAAAAGATGTGTTCTTCAGAGTGCCAGTGTACACTTAAATTATTTTGTTTTCTCTGGGAAAGCCATATTCTAGTTAAAAAAAGTGAAATATTGTAGTATGTTTTGAAATAAAATGGTAATGATTGAAATTTACTCACTGCTTGTATTTATTAATTGGACGCTATACATCACACCTCATGGACAGCAGTAATGTTGGTCCAGGTGTCAGTAAAACACATGTACCATGTGTTCTCTAGCTGTTGTGAGTTTTTGGTTTGCAAATCTTTGCTGAATTGCATGAACAGCCCAGTGTATGCACCCACTTAATGTTGGTTTTCACTGTCACCAGAGATTAGATTTGGTACTACAGTGAAACCTCACTGATACAAACAAATTGTATGGGGGGGGGGGGTAAGAGTCGGCTGACATTGCTAATAATTCAAGTTAAAGGAATAAAATTTACACATGGATAATGTAAGTTAATAATGATGATATCATTAGAGAATAGAAAAATAAATGATTATGGTAATCAGATAAAATGGTAAATATGAACAACAACATGTAAACACAGTGTTCCCACAATACATAAGATGCACCCTTAACAAGTACTGTACTGTAAACTGTATTTGTACACCAATAGCTGGCATCACTACTGGTACTCAGACAAAAACAATGGCTGCTACTGCATTTAGCCTATTTTTTTTCTTGCTGTTACTAAGTGAATGTATCTTGTTAAGGTAGAATCTCAGTTCATGTATAATTTTTGTTTCTTTTATTCACTACTGATTTTGTGATTTACTTAGCTAATATCAACCATTTATGTACATCAAGAGGAATATTCATCATATCACTGATATTATTTAAAACAATACTGAATTTTCTTTCTTGTACTGTATATAGAATGAAGGAATATGAATAAATTATTTTAAAAACTGTTTACCCTCAGTAAACCCCTAAGTACTGTACAGTACAGTACAGTATGTGAAGCTGTGTCACCTCAGAGCAACATGGATCACGGGTAGACTACATTTCATGGTTCCAAACTGTTTTAAGACATTTATTTCATGTTATTCTATTATCATCTTTATTTTTTTTGAGTTGTAATGTTAGCTGTTGGTGTACTTGTTACGTGTACAGGTATGTGTTGTATGCAGTACAGTACTAGCAGTGCCAAATTTAGGTCTGTGGGGGCCTCAGCACCACACTACAATACTGTACTTAATTTTAGTAACATACCCACAAGCCATTGTGTTACAAAAATAAAATGCCCTAAAAAATATTGACTATCCTAGGCTTAGAATATGCGAAATTTATTTTTACCTTAAACCTCTGAGCAAGCAATGGCATATCCTAGCTTATATACATCCCCCCTCTCCCCCAAGGTTGTCAATTACATACAACAATGGAAAAACTAACTAGCCAGTGACATAAGAAATATTAACTTAAGAAGCTAGATTTTTATGTTTTCTTTTGGGTGCCCCAAAAATATGAGTGCCCTGAAAATGTGGGAGCCCCCAGAATGTCGGGGTCCTGTTTGGCTGCACATACTTAACACTCCTAAATCAGGCACTCTGTAGTACAGTAGTAATGTTAGCTCATGGTGTGCTGTACTTGTTACGTATAGCTAAGTGTTGTTTTTATACTAGTAGGAATATTGAGTTTTTATGGCTTTTGCTTTAACATATTTATCTCAAGATTAATTTAATTTTGTCTTATTTAATGGTTTGGAATCTTCTCAGACAGCTGTGTTGTGTGCTAGGCTCACTCTTGATTGGTTATTATCTGTGTTGTGTTAGGGCCTAATTGCTCATGTTTGATGCATAAGCTATCTGTATTTTTCTTCTTATGTTACTTTTTTAGTTTTATGTTTACTGAATGTAAATACTGGTATGTGCACAGATTTAATCATAAGTATGGAAGGACTTTGGAATTTTCATATAAATTTTACAACATTTGTGAGGCCTTGGCTCAGTTTAGGATGTGTTTGGGCAGCTATAATGTAAAGTCATGGGTGAAACTTTCTTTTCATTGCAGTAGCATTTTGCAGAACATATATCTTGATTCATTTAATCTTCATTGTCATGGTACTCTACCTGTATCTACTCTTGGTGTAGATAATCAACATTTTATGACCACCAGGTTTGTGTTGGTATGACCATTTCTCATATCCTGGTGACTCTACCACACTACACCACTATTGTCTGCAAGTTATTTTGGGCTGAGTTTACTTGTTTCTAGTGTTTTTATATAAACTTAAATAATTATTTTTTTGATGAGCTGGTCCTTTACCAGTTAGGTGTGAGTGATCTCTGTCCCCCATAGTTCTTTCCTAACCCTTTTTTCAGTATCCTTACATTCTCCTTGTGAAGGAAAGCATTAGGCTCCCTGTCTCACTGAATCTTGATTATTGCTATAAAACAATAAATGAAGTAAAATGGCAAGGTTTTGATAGCATTAGTAAAGAAGAATGTTCCTTTATATGCAGTGTACACTCAAGCGGTGGTAAACTTTAGAAAGGTGAAGGTGTTCTTGTAAAGCAGTAACTGGGTAGTTGTGTCAAAGGATATTGAACAGTGTCAGCCAAAGTTCTGTTTGTCGTGTTCAATGCTAAACTCATATTTGGCATTAATTTAGGCTTACCAGGTATCCTAAATGTCAAATCTTTCTTCATCCACAAACCTTTACTTTGATGATCTGACATCAAAAATATTGTCATCTATTTTTTAAATTAGTTGAAAATAAAGTTTTATGTCATTTGATTTTGTGTTTTGGCTTAGATAATGTGCCAGAGCTTCCCATTATTTTTGGTAGTGTTAGTATGTATGGCATGTTTGTGTACAAGTGGTTACGTAACTGCTCTTTCTTTTAATAGTACAGTACTGTACTGTGATATTATAGAGCATTTATTTATAACCAAATACAAATAAATTGACATGGTTCATGAATGAAAATAATGCCACAAATTGGAAATGTTTGTAACCTTTTCTATTTTCTATATATATGTGTGTGTGTGTGTGTGTGTGTGTGTGTGTATTTTATCAATAGTTTTGTTACATAATTTTTTTAAAAGAAAACCCCTTTTTTTATCAAATACGGCTTCACACGACTCAAACTGTAATGGCGTCAGTTGTATTGTACTACCGCTATATCTAAATCAATCAGTCATGCCAGGACAGCCAGCCACAAATCATGTCAGATTCCAAGGTGGCAGATTAAAGGAGTTCAACTCGTACATAGCTGCTATTTCTGTAATATTTTGATCTTCCATTTCCAGAGGGCAGTGGTAATAGACCTGTCATGGATAGAATTGGTTAGCCTTTTATGGATCTTTTCTGTTGACTTTTCTTTCCTTTGAGGAAAATATGTTGGTCTCTCTTTACTTATTCATCATAGTATCAGAGATTCAGGTAATGGTGGAAGCCTTTGGCTCTGTACATTTAAAACAGTGTTGAATACCTGCTTCAAGGGAGAGACAAAGAGGGACTTACAGTATTAAGGCCTCTCCCTTTAAGGGGGAGTTTTGATGATTAGAACATTCACCACAGAGCAATGTTTCCCTTTTCTCTGACATCTTCACAGTGTCAATGATTTCGGTAGAGAGAGAATCATTAGGCAAATCTTGGCTCCAAGAGAGTCTAAGAGTAGATATAAATGAGAAATCGTAATAGCCTGAAATTGCATTTAATAATAAGCATGGATTGTGTGATTCAGGTCTTTCCCTCCTCCAGAGGGAGGCTGAGGAGTTGGGAACTGAAGGCCAGTTGAGCCAAGGGCCTATTGTATAGCCAGCCTGGGTGTGGTAGTTTAGACTCAGCTCTCAGCCTTGTGACAGCTGGCTCATTACAGCTGTCCCCAATTTACTGTAAAGGGACTACAGTTGAACAAGGAGATATTCCACCTATAGATTTTTACTTTTGTTGGAATTCAGGTGTACAGTATAGCCAACTCAATGATAGTACACGAGTTACTCAATCTGTGCTTGTAAGATGGAATTTTCAAATCCAACACTCATTTATTAAAACTTTTATTCTGATATGATTCCCACCAAAGTGATGTAGGAGTTTTGTTTTGTTACATGAATCTCTCCACATGGGGATGCAGCACCCTAGTGGATATTTTGCTTGTGTTCTGCCTTAAGGGTTAATGGCTCCATCCCCAGGCCCAGTTCAAGTCCACAAACTTGTTTAAGGTTATATTTTACAAATAGGTTAATCCTGGCTCTTATCAAGTCTGATATATCTGCCACCTGTTGCCAAACCAGGGCCGACATCACAAGGTTGTCACAATCCATGGAGATTAATTACCAGCAAATCAGTGTCTAATGAGCTAGGTCCATATTTTTGGTGAGACAGCTTCATTTTGAGGTCCCCCTGTGTCTTATTTGGGTGCAGCAGAAGGTATCATCCTGTAGGTTTGATATAATGGGGTCCAATGTGCCTCACTGAATGTGTGTTAGAAAGTTAACACAGTCCACCAACCTCTGTACAGCCAACAAGTTGTCATAAGTACAGTACTGTACTAGGAACTAGGTGATAGTTTAAGTCTCCAACTACTGTACAGTATCAGTATGCGTTGAATGTTGTGTTTGGTAAGGAGCTTATTGAGATACAGAATTTTGTAAAGTCAGGTGAATATCTCCTTTCTGCCGGGGTTAGTATTGAACTCACTGAAGAATCTCCACATTTTTTTCTGTATTACAGTGCTGTACTTGGAAAAGCATGCATCCAACAAGTCAGGGGTGTTGAAGTCCAGTGGTGGACAGCAATACAACTGATTAACATTCCCTAACAGCTTCTTTGTTTTAGTAGGTGTATCCAGGTACTTTTTAAGGTGGTGGTTTCAGTGGTCAGTATAATGTTTAATTTTTCTTTATGTATGTACTGTAATTGTATGCTGATTTTCCCCTTGTCAAACCTGACTCATCACACATTGACTGAGGGAACTAAGATTCATTATTTGGAGGATAGTTTTGAAGATGTATGATGGAGTCAGGGTCTTCCACCGGGCATATTGTCCTTTGTGTATAGACCAATACACTACCAGTAGGTCTGTCCTGTTGGCTGAATCACAGCCTAAGCAAAGTTGTGTGACAGGGAGATTCTTAAATTGTGTCAGAGGTTTTGAGGCCCATTGGAGAGTTGGCCATGTGAGTGATTGACTTGAAGGGGGAGTGGTTGAGGTTGGGATTAGATGAATGTTAAAGTTGTTGAATTCTTTGTTTAACTTTTGTGATGAGTTGTTTAGCTCCTGCTCAAGGGGAATTATATTTCCTGCCACAGGTGAAGCCTCCTGTTGATGATTTATTTATTTATTTATTTTTTCTTTATACTGGGGTGTATGGTGTAGAATGTAATATACGTACAGTACTAGTAACAAAATTTTCTGAACTTTCCCCATATGAGACAAGTCTACTAAAAATTATGTACTGTAATTTCCTCTGAAAATTTTATTATCTGAAACACATACAGGCAGAGTATTTCCCATTTTTATTAAGTTTTCTTGCTCTGCTTTAACCCCTTGTACCCAAGGGGTCTCTCTGTGCTGAATAAAATCGTCTGGCATTAGCCAAATAAAATATTAAAGATGCATCCAGTATTGAAGGGGTTAATGTAAACTTCTTTATATTCTCAGATATAACATAATTAGTGTTATAAAATTTCAGAATCTTTATTTACAAACTAAACACTAGAAATTATGGAATTGCTAGAAAACCGGGACAGTACAAGGAAGAAGTTTGGACAGTGCTACGAGTGTGTTGTGAGATATCTTCCCTTGATGCAGTACATATGGGAAAGATGAAAACATTGATGATTAGTTGTAGATGTGAAAATTTTAGTCTAATCTAAAAGAAATGTAGATAGTAAGAATGAGATCGTGTACAAATGAATTTGATTCTTGTAAAGGCAACATAAACAAAGGTAACCTATATTTAGGTCGTTCCAGTTTGTGTTTGACTTTTTTTCTGCTTCATTGAAAACTTATTTACTGGTACTTAGAAGGTGGTGACGTGTGTGGACTCGTCTATCTAGAGAGAGACCAGCATGTATGAGGCACCTTTTGATCCTACACCTCGCTTGTGGTCTTGATATTCCTTGGACATTTTTTTAAATATGACACAGTTCGGTGTTGTTGTAGAGGGGTATCAATTGAAGTTTTCTTTCATTGACCACCCAAGGATACGGTTAGCCATCTTCAAAGCATATTACACGGCTTTATTAGGGTTTCATCGATGGTCTGTGGATTTTTGTTTCACTATTTCAAGTGACACTTCATAAGAGGCTTCAAGAAAATTTTTGTTTTGCTGTTGAAATTTTTCACTGGAATCTAATTTCACATGCTTCAAACCAGTTTCATGGCATTTGTAGAAGCTAGAATCTTCGTCCTTGTGTTTTGGAGTGGTCTTTTGAAAATGAATCTACCCTGTACAGTGGCCTCAGTGAATCGTTGTCCAGCATTTTGTGTTGCAACACATTGTCCCTTCTCAATTCCATGATCAACTAATGCAATAAAGCTGAAGTTAATATAATCACCACGGAATGTTTGTTTGTTCTTGGCAGCCATTGTTGAGTGAAAAAGATGGAGAGGAAAACCGTGAATTTAGTGGACAAGAAAGTAACAAAATTTTTCATAAAAGGTACAAAGTAAAAATATTGCCTTACTCTTCATCACTCGCTCATGTAAGCAAAATCAATAAGCATTCAGCCTATCAAGGAATAAAATATGCAACACGTCAGGGTTCAGTTTCACATCAATTTAAAAAAAAAGAAATTTTATGCAGTACAATGCAGCCACACAGTTATACAAGATCAATGAGTGATTAATCAATTGCAGAAATCTAGTAAGCAGCACAACAGGATGCATTTCTGCATTTAATGTGCAAAACAAAATTTAGTTATACCTCATTTTGGCAAGGTTTGTGGTTAAAACAATTTTCTATAAAAACTATTTTCATTCATCTGTCTATGTCACCACCATTTGTAAATGAATCACTTAATAATTAAATCTCTTATTTAAGAAAACAGCCTGAATTTAGGTAGTCTACAATGTGTCTGAATAGCCAAAGCATTATTTAGTAGAGTATAATGACACAAGAGTGAATAACACTCGGCCATATTGCTTTGTTACTTAAAGCGACAACATCCGCCACTGACTTCTTGACTAATGTTAGCCTATGACAAAACAAGTGATGTAATTAGCATGTTTTTTGGGGCAAACTCGATGCAGGTCAATTCTTAAGTGAAACTGACATGAGCAAAGCCATTTGAACTAGAGAGGTTCTACCATAAAAAGTTCAGGTTCACGGTCACATCATCCAATTAATCTGGTGTTTTCACTACATTCTTTGTAGCCATTATTTGCCTTCCATACTTATACTGTATGTGGAGCCTCTGCCCAGCACCATTTATGAGGTTGGCTCCTCTTAGTCTTATAAAAGTAAAGTGGGTTTTACTTCCCTTTCTGCATGAGCTAAATCTATGGTTTATATTGCTTGCAGCATTCAGATATGACTTTTATTTACTGTAATACATGATGATAAAACAATAAAGGTAACATAATTCTCGCTTGTAGGATGCTAGCCATGAACAGCATTGAGAGAAATTAAAAAACATTGTATATTCAAAATTGACAACAAATGTAGGTAGATTGAATGTTTATCTGTTAATCTGATTCACTTAAGAAGTTAAGTACAGTAGTATGATTTGCTGATGATGGCTAACTGAGATAAGTTGTATTACAGTATATTATGTGGGAGAATAATAGAAAGGAAGTGGGAAGGTCAAGGATTTCTAAACAGAAAATTCGAAATAAAACCCCCAATAAGCCAGACCTCCTTTAACCTGAAATTTGGATAACATGGGTCTTGTGTGACCCATTGAATCTCTTTTGGAATTAAGATGCTGTTCACTTATTTATAGTAAAGTTAGTCCAAACTGCTTTGCCTATCCATATTGATGACACATGATACATCTGAACTGTTTGCATAGATTAGAAAATGTTATAGTCCTTTATGATAATACTATAGTAATCAAAGCAGTGTACAGTATTAGTAGTGGGCATAATAAATGGAGCATCACTTGCAGCTAGCACATTAACATTGTTGCATCACTCTGCCTGGTACTGTATTGATGAAAACATATACTGTACTGTACTGTACAGTAGAACAAAGGAATGTGGGTGTACAGTTTCATAAAGCTAAAAAAAATTATAAAGCTATGAATATCCACAAATACTATCGGAGGAACATACACAGACTTTAATGTCAATACACAGTACAGTACAGTACAGTACAGTATGTACAGTACTACAGTATTGTTGTGCAGCTATCATGAGGTAAGGTAGAGAATCTCCTGGAAAAGGGGTTTATCTTAATTTTGTTAAATGTTAAGTACTGTATAATCATAGTATAATTGTTTTTCTATTTTGAATGTTACTTTTGTGATTTATGTTTAAATTAACTGTTAGTACGTTAATTCTTCTTCATTTAAGAAGGAATATATTAGTCATGTGACCCATGTGGTCTAGTGGTGTGTACAGCTGTTCTGGTTACATAATGATCTGGACATTATTCACTGTGATACCTTTTTATGGTATATTTATGTGTAGCTCTCACTATTACATCACCATGTCAGGTGATGAAGCATAAGTAAAAAAAAATTACAAGAACCTAGCTTAAAGAAAGTCACATACAGTGCATCATTCAGTCACTGCCTGGAGTAGCCACCACTTTACTCACTAGTATGACAGTGTAAATAGGTTGGCTCTTAAATCCTAATTACCATAGTTTTCAATTTGTAATGAAACAAAGATGCAACAGGATACGGTATTGTAAATGTTTACTTTAATGATCTTAAATGGTTTTATTTTATAGCCTGGGAAACAATCTTGGGATATCCAGTAAATTCATATTTTCCAGACTGACCTTTCTCCTAGTTAATCTGGATTATTTAGGGTGTAATGTGTGTTCAATGAACAGATTTTGACAATGTTTGCTTAACTTTTTCTAAATACCTTACAGTAGATATTTTTAATTTGTTTAATTTTACTGTTGTCTAATATACTACAGTTTTTTATTATTATTATTATTATTGTACCATAATCTTTATTTATTGGTTTATTGTGTTTCAGCTGTTACTAACAACAGCAGCCTGGCGGCTGATTTTAAGCCGGGTACGGGGGGTTCTCCCGACTCCCCAAATCACCCCAAGAAAAAGAGGCGCACCTCAAACCCACCGCCCTCAGCACAGGGTCCTCCATCTACTCCACCCAGTCATGAACTAGTACCTCCCCCACTCTCAGGTAAGTGGTCTAATTTACAGGTCATTCTAACTTTGCTGAATTGTCTTATTGGTCTTAAGGTAATTTAAATCTCAATTAACTGAAAAATGTTTAAGTTAGGCACAAGAAAAACAATGTTTTGGAATGAGAGATTGATAAACGTAAGTATCATCTGTGAAAGTGGACTCCCTGCAAAACATTTAAATCTGTACAGAAGTACTGAAAAATCTTTTAGGGCTGGTTTGTTGCAACTGTTGACTTTATTTTGTTAGGTCAAAGTACAGTAAGTCTATGCCATTGGATCAGAATAAATGAATTTGTGACTTGATCATATGAAATGTCTCAAGAGAGAAAAAATCAGATGCACCGTTAGCTGTACAGCAAAGGTTCCCATTAATAACAAGATAAAAGAACTGTTTTATTTTGTTTTTCCAGTCAACCGTTATTATGTTATTATTATTTTATGTAACTGATGGATTGTGGAGTGAATTATGCCCCATTTTGTGTTGAATATGACAGATTCCTCTAATTTCACACATTATTATTTATTAATGGATTAAAATTAGTACAGTATCTGTATTATGCACATCATTATGTCATATATACAACCCAGAATTTTCCTGTTTATTCCACTTGTGATATAATAAGTTTTCTTTTTATTAAGCAGCATTTCATTCAGTTGAGGCTCCATTCTGTAAGTATTATTAAAAGTTGAGTTCCCTTTCAAGTTTGAGTTTGTGTTCAACCTAAAGAACTTGTGTTCAGACAATTTGGGGACAGAGTACTGTAGTGCACTGTAACTGCATTAGTTTAGTATCGTGGACTTAGGACTGTTGCTATCAACATAACCAGATTGTTAGAAGAGTTATCATCAGCATTACCACATAGTTTTAACATGTTTTATATTTTCATGTGCATCTGTATCGTCTAAGTCTATTGCTTGTACAGTTCAAGTTATTTTGGATAGACTGCATGATAAGATTCTGATGTCATTTGTGAAGGAGTATTTAGCATATTAAAATTCAATCCAAATTGAGCAAATAAGTAAAGAATGTTTGGTCCATGCCCAGGTAAATGCTGTAACTGTTGACGAGAGTAGTTAACCTTTCCTTTTGTGTTACTTTTACTTTTATCCTCTTCGCCACTGATCGGCTTGTTAGCCGCAGCGATCGGTCACGACTCTTTTCCTTTATATTCTTCACCAAAAGGTCATTCAGCCGCCCGGGCGATCGGTCACGTCTCTGTCACGCACTGTTGGCAAATACTGGGCATGCACCGGCTCCTGAATGTACCTGAACCCGCTCCAGTGTTGGTCAAGTCTTCTCTTGAAAGAGCTCACACTCGGTGCCGTCACAACACTTTCTGGTAGATTGTTCCAAGAGTTTACAACCCTCACTCCGAAAAAGTTTGCCCTCACGGTTTTCCGGACTTGCGGCTTCTTCAATCTTGAGCTATGACCCCTTGTGGGGCGAGCGTCCGCCAGCTCCAAGTAAGGACACTCAACTGAGTAGTGCCCCCTGAGATGCTTATAAACCTCAACTAGGTCCCCCCTTGCCCGTCTGTAGTATAAGCTAGGCAAGTTCAGGCGCTCCAATCTCGCAGGGTAGCTGAGATGCCGAAGTGCAGGCACCAGCTTGGTGGCCCTCCTTTGAACATTTTCAACCAACTGACAGTCCCTAGCATATCTCGGGGACCAGATGGGGTGACAGTACTCCAGATGGGGAAGCACTTCACTCCTGAAGATCGTCACGAGGGACGGACCGTCTAGATATCTGAACGACCTTCTTATAAGACCCAATAATTTATTTGCCTGATTTACCTTCTTCTCACAATGGCCCGAGAACTTCAGCTCATTGTCAACATACACACCTAGGTCCTTCTCACACACAGTCTCAACTAGTACATTTTCTTCATCCCGTTGGGACATATGGTACGCCTCCTTACCGTTGGTACGCCCCAGGTGCATCCTCTTACACTTCGTGACATTGAATCTCAGCAGCCATTCCTTCGACCATTCCTGGAGCCCACAGAGGTCCTTCTGCAGCTCTTCACAGTCCGCTTGGTTCTTAATTTCCCGAAATAACTTGGCGTCATCGGCAAACATTTGTATGGAGGAGTGTACAACGTCAGGCATATCATTTATGAAACAAACAAACAACAGCGGGCCCAATACACTACCCTGCGGTACCCCACTTGTTACAGGTACAGATGACGATTTCGTGCCATTAATCACCACACATTGCTTGCGGTCATGTAGAAAGTCTTCTATCCACGCTAGGACATTTCCCCGAATTCCGTACCCTTCCAGTTTGATTTTCAGCCTTTCGTGGGGTACACTGTCGAAAGCCTTGGCAAAATCTAGGTAAATATTGTCGATATTACCACCCCGTTCTAGAATATGGGTCCAAATATCCAATACCTTGAGCAATTGTGTCAAGCAAGAGCGCCCCGGCATAAAACCGTGTTGGCAATCTTTTACAAGGTTGTTTCGTAGTAGATGTTCCATCGCTGCATCTCTGATAATACTCTCAAGTACTTTACATATTATGCTGGTCAGGCTCACCGGTCTATAGTTGTTCGTGGAGTGCCTATCGCCCTTCTTGAAGATAGGACTCACATAAGCCACTTTCCATTCACTGGGGACCATTTGTTCATCCAGGCATTTACAAAACAGAATCTTCAGGGGCTCTGCAAGCTCGTTGCACAGCTCCCTTAGCACTCTAGGATGCACCATGTCAGGTCCAGGACTCTTATGGACCTTTAGCCTGGACAGTTTATTTCTAATACCCTCTTCTGTGAACACAATGTGGGTCAGTGCTGTGTCGAACCGTCTGTCCTCAAACGCAGGAAGGTTAGTTGCATCCTCTCTTGTGAACACTGAGGAAAAGAAGCTGTTCAATGCCTCAGCTTTATCCTGGTCAGAATCTGCGTAACTACCATCTTCAAGCCTCAGGTCTGATACTCCTACTCGCGTTTTCAATTTCGACTTTGCATAGCGGTAAAACGCCTTTGGGTTTGACTTGACCTCGCGTGCAACCAGCCTTTGGAACTCCTTTTCAGCCCTCCTACACTCCATCTTTGCTTGGTTTCTGGCTCTTGCATACATCCTCCTGTCTTGCTCATCGTTTGACCCAACCCACGTCTTGAATTTCTGGGTTTTCTTCTTAATTTTGTCGACCGCCGCATGGTTCATGTGTAGGGATCCCCTCGTATTCCTAGAAGCACTGGGTTTGGTCTTGGGTATATATTTATCGATCAAATGGGTCATTTTACTAGTTATGATATTCAGCGTAGTGTCTGCGTTCTTGTACCTTAATAAGTCAGGCCAGTTGATACCCCTCATCTCTTCCCTCATCCCATTGTAATTTCCCTTGTAATATTTGCACCTTGGCCTGGCCTTATCTTGAACTAGGTAACAGTTAAATCTGAATGACAACACTGTATGGTGACTGGTGCCAACTGGGGCAAGGTGTTCCAGTTTGGCCACCATACCCTCCTCGTTTGTTATGATGAGGTCAAGTGGCTTGGGTGTTTGTTCCCCTCTGTAATGTGTCGGGTCTCTCACATGTTGGAACAGAAAATTATCTCTCAGAGTTTCTACAAAAAGAGTAGCAGGATTATTCAAGTCATTCGGGGTTGACTCGTTTCTCCAGTCGATGTCGCCATAGTTAAAGTCCCCCATGATAAGGAGGTGGCTGGGGTTGAGCATCGCCGCATTGTTTATTAAGGTTCTTAAGTTCCTTTGATTTAGTGGGCCACAGTTCGGGGATCTGTAGATACACCCGACGATAAGTAAGTCCCCTCCCTTTAATTTAATTTTACACCACTTGGACTCTTCAAAAACATCCTCTCCCTGTACCCTCGCCTGGCTGGCTCTAAGGTCTTGCCTAGCGTAGATAACCACACCCCTCCTGCAGGATTCTTGAGTTAGGTTCGTAAATGAGTCATATCCAGCAATACTGAACTCACATTCCTCTGGGTCGATTCTCCTGTTCTTGTACAACAGTTCTACAACTCCTACAATATCTGGTTGGTGTACTCTTAGTAGTGTTTCAAACTCCTCCCTCTTATCAAGGAACGTGTCGGTATTAGTGTACATGACATTCAAGCCAGAATTTGTTCTCGGTAACGTCTCTGCTCTTAGTAATAAACCCGCTCCACCCACATTCTCAGAAGCTGCAGCATTTGCTAAGTACACTGTATTTTGCAGGGTGTGGTTAAAAATTTCATTGTTTACACGGCGCTCGTTCCCTCCTGTCCGGTAGGCTGAGCCGGTGCCGCCTCCCGGGTGGGGGGTTGAGTGGGTGGAGGGTGCACTGCTGCCCCCTGGCCCTGTGTCGGCACACTTGTTTCCACTACCCTCCCCCTGAGTATAACCCATGTGCACCTGTCCCCGTTCCTTCTCGACTCCTCCCTCTTCTGCTTCAAGTCCAGCAGGAGCTTCTTGTGCTGTTCCCTCTGCATTACCGTGCGGTCTGGGTGAATAAATACATCTCGAAATGCCTCGCTCCTTGCTAAGTTTTTTGCCTGCCGGATAACTTGCCATTTTTCCTCCTCACTCCCTAGTGTGATCCTGAGGGGGCGAGGCTTAACCCCCTGCTTTTGTCCCAGTCTCCTCACATCCTGAGGGGTTGCTGGAATCTTCAGAACCTCTGTGCAAATATTTTGAAACAGCACCTTGTCGTGTGTTTCCTTACTCACAGTTCCCTCTGCCTGGCTCTCTGGGACTCCAAAAACTATTACATTGTTCCTGCGCTGGAGCCGTTCCTGGTGTTCCTCACATGACATTCAAGCCAGAATTTGTTCTCGGTAACGTCTCTGCTCTTAGTAATAAACCCGCTCCACCCACATTCTCAGAAGCTGCAGCATTTGCTAAGTACACTGTATTTTGCAGGGTGTGGTTAAAAATTTCATTGTTTACACGGCGCTCGTTCCCTCCTGTCCGGTAGGCTGAGCCGGTGCCGCCTCCCGGGTGGGGGGTTGAGTGGGTGGAGGGTGCACTGCTGCCCCCTGGCCCTGTGTCGGCACACTTGTTTCCACTACCCTCCCCCTGAGTATAACCCATGTGCACCTGTCCCCGTTCCTTCTCGACTCCTCCCTCTTCTGCTTCAAGTCCAGCAGGAGCTTCTTGTGCTGTTCCCTCTGCATTACCGTGCGGTCTGGGTGAATAAATACATCTCGAAATGCCTCGCTCCTTGCTAAGTTTTTTGCCTGCCGGATAACTTGCCATTTTTCCTCCTCACTCCCTAGTGTGATCCTGAGGGGGCGAGGCTTAACCCCCTGCTTTTGTCCCAGTCTCCTCACATCCTGAGGGGTTGCTGGAATCTTCAGAACCTCTGTGCAAATATTTTGAAACAGCACCTTGTCGTGTGTTTCCTTACTCACAGTTCCCTCTGCCTGGCTCTCTGGGACTCCAAAAACTATTACATTGTTCCTGCGCTGGAGCCGTTCCTGGTGTTAAGAGGCTTGTTAGGAAAATAGGTTTTGAGTTACGTAGAACTTCTCAGGAAAGCAACCCTCCCACAGCTTGAGGGATGCCTGTACTGTACTGACCTTAAGAGCTTACATTATACTGTATATACATCTGTACTAACCATCCAAAGAGGTGTGCCACAGGGGATGGCCATGTCAGAGAAACAGATGAATTATCGAATAAAAGTCTTTGCTCAGAATGTGCCTACGGTAATTCCCTAATTAGAAAAGAAACTGTCAAATATTTATTTTAATTATTTTAATATGTTGGTACATTTAGATGTGTTGAGAAGGTAACAGTAATATATGAATCCCAACAAGGATGTAAAAATCTTCATAAGTAATTCCATTTTTTAATTCTTCCAGTGTTGGCTTTGTGAGTTAATGTCTGTCGGGTGCCTAGAGTGTTAATCACTTGGGAGGTCTTCAGTTTTTCTCCACACTAATCTGCTTGCTAGGTCGTTATATAATAAAAGGTCTGTTTTATGTTTAGTCTCATCACAAAATGTGGCGAATGAAGGGTGTTGGTGTGTCAGTGACCAGCTACTGTACTTCCTACCACAGTCTCACTAAGTAAGAAGTCACTTAATAGCTGGATTGAATGGTTGTGATCTCCATGGTGCTGTCTCACACTGACAGCTGTTTTTGTGTGATTGAATAAATGTACCATTTATAATGTTCCTTATTTCAAGGATTTGGTCAGACATGCTCATGTTTGAAGTCTTCAGAATTTTCTGTTTCTTTTTTCGTTCCTTGAAGCTAAATACAGTACAATTAAAAGGAAATTACTTGTAATTCCAAACAACACAATTAACAAGTAAATAAAATAAAATTAAGTCCTTAGTATTTGATAAGATAGTACAGTACTGTACATATAAATTTATGAACAATATCCTATACAGTACTGTACATATAGCTGCCAAGACAGTAATGACACTTGTCTTACTTAACACTTAATCTGTGGCTAATGATTCCCTAATCTGCCCCCATATGTACAGAAAATGGAATGCAAGGAACATAAGAACATAGAACATAAGGAGTCTGCAATAGGCCGGTTGGCCTGTGCATGGCAGCTCCTGTCGAGAGTTACTACCACTTTCTATCATCCATGAATCTATCTAGCCATTGATGTTGGCCATCATTCCTACAGGTGACATCCACTGATGATGGTTACCGTTTAAGGGTTAATACCCCCAGTGGTTCATGTTTTGGGAAATTTATATTTTTTCAGTTGTCTTCATTGATTTTCATTACCTTTTATAGCAATTTAATACTATATATTTTATACAGGATCATTTTATATATGGTACACAGATTTAAGCACAATATGAAGTCAAACTTACAGTCAAGGCTTGGTGATACACTCGTAAGTACAGTAGAATATAGAAACAGAAACCTCATTTTAATATTTATGGTATGCCACAAGTAAAAGATTATCATAGAAATCTGAATAATAATGCGGCAGCTTAGGGAAATTCTTGTGTCTTCTCATGTGTGTTGGATGGCGTTTAAAGACGTTAGATCATAGATGAAAGAATTGGGTGGATATGAAGTACTGGTAGTTACTGTGCCACTTAACCTCTGCTGTGTACAAGACTCGAGATGTTTGTATAATAAAGCTGCCTCATAAAAAACTGAGGCAAATCACAATGTTTTTTGGTAATTTCTGCTTTTCACTTCACATTAGTCATTCCATTTTAGAAACCTAATCCCTAGTTTCCACGAGTATAGAAAGCAGGTGGTCCAATACAACTGGCTCTTCCCATTTTCCTTCTTTGTCCTCTAAGAAAACATCCAACCTGAACTTTAACATCTAATCCCACTCTAGTTCATGATTACACTGTATCTATTTGTTTATCATTGAAGCAAGTGTTTGATGTTTGAGGACAATGTTATGGGAAATATTCTGCCAAATTGGTAGACATGAGATTTTGGCAGATAAAATTATTTTTTATTATGTACTGTATTTTTGATTGTGTTGCCTTCATAAGTTCTTTACACAGGTGAGGTATATGTGTGCTTTATAATTTCAGGCTATGGAGATACTATTGTGGCATCAAATCCTTTTGATGATTCTCCATCGGTCTCAGCTCCATCCTCCACCAGCATGGGGCCTGGGCCTGGACCAGGGCCAGGACCTGGACCAGGACCTATTAACCATGGTCCAATGGGTCCAATGAGCATGCCATATATGACTAATATGAATATGAAAAGTATGGGCATGGGAGGACCCATGAACGGTCCAATGGGGGGCCCAATGAATGGTCCAATGGGTCCAGGAGGGCCAATGGGTCCAGGTGGCCCTATGAATGGACCAATGAGTGGACCCATGGGACCAGGTGGACCAATGAATGGTCCCATGAATGGTCCCATGAATGGTCCTATGAGTGGTCCCATGAATGGTCCCATGAGTGGTCCTATGAATGGTCCAATGAATGGTCCAATGAATGGTCCAATGAATGGCCCAATGAATGGCCCAATGAGTGGTCCAATGAATGGTCCAATGAATGGTCCTATGAATGGTCCTATGAATGGCCCTATGAATGGTCCCATGAATGGTCCCATGAATGGTCCCATGAATGGCCCAATGTCAGGTCCAATGAGCATGAGCAACATGAATGGCATGAACATGAGCACTTCTATGTCTGGACCTGGTATGCCCATGACCACTATGAGCCAGATGACCAGCATGGCAGGCATGAATGGCCCCATGCCACCCATGAATGGACCTGAAATGAATAATGGCCAAGGCCCTAACATGGGGCCAAAACCAATGCCCGTCAGCTCAGGCAAGGTCAGTAAACTTATTTGTGTATACAATATTTAGATAGTCACAGGACATTGTATAAACAGTATACATACGGATATACTGTTTTCATATTTTCAGTATAGGTTTGTGTACATGGAGTTAAATTCAAATATTTATGAGAAAGATGGGAGATTACCTTCACTTGCATGAGAATTGAGACATATACTGTATTGGTACAGTATATTGTGACTAGAAAAAATAATTAATTGTACAGATGTGGAAAAGACTGTAAGATGTAGATGGGTAAAAGTCCATCATGAACCAATAGTAATGTATATTGTGAGATTGATCAAGAGTAAATGATCAAACAAAACCCAATAGATTGCCAATAAGACTTGCAGGATCAGTGCACCAGAACACCTCCTAACAAAATTTCCCTTGCCCGGGGAAGCAATCTGAGTTCTTAGCAGGGATACTGTCTTGTCAGGTCAGTGTGAATTACTACATAAGGAGATGGTGACCTGGGCCAGTCAAGGTTTATAAATCAAGCTCCATCCCTGATCTCTCTGGGTGTGTATATGTTACAGTCAAACCAAGTAATCAGGAATTTTTTTAAATGACTGATTTTTTTAAGTCAAATAGCAAAATGAATGTTTCTTTGTTTAATTATTAAGACTAAAGCATGGCAGATTTATCACAAACCTAACCTGATAAACTGGCTGGTTCTCACTGCAGCCCTTGAACAAAGCATAAGGCAAGTCTCTGCTAAGTGATCTGTCAGGGTAATCTTGCAAGTCACATCTCATACTTTCAGCCATAAAATGAGATATCATACTTCAGTACAGTACACTCTCTTAATATTTGATCTATACATTACCAGTACTGTGCTGTACTGTACAGTAATAGAAAGTATTTTTAGTTTTATACTGCATGTCAAGAGGCAATATCCCATTAATATTTAAGGTAGTTAAAGTTGATTTTATAACTTACAATTGCACTGTAGTACTCTTAATATAGATTTTGGTTGAATGTCACTAACTGTCTTTGTGATATTTATTGTGTAAGCATTACTTATCATGGCTATCATTAGTTTTTAACATGAGACACTTAAACTCATGAAGATATTTAGTATTGTACAGTTTTAACATTCTCAGTAGCAGCTTAACATCATATGATACGACTTTAGTTAAATACGTGAACACTAACAAAAGATAGAGTAACTACAGTACAGTATTTTTTTGCGGAGTTGGACCCTAACTAATTTGTTTGAGCCTGGAATTTGACTTAAAACTAAAAATTTGGGCCAATTTCTCCGCCAGTAGGTCCCTGATTCACAAAATAATTTTAGGTTTACCCGCCCGACCAGCCGATGGTCTTCAACCCTCAAAACCCCAATGCTCCGCCCATCTACCCATGTGGGATCTGTCACAAGGAAGTGCACGACAATGACCAGGCCATCCTCTGTGAGTCTGGCTGTAACTTCTGGTTTCACAGGTGAGAATACTATATTGTAGCTCTTTGCACAGGTGAAAATTAATACAATTTATAGCTCCATAGGTGTGATTTAGTATAACTTCTTCAGCATTCCTTTACACCGGGTTTCATAGATAACAGTTATTACAATAGGTAGTAATGCAGGTACAGTAATAGCTTTATAAAATTGCTGCATTTTCTAAGCTATGCTTCTTACAGCATCTGTAGCCTATGGTCAGTTTTGGTTTGGCATATTACAAAAGTCTCTTTTTGCAAGTGAAATTGCTTATAACTGGACGAATTGTTTGAGTAATGGAAGCAGTCATATCCACCAACCAATGTAACTTGCCCCAAAATTTCTTACCTAGATGATTCCTGGCAGCTATAAATACATTATGATAAGTTTTCTTTGTTAACCGTATTATAATTGTACATTACAGTATACAGTACCTTAATCAATGATCCAGGAAGGAATGAATAATAAACAAGTACTATACCATGGGAATGTTATGTTGTATGAAATGTCTGAGTTGTAGGAACATTGCTTATACCGTACATACCAGTTACGCTTCTTTAGGAAAAAATAAAAAAGTCATAGACTTTTGAGTTTTCTAGTAAATTTTTACCAGGAAAAGATTTTTGAAAGGTGTTTACATATTGGTCACTTGAGTCTAGTGTTTAGGGCATAATTTAGGTACAGAGTTTCCTTATCAAGGTGTCACAGTAGGCTTTTGAGGTTGTCAAGGAAAAGGCTGTCTGGTAATTAGTTCTGTTCGTTGTACAGTACAGCCTTATCCCTTGACTGCCTATTATATTTTGTTCATAAAACAGGTATTCTATTCAGCGTACTTATTGTTGTGTATGATGATTATTATTAGATAAGCCAAATTGTAAATTGCTTTTTCTTGTATTTTATCTCTTTCTCTGTCTTTCTCTCTTTCAATTTTTGAAACAATTTTGTCTTGTAATGATTCGTTTTGTGTATTTTAAAACTGTATGGGAGGAGGTGTAACCTGAAATTTGAATTGAGAAATTTTGAATCTGAGATAAATTTGCACATACTGTAAGCATACAGTGACCCCTCGTTTAACGAACACCTCGGGTAACGTAATTTCGATTAACGAACTGCCTTCCATAAGGATCTTCAATACGGTTAACGAAAAAAAATTCGGTTAACGAAGTTCTTACGAACCGACCTCAACATGTTTTCGCTTGCACTGACCGGGCAACCAGCTTTAGTATCAGTCCGCCAATACATTAATCGGTTCTAGGGCTTAAATTCCTTACTATTTTAGTAAATATCAAGAAGTTTATACTATTCAATAATTTTAAAAGTTTATTATTCAATTTTTTAGTCATTTTAACAATTATTGAACATAATTGAAGGCAAAGTGACTAGTTTAATGCGCGGCATCCAGCCTCTTAACACAGCAAACAGGAGTTAGTCTCTCTCTGTTTTCACTGGAGGTAACATCTTGCTTGAGACTCTCTTCAACTAAACACTTTTTTTCTGTGTTTCCAAGCAAATTATTGGTCATTTTGAAATATATTTTACATATTGACAATATATAATGGAGTGCAGTGTTGATTTAAAGAAAATAATCTTGAATTACACCAGAGAGTTAAAATTTTATGGGTGAAATGGCGCCATGGGGTGACTTCTCTTCCACCCCAATGCCTTCTCTTCTTCCTTCTCCTCCACCCCCATTCTAAATCCCATCATCATCATCCAGGAGCCTTCTACATACACACCTCAAAGTAAGTGAACTTTTCAACCATTTTTGTTGAATTTAGGAAATTTTCGGTGAGCTGGAACCAATTACCCAAAAACCCATTGAAACAATGGTTTCGGTTAACGAACGACCTTCTGGAACGGATTGAGTTCGTTAACGGAGGGGTCACTGTACTTGCAACCTCTTACCTGTATAAAGATTTGAATGACCCAGACTCAGTCGTGCTCAATTCTTCCATTATGCAATAAAGAGATACTCCTGACACACCCATATTTTATCACTATGGATGAAAAAAGGAACGTCTATACAGCCAAGTTTAAACTTCAAAAGCTCTCTCCACAACTTAGACAGATGCTTAGAAATGTGCTAACAAGGAAAGCTCTAGCAGGTTGCCACAGTTGGAAGATGAAGGGGAAAAATACTTCTACTGTACAAAAATTGCCAGAATGGACATCAGGTTTCTCGTGGCTCTATTTGAATATTTGCCCTGAAACAAACAGTTATTAGGCATTACAGATTTCAAAGTCCTATTGATGTTTCAGATTTATTAATATTAAGACATGCTTATAGTGAAATCATTAATATTATGATCCCAGAGACAGCATCTTCTTTCCTTTTATTTTGCAGTACGAAAACATGCACTTCATGTAAGTACCAAATGGTTATTCCACAGTAGCTCGTCCTGAAATAGTCGAAAACCTTGTCCTTACATATTTCTCTAAGATATTAAAAGAAATAGTATAGTGTATTGTATGTTTAATGGCACACTTTTAAATGGTTAACCTTATCTTTCAGAGTATGTACGGGACTGACGGAGGGAGCATACCATCTGCTGACTGGGGAAGTGTATGGAGAATGGGTGTGTGACAAGTGCCTCAATTCAAAAAATATCCCGTTAGTTAAGTTTAAACCATGAGGGCGTGTCATGGATATGTAAAGAGATCAGTGAGATGAGCACATTTTAACAGAAAGATCAACTTCATAAAAAGTTGTATTCAGAATTTTAAGTCTTCCTCAAGCCTCTACTTCAGCTCATCTTTGCTGATCCCTTCACATATACCACAATGAGTCTACGTTTTGTTGGTTATGTTCAAAGTTCATATGACATTTTCAGTTATCTGTACTTTAAAACTCCTAGGGTCTTAGGCCAACTACATGATTACAGTATTTGTTAATAATGTAGATGGCAACCCAGTTCAAGTTGCCATAACAGTGACTGAGTACCTGTCATCATAACAGATTACTTCAGCAGTATAAGACTGGTCCTAATAAACCATCAGTATCAAGAACCAGTGACTTATGTCTCCTGAAATCTTACAGCATATCCAGATTTATCCAGACTGCCTCACTTTTTTCTTGTTTTGTGCAAAGTTGGTTTGTCTTGTCCTAAACAGCCAGAGGTGTTGTGGTAGAAGGATGGTGTGTTGTTTGTGGCTGATACGTGTTTACACTCAATTATACCTTTACTTTCTATTGACCAGACCTCTCTTGAATCCTTTGACTCACTTGTTGACAAGAAGTCGCCATAAAATAAATACAGGCATCCCTCGTTTAGGGTAGCTAATGCGTTCCTGAACAGTGGCTTCTTAAACGAAAATGCACAAAGCAAAATGTGTATTCCCATTGGAAAAAAAAATCTGACCTGTAAGCTTTTAAGTCATGTTTTATGATGTCAGTTAGAGACTCTAACATAAGAGTACAGTATACAAATCATTTTAAAGAAACTGTACTTAAGGAAATTTTTTTTTTTTATGCCCATGCTAATGACATTCAGGCCTTTTGTCTTCAGTACTGTAGATGTAACTAAGCCCACTGAACTATCAATGTCTGTTACATGGTCACCTTACCAAGATGCCAAAGCACATTTAAGTTCACTTCTGAAGTGATAGAGTTCCTTTTAGCAGCAAGAGGAGTGGAAGGCTCTCTTTGCATAGACATGATTAGGGTTAAGTTTACTATTCCAATACTTTGTAATTGATGACAATTACTTTATAGTATAGTAGTAGCTGTATTTATGCAAAACATTGCTTTAAGTATTGTATGCAGTACTGTATATAAATTCCTAGTACAGTATTGTACACTACTTGTATTTGAACAGAACGAAGCTTCCACCTGGAGACCACAAGGTAAACTGACTGACCTTGTGGTTGGACACATACTGTATCACTTATGCACAGTTGCATTGGGGACTCCCTTTTTTTTATTCTAAACCATGGCAAGCTGTGCTCAACGAAAATATGCTACTGTACGTGGGAAGTACTTAAAATAAAAAGAACTGAAAAACAGAAATGTGTCACTCAAAAGAACTCTAAACTGAGGATTTGTGTACTGTGGGTTTGTTCTTTATCTAATGATTCTATGTTGAGTGGATCAGGAAGTTTTATTGATCTTTGTTAATGTTTTCTTCGGATTCATATATTATGTTTAAACATAATAAGCAGCTTTAGGAAGTTAGAACTTCTATGTGAATTATTTTATGGGATTATTACATCAGTTGGTAGAAAGGTGTCAACAGGTTTAACATGTACACTTTATATTGCATAAAATATGCTTCATAATGATGTAAACTTGTGACTCCTGCATATCTTTAGCTGATCTCTCTTCAAATTTATTGTCTTAGAAAATTGTAGATTTGAGCATATACATATATAATCATGATTGTTTAAAATTATATTTATATGAGATGTTGAGATATTGGAAGATAACACAGTGAAGAATGAATAACTTGAGTCAGCAACTGAACACAGGTGTTAATATTTTGTTATCTAAAACTTCTCATCCAATTTTATTTTATGTTCTTAAATGTTTATTATCTATTAAGAAATAATACAGGCATCCCTTAATTTTATAAAGGGTTGCATTCCTGAAATTTTTTTTTCATAAATCAAAACTGATTTATCCATTGACTTCCATTACCAGTGTATAATACGTAAAGTGACACTGAGGACCTATTAAAGACATTTTATTATGGGAAACAATATGGTGGTACATATTAAATTAACTTACTGTTTCAATATTAAAATGTTCTACTTACAAGAAACTGTGGCAGTCAGCACTCAGGGTGATGATGTGGTGGGGTTCTGGAGCATGGAGCTACAACCCAATGACCTGAGAGTGCCTAGCATACAGTGAACCCTCACTTTACGCGGTCAATTGAACCCACGGTGGCCCGCATAAAGTGAATAACATAACATATGGGATTAATTGAAATAGAGACCGGGCCGACCCCCAAACTCCACTTTTTCAGACACAATACCTACGTTGTAGTAAAAATAACTTCTTAATTTTATGATGGTATGCACACAATTAATAATTAAGAGAAATATAAATAATATTAGGTTTTTTTAACACTTACATTAGTAGAAAAGATGGCTGGGCACACGGGGATGGGGGGTTGGTTCCGAGGCAGAGGGCAGATTATTGGCCCTCACCTGTATCACTTGTATCAATTGTATCACTATCCACCACAGAGGCTTGCAGGGCCTCTTTGTCAAACCCCTCAAAGTCCATATAAGTCCATATCCTCACTATCATTATCACTATCACTGACTTGGGCCTGCTGTGGTGGGTGGCAGGTGAAAAACTCGGTAATGTTTTGATGACTGGGCGACCTTGTGCGCACCCTGCTCGCGCCGCTCTCCGCGTAAAAGGGTACACACACCGCGGAAAGTGAGCATTCCGTGTTCGGCAGGGTACCGCGTAAACGTGGAACGCGTCAAGTGAAACCGCGTAAAGCGGGGGTTTGCTGTACTTGGGAATAATATCACTGGTTGTATCATACATTTGTAGTAAGAGTAGCATATTTTGCCATTAACATTGTGGGAGAACATGAACATCAGTGAACGAGTCCCTGTGTCAGTCTCATCAATAACCTCATAAGCTGTCTGCAACACTGTCAATACTACATCATGTGTTATTTTTAGCATAGTTTGCCTCTTTTAATGTTTTCATTTAATTGTCTTTATAACTCATACCTGTATACAGTAGTAGTTTATTTTGTGTACAGTGATTCCTCTATCTACAAAACGGATGAGTTCCTAAAATAAAACTTATCGGATACCGAAATTTCATAAGTCAGGAAGGCTTTTCCAGCTGATTTAAAGGGAAAAAAATGGAGATGCACTCTAGGCAGTCTTCCTATGTCTTTTAACCTAGAAATATTTAAATTTTACTTGTAAAAAAATACCAATACAAGGTAAAAAGATATACCATTAAAGTACAAAAAATTTTGAAATAGAAAACAATTCATTTCAAAGAAAAATAATGTGCTGGAGGATGAAATATTAGTGTGTGAGTGTGTCCCTTACACAGCTGCTGGTGGAACTGTATGCAATGTTTCCAAGGCAAATAAAATGCAGGTAGATTTATATTAAAGTACACTACCTTAATATCTGGTAGATTTGTATTGAAAACAGTCATTTATGAAGTACAGTATGTTAATAGTTTTTGATAAAATTTGCTGGATGGTAAAAATATTAGCGTGTGTACATTACATAATCTCTGGTGCAGCTGTTCACTTCATAATTGTGTGGGATTTCATAACTACTGTATTAGAATTGCTTTCTTTCGTGTATAGAAAATTGTTCCCTAATTTGTTTATTTCGTTCATGTGAAATTTCAGAATCCAAAAGTTTGTATATAAAGGAATAGTTAAACAGTGCAATACTGGATGTTGTCCAGGAAGTAAAAAAAATAAGAGAACAAACTTAGTTATTGGACCCCCCAAAAATTTTAGAAAATTTTGTAATTATAAAATTTGCTTCATAAATCAAAATTTTTTCCTTAATTTTAGAATTTCATAGCTACAAAATTTGGCAAATCGGAGCATCAATAATGGAGGGATACCTGTAAGAAACCATATAAGCCTTAAAAGAAAGAGAAATTTATTAAAGGTTGGTTTGGCGAGTAGTGCAACAGGAGGGGCCATAGGAGAGTGAGCCTTGTGTAGAAGGTTTCTTAAGGCACTGGCACCCCAGCTACCCCCCCTACAGCAATTTGAAGGCAGGGTCCAATGGTAACCCAGTTACCATTGTGCCATTGTGGTCACCATTGCTTCATTTACTGGGTACTGTATATTTTTTATTTCTCGGTAATCTTTACATCTGACTTATTTTTTTAATTTGTAAGTAAACACCAGTGCTTCAGTATGCTTTCATAAAAAATAATGTATTTTTTATATAAAACAAAGCTGAAAGTCAAATTCTCTCACACTCTTTCTCCTGGGAAAAAGGAAGAACAGAAATGGAAAGAGAAAGAGAGGATTCTCTCACTGAAAGAGAGAGTCTCCCTCGCTTTTATTTCTCTATTTTTCTCCCTCTTTCCTTGTGTGATGAAGAGGAGGAGAACCTCTTAATCCCTTCTACTTCCCCTCTCTCTATTTTCCTCCTCCTCCTCTGTGGGGAAAAAAGGAGGAGGAAAAGAGAGACAAATTTTCTCTGTCTGTTAGAAAAGGGAAAAGTTGTATAGTAAACAGTTTTTAGATCACTTTAAGGTAAACATGGCAACTCAGCTGATCCACCTTGCTCTGGGTGGTGAAGGGATGTGTGACATCTGCTGTATCATCAGCCTTTTATTTATATAAAAGTTCCATGGATTTATTTAGAATTTTTTCCCAGCAACTTTTTAAATTTAATATTTTTTAGGTTTACTTAGCATATCAAGTGAAAATCAGAATTTTGGATTAGTGGATTATAAGGTAATATTTGGAGGCCTATATACAATCTGTGAAGTCTGTTGTTTGTCCAGAAATAAAGATTAATTACAAATTTAAAACTCATACTCTTGACATCTTTTTTTATGAATATTTTATGTGTCCTTAAGACATTTGTATATCTTATATGGCATTACAATGAATGTTTCCAAGTGCCATACAAGACACCACTAAATAATGAACCATCCATAAGATGTACAATAAGAGAGAGTTGTTGGTAGCTTGTATCAAAGGCATTACAGTGTAAGAAAAGGAAATTTACAAGACAGTTAGCTCACCAAAGGGAATGTCTAACATTCCTTTCATTTGCACTGCTGTGTGGGTCCCATATGTACTAAAGTACTTCACCTTATTCTTTACTAGCCAAAGGAGTGGCCTGACCACTATTTAGAGTATAAGTAGTTAGGGTAGTGACTTTGAAACAGCAATTGGATTTTTCATCCCTTAAGATATCATTGCTCAGGCTTCTCTTTTCACTGTTAACTTTACATAGATAATGTACAGTACTTAATGAATTTTCTGAATTATTAGTACAGTACAGTAGTAGTGTAAATTTGCATAGGAACCCTTTATCAGAGTTATCAGAATGAAACTTCCAAGGCTCTAAACAGGTATCCTTGTTTATCTAAAGCGTTGATCAGTATTTTCTCTTTGTAAGGACTTAGTGTCAAAGATAGCATTAAGTATGTGCAAAACCACATTACATTTCAGTGATTTAGATTATTTCGTTGGAATACTGACGTCTTTTACTATTAACTGTAGTTACTGAAAGTTATGTGTTTTATGGTCTTTTATGTTATTTTATGCACTTGTAGACATTTGAAAGGCCATTGAGGTTTTGAAAATATGTTACCTTTATATATGATTAAAACGAAGTCCAGATAAATTTATTTTGCTAATTTTGTAATAAGAGTCTATGCCATATCTGGTTGCCTAACATGTATTATAATAGTACAGTACAATAGTTGTTTTAGACCAAATTTCCTTCCTCTCTTGGATCCTTACGTATATGGTGTCTTACATACAGTTAGACCTCATTAAATGCCATATAGTCAGTGTGGGAATGACATGGCCAGTTTTTCAATGATTGATTTCTTGTAGCTATGGTGTTCAGATTGTGACACTGCTTTGTATAATAATTGTACGTCAACGTACTGTATTATATTTATTAGACATAATTCAGGGATATCGACAGTTGTTAATAAAAGTTCAAAACATGCGCATATCAATTGACTTGACTTGCCATTTATTGTGAGGTGTATTTCTTCCTTAGTGTAGTTGGACCAAGAAATAGGAAATATTGTTTCGAAATAGTGCGGAAAAGTTATGTAAGATCTGCAGTGTTCATAATGTGTTGATTATGTTATCCTCAGTTATTTGCATTTCATACCTAATCATCAGTTCATGTTACATCATCCTGGTAGTAAATGTACTCAATGAAGCTAGCTAGTCTCTACTAATCTCATCACAAATCATAATCTCACTCTTTGATATTTATTTGTTGAAGTAAATTTTTAATTATTTTAAAATTGTTTGCCATTTTCAAGTACAGTAAATGATGAGGATTATCATCTATAAAGAATCACATAATATGAAATAAATAACAAGAAGATTATAAGTTGTGTATGCACAGTGCAGTGTTTATTATGAATTGAGGTTAATATAAACAATTAAATTAACCGGTGGAGAAATGTGTCCATCCTGCAGATTAGACTCTTATGAGTATGGTTTGTACTAAACGGTGTTCATGCTCTAAATTAATAAAAATTCTTTATTATTTACCTGATATTTAGTTAGAACATCCTGTGAGATGTGGCAGTTCTGTGTTTGTTTGCATTAGAGTAAATCTCCCAGAATGGCTCTAAGGAGCCTCACAATAGTAGCCAGCCTAAACATCATTTTGGTTTTAACCTGACCTGACCAACTTAATCTTATCTTAACATACAGTACGTATCTTTTACTTTATTTAACCTCTGTAGTGAAAGTACAGTATAACCATGCAAGAAATGTGTGTATTCAGAGATAGAGGTAGACTGCTTATTTTGGATGCTTAGGCTGGCTACTGGCCATTCTGGGAGGTTTACTCTAATGTAAACAAACACAGAATTGCCACATCTCACAAAATGCACCAACCACTGTAGCAGGTGGAACTGTAGCAGACTGTACATGTTTGTAGATACTGAAATAAAACTATAATACTGTATAGAAGGTTGCACTCACCAATGAAAAATGAACCTTCATCGACAATCACATGTTCATATACGTTACATGTTTTTTCCTGCATGACTACACCATCAACAACACAGCCTTTATATTTATTTGATCACTGATTAATACAAGGAAACCTTTACACTAGCTTGAATAGTACATATAGCCAACTTATCTATGCTGTAATGATGACTCAGTAATGGTGGACAGTGCTGGATACAGATCTAAGTTCTGACCAATGCTTTGGTCAGAAACCAAAATTCATTCATACTTATACAGTGATATCTCCATTGGCCGGAGCAATTGGTGCAGAGCATTTCCAGGAATGAGAGATATCCGGGTAACGAGGCGACTCTCTCAAAGCCGGAAAAAAATCCCTCGTCCCCTGAATTTTGCGGAATTTTACGGGTAACGGAAAAATGTTCTCGGAAGTTCCAGAAATTGCCCATTACATCATCTCTCGAACCTGGAAAGATTACCTCATCTCTGAAATTTTCCAGGTATTAGGAAAATTTTTCTCAATTTTTCCGGAAAATAGCTCCCAAAGCCGGAAAATTTTGGCTTTGGGAACGATTTTCCGAGAAAATTTCAATTCTGGCTATTGGAGAGCTCTTGGTTTGAGGGATTCCGGCTAACGGAGATATTACTGTATTTCACAAAATACACTAGAGTGCATGGGGACCGTTAATAACAATGATTTTACTCATTAATACAAAAGTACAATTTGTATGCAGTACATTATATAATAATAATAATTAACGGTTTATTGAAAAAGTTCTGCAGCCCGAAGGCTGAAAATATACATTGGGCATAAATGACTTATTACATACATTGGTGGTTTAACAAAAGCCTTCATTAGAGAAAGGTAAAGGAACATACAGTGAACATACAGATTAATGTAGGTGTTGAACAGCAAAAACGTAGTGTAGTAACTCCCTCCCAGATGGTGTTAGGAGGGACCTCACGTGGTGTAGTAGTTCCCTCACAGATGGTGAGTTTGTGTATGTGTGTGTAGTTTGTACAGGTACGTATATGTTGTGCGCATAGTATGTGGTTGTGTGTTTGTGTATATGCTGTGTGAATGTGATTGTTTGTGTGTGTGTTTGGCTGTTTGTGTGTAATGTGTAGAGTACAGTATATGGTACCAGTATATATTATTATTATTTTGTGTGTGTATCAGTAAAATCTGATACATATTTTGGATAGCAGGAAAAATTGTCACTTGGGGCACGAGAAACAGTCCCTAAATCTGGATGATAATTGAGAGATGTATTTAGAAGAGAAAAGTTTAGGTCAAGGTCAAAGTTCAAAGTAAATACTGTATGTTGACCTGTGATATGACTTGAGAACTGGATGAGAGAAGGGTACAGTGTAGTGGTGGTGGTACAGGGTGAGGGAAGGGTACAGTGTAGTGGTGGTGGTACAGGGTGAGGGAAGGGTACAGTGTAGTGGTGGTGGTACAGGGTGAGGGAAGGGTACAGTGTAGTGGTGGTGATACAGGGTGAGGGAAGGGTACAGTGTAGTGGTGGTGATACAGGGTGAGGGAAGGGTACAGTGTAGTGGTGGTGGTACAGGGTGAGGGAAGGGTACAGTGTAGTGGTGGTGGGTACAGGGTACATGGTGGTACAGGTGAGGGAAGGGGTGTAGTGGTGGTGGTGGTACAGGGTGAGGGAAGGGTACAGTGTAGTGGAGTGGTGGTACAGGGTGGTACAGTGAGTGGTGGTACAGGGTGAGGGGGCACAGTGTAGTGATGGTGGTGGTGGAGGGAAGGGGTAGTACAGGTGAGGGAAGGGTACAGTGTAGTGGTGGTGGTACAGGTGAGGGAAGGTACAGTGTAGTGATGGTGGTGGTACAGGTGAGGGGAGGGTACAGTGTAGTGATGGTGGTGGTACAGGGTGAGGGAGGGCACAGTGTAGTGATGGTGGTGGTACAGGGTGAGGGGAGGGTACAGTGTAGTGATGGTGGTGGTACAGGGTGAGGGAGGGTACAGTGTAGTGATGGTGGTGGTACAGGAGGGGAGGGCACAGTGTAGTGATGGTGGTGGTACAGGGTGAGGGGAGGGTACAGTGTAGTGATGGTGGTGGTACAGGGTGGACAGGGTGGTACAGGGTACATGGTGGGTACAGGGTGAGGGGTGTAGTGATGGTGGTGGTACAGGGTGAGGGAGGGTACAGTGTAGTGATGGTGGTGGTACAGGTGAGGGGAGGGTGTGTGATGGTGGTGGTACAGGGTGAGGGAGGGTACAGTGTAGTGATGGTGGTACAGGGTGAGGGAGGTACAGTGTAGTGATGTGGTACAGGGTGAGGGGAGGGTACAGTGTAGTGATGGTAGGGTGAGGGGAGGGTACAGTAGTGGGTGGTGGGTGTGGTGGTACAGGGTGAGGGGAGGGTACAGTGTAGTGATGATGGTGGTACAGGGTGAGGGGAGGGGCAGTGTAGTGATGGTGGTGAGGGTGGTGGTGGTACAGGGTGAGGGGAGGGTACAGTGTAGTGATGGTGGTGGTACAGGGTGAGGGGAGGGTACAGTGTAGTGATGGTGGTGGTACAGGGTGAGGGAAGGGTACAGTGTAGTGATGGTGGTGGTACAGGGTGAGGGAAGGGTACAGTGTAGTGATGGTGGTGGTACAGGGTGAGGGGAGGGCACAGTGTAGTGATGGTGGTGGTACAGGGTGAGGGGAGGGTACAGTGTAGTGATGGTGGTGGTACAGGGTGAGGGGAGGGCACAGTGTAGTGATGGTGGTGGTACAGGGTGAGGGGAGGGTACAGTAGGTGTGAGAAACATAGGGAGTTATACCTAACAACCTAAACTATACCACTTGGCCATCACAACTAAAGAGGTGGCCATGGCAGAGTAATGAGGTTCTTGGCTGTTGTAGGATACCCCTCCCCAACCCATTGTTCTTCATAGTCTTATCAAGGGCTATTTTGAAGCCCACTATTATGTTGATGCATCCACAGTTTCAGAGGGTAAACTGTCTCAGTGCCCAGATGTCTTGACTGTGAAGTTAGTTTGAAGGTTAACAAATTCTATCATTTGTTAAAGGGTAATGTGTAATTATATTTATTTTAACAGACTCCACCTTTAGTATGTGTGTTGTGCCTTTTTTTTTTATCGACATTATGTTCATGTCAGCCATTAGTAAACCATCTGTTCTATTTCCTAGCCACAAACTCACTTATTGTTATTGTGATGTGGGAGAGACAGGGGGAGGCTGGTGGGAGGGTGATCATCAACAGCAAATCTACTGAGGGTTATATGTATATTGGAAAAGTATAAAATCTTGTTTGTAAGTGTGGTAGAGGCGGTCGATCTGCTCCTTAGTGAGTTTCTTCATATAACTCTCCAGATTGTCCTTGGTGCTGCTGGGATGATATTCTGGGTAGTGTAAGGACTCCGGGGCTCCCACTCTCCGTAGGAACTCCTCAGAATCCTTCACTAGAGTTTCATACTTGGCGATGATGTCATAGTCAAAGACACAGAAGGCACACTGTGTACCATAGGGGCGCCAATGCCTGTTTTGTGAGTAGCCGCCATTAATGAGGTAAGTCACAAACTCCAGCCATGTGATATCTGTCTGAGTTGCGTTTGAACGATACTTCTTGACATGTTTCAACACCGAATATTGATAAGGTTTCCTTCTGGGTCCTTTGATCTTTTCCCTATAGGCAGATAGGAGACGCTCAAATGGGTGACGTACAACTATGAATTTGGTGTATGTCGTCAACTTGTCCATTATATCAGATTTCTGAAGAAAAAAGTTATTTGCTCATTAATGTGTTGTTCTCTGAGTGGTTAATCTATGTAAGTTTATCAAGACTAATTTACAGAATAAAGCATCACTACTGTATTTAGCTCAGAGACAATTAATGTCTTCTATGTTGAGGGCCTCCTTGAGAGACTTCAGGTACCAGTTCTCAGCAATGTCTGTTGTTAAGAGTAAAGTGACATGAAAATTAGATACCTGTACATATTCTTAATGGGTCAAACAAATACAATTTTTGACAGTTAAGAATATTGTTTTCGTTGTGGTTAATGAACATTACTGAAGTCGAAGAACATACAGACTTAAAATTACTTTATGTTGAACAGTACAGTAGTAAGTTTACAATGTGTACTGATTGTCAACACATTGAACCTTGAAACCAATATAATACCTACAGCTTGCAGCTGAAAAATGTAATGCTTATAATATTAGTGGTACAGTGTACTGTACTATAAATCAAGAATTGGGATTTTAAATGCCACATCTGTAACAAACACTCAGTAGTACTGTACTTTCATTAGATGTAAAAAAAATCAGATCACGTGAAAATTAGGCACTTGTTCTTATTTCACCTGATGATTAAATACACTAATCATTACCTGGGAGGTTAGGTGAAAGTGTTTAATCATCAGGTGAACTAGGCTGGGGTGTCTATTTTTCAGATTATCGAAAGTTTCTTATAGCAGACTGTAATAATCTGTTGAGGAACCAATCTTGTCAAACCCTTTCATGTGTATCAGTAATAGTGTTCCTCCTTATTCAAACAACACAAATGAACAGAACTACAAAACACCAGAATGGAACTCCTTTGAGTAATGGAGCAAGAGGATCATGGTGAATCATACATACAAGTGCAGAAGTCAGATGATCATGGTGAATCATACATACAAGTGCAGAAGCTAAGAGGATTATGGTGGATCACACACATACAGGTACAGAAGTTAGTGGATCAGTCACAGATGTTCAATAACTGAGCGTCTGTTAACTTACACCGACGATACAAAAAACATTATTTGATTCATATTAAAGAGACTCCTTTATTTACAGTTTTTAAAGTGCCTCATAATAAGAGATAAATTCTTTAGTCGATGTTTAAAGATTGTGTGATACTGTGTAGATGCAGTTTAGGTTTAGTACATGCCTGGTATTTTCCTAAATGCCCGTCTGACTGAAAGAAGACATGAGGCGAGATTTTCTTCTTCTCCCAGTCGACATTGATGAAGCTCGTCATTTTCATCCATAGCCTCTTCAAGGTGGTGCTTGAGACCTGATGAGTGATAAAAATTAGATGATATGTAAGTAAATCCATCCCTGCAAAACACAATAACTGACGATAAATCACTTAATTAAGGAGATAAAAAGTTCATCAACAAAGTACTGTACTGTACAGTATTTCAGATAGTGTTTAGACTACTTCACTGAAAGGTAGAATAAATCGTCTTTCTCTCCAGAGGATAGTAAATTATCCTTGTTCTACTTAAATATAATATCCTTGCATAGAGCTACAGATAGGTAACAACATGGCCAGTTTATTAAGATTTCATACATTGTACTATTGTGTTGTCTTCTTTTATATTTGGGCTGGTTTATTGTACCCAAGACTCATAAGCTAACACGGGGGGTCAGACTACAAGTCATCTTCAGATGGTAGTGATGGGAGGCTGAGTTACCGGGTACCTGATTGTGTAGGTGACCTGAGGGTTTGGCTTTATTGTAGCATCATCTTCCAGGGATGATGGAGCCGCAAGGTATAATTTTTTCTCTCTCTTTCCAAGCTTTCTGACATCTTATAGGCTTACACTAAAACTGGTTTATGTTTTGTATGATAAGGGCAACAAAAAATTTGCTTTGTATATTCATAAAAACAGCAGCTGCGCACAGTACAGTACAGTATTGACTCATTATGACAGAACGAGTAAGAAAGCTATCAATTGTGTAGTATGTGTGTGTGTGTGTGTGCATTACCTTAGGGATGTAGCAATACATGGCCCGGTGAATGTCGTCTACTAATAAGTGGTTAAATTTTGATCTCCTTTTTGAGTTGAAGAATGCATTCAAAGCAGTGTCATAGGGCACATTACCACATCCCTCTCGCATGGCAGTCCTCCTCTCCCGCTGCTCTGCCTCCCAAGGGTCCTCGTCACCCTTAGCATGATCCTGCATGAAGACAGTCCATCCAGCACTTGCATTGAGCACAGCTACAGAGACAAAAAATTTGCTTCGTAAAATGGGACCTTATCTGGTTTCAGGTTCTTGTGCTGTGTACAGGTAATAATAATTCCAGTTCTTCATTTTTTTCAGTTTCCTCTGTCACTTAGCCTCAGTTGAAACAGGTGCAATGCAGAGTGAACAACACAGGAAGCTCAAGTAGGGCTTGAAGCAGAGGAGGGAGGAGTCGGGGAGGAACGGGGACGGGTGTACATGGGTTATATCCAGGGAGGGGGTAGTGGAAGCGAGAGCACCAGTGCTGAGCCGGTGGGCAGCGGTACATCCTCCACCAGCTCTACCTCCCACCCAGGAAAAGGCGAGCACCGTGTAAACAATGACATTTCTAACCACACCCTGCAAAATACAGTGTATTTAGCAAATGCTGCAGCTGCTGAGAATGGACAGGGGCCGGAGTTACTACCAAGAGCAGAGACGTTACCGAGAACAAATTCCAGCTTGAATGTCATGTACACTAATACTGACACGTTCCTTGATAAGAGGGAAGAGTTTGAAACACTACTGAAGGTACACCAACCCGTTACAGTAGGAGGTGTAGAACTGTTGTACAAGAACAGGAGAATCGACCCAGAGGAATGTGAGTTTAATATTGAGTCTATTGACGTATATGACTTATTTACGAACCTTTCTCGAGGAACTAGCAAGAGGGGTGTGGTTATCTATGCCAGGCAAGACCTTAGAGCAAGCCAGGTGAGGGTACAGGGAGAGGATGTTTTTGAAGAATCCAAGTGGTGTAAAATTAAGTTAAAAGGAGCAGACGTACTTATTGTCGGGTGTATCTACAGATCCCTAAGCAGCTTACCAAACCAAAGGAACTTAAGAGCCTTAACAGACAACGCAGCGAGGCTCAACCCTAGCCACCTCCTTATCATGTGGGGGACTTTAACTATGGCGACATCGACTATAGAAACGAGTTCACGCCAAATGTCTTAAATAGTCCTGGTACTCTTTTTGTAGAAACTCTTGAGAGGAGGGTATGGTGGCCAAACTGGAACATCTAGCCCCAGTTGACACCAGCCACCATGTAATGTCCTTCAGATTTAACTGTTACTCAGTTCACAACAAAACCAGGCCAAGGTGTAAATATTACAGAGGAAATTATGATGGGATGAGGGAGATGAGGAGTATCCATTGGCCTGACTCACAAAGGCATAAGAACGCAGACACCACGCTAAATATCATAGCTAGTAAAGTGACCCATTTGATCGATAAATATATACCCCAAGACCAAACCCGAGCTGAAGTTCTCGGGCCATTGCGAGAAGAAGGTAAATCAGGCAAATAAATTATTGGGTCTTATAAGAAGGTCGTTCAGATATCTAGACGGTCCGTTCCTCGTAACGATATTCAAGAGTGAAGTGCTTCCCCATCTGGAGTACTGTCACCCCGTCTGGTCCACGAGATATGATAGGGACTGTCAGTTGGTTGAAAATGTTCAAAGGAGGGCTGCCAGACTGGTGCCTGCACTTCGGCACCTCAACTACCCTGCGAGATTGGAGCGCCTGAACTTGCCTAGCTTATACTACAGACCTAATTGAGGTGTATAAGCATCTCAAGGGGCACTACTCAGTCGAGTGTCCTTACTTGGAGCTGGCGGACGCTCGCCCCACAAAGGGTCACAGCTCAAGATTGAAGAAGCCTCAGATCCAGAAAACTGTGAGGGCAAACTTTTTCGGAGTGAGAGTTGTGAACTCTTTGAACAATCTGCCAAAGAGTGTTGTGACGGCACCGAGTGTGAGCTCTTTCAAGACCAGACTTGACCAACATTGGAGCAGGTTCAGATACATTCAGGAATGCATACCCAGTACTTGCCAACAGTGCATAACAGAGTCATGACCGACTATCCAAGCGGATAATGAGCCGATCAGTGACGAAGAGGATAAAGTAAAGTAAAGTAACACCAACATCATGCATAGGCAGCATAGTCCCAGCACCAGCATCATGCATAACCCCAACACCAACACAGTGCACGGCCCCAACACCATCATGCATAGCCTTAACCCAACACCATGCGTGGTCTCAACACTACTACTCTGCAATGGGTTTTCACTTACTCAAGGGAAGTCCTCTTTTAGTTTTGTTTACATATTGTGACATGTACCTGAAAAAAAAGTATTTTATTCCTTCTGGAATATACAATAATGGTGATCTGACAAAGTCTTACAGGTATGTGAAGTGAACATTAAAGATGGCCGTAAGTAAAAAGAGTGTCAGGCGAAAAGGTAACTAGAGTTTCCTAACGTGGCAAAAAAATTTGTAAAGTTGTTGAAGGTGGAAGGCTGGGGTGAATGAGGTACTACTGTGCTGGGTATAAGAAGATGATGGACACCCACCAATCAGTGTCGGGCATCATAAATAGGAAATCATAACTAGTGTGTGATGCTGTTGGCAAGAAATGAGAATAAAACAAGTAAACCAGATGGCTATCTTGGAACCTTGTAATGAAATAGGAACACCAAACAGGGGCGGATTCAGGGGGTTCCTGGGGTCCAGAACCCCCTTTTCACCAGAAAATAGCAATACCTTTTCTTTAATGCTGTATTGTACTGTACTAAGACGTTTTTATATTATAAAAAGTAATTACTATTGACCTCAGAATATCTCCTAATGTCAAGCGCACATGGCCTCAAAATGCCCATAATATTGGTCAGATTTCCCAAATTTTCCGGAAGGGGCTTACAGTCCCCCCCCCGAAAACCCCCCAGCTAGATGGGCTCGCTGTGCTCGCCGTGTTCTCCCATCCACAACTTCACTTCTGGACCCCCCCTTTGTTATTCCTGGATCCACCCCTACCAATGTAAACATTATGTGGTAAGGGGGCAAGAGAAAAGTGTGAGAGTAAAGGAAATAAGTTGTTTCTAATAATCCAGCCATCTTCCTGCATCACACACACATACACAACAACAATAATAATAAGCTACTACACATGTATCATCAGCTTGGTCGTGCATAAGAAAGGTTTACAGGTACTCACCGCATTATGGTAGCCACCAGCAGTAATGATAACACTAGCAGCTTTGTTCTCCGAGTACTCGAAATCATGGTTAAGTAATAATTTCCTTCCTTCTTTTGTTCGGCTTTATATTGATTTGAGGACAGTAGTGATTAGTCCATCCACCGATTGTTCACTACAAACTCTACTTCTCTTGTCAATGTCTTGTTTTTGTGTTTTCTTCTACTAATTGTGGCAAGATGCTGTTGCCGTATCTTCAAACCAATATTGTTTTGTGGTTTATTGATTTTGTTTTAATGTGTTGACGCCGACCAGAAGAGATTGTAAGGTGAGTTCAGCCAGGTGGCCCCCTCCGCCACAACCTGAGGAGTGACGCTACAGTTACCACATAATATACTTCCTTACTGCTGCCCAAGCTATGAATAAGATTTATGCTGCAAACAAAACAAAACTGATTATTTACCATCGGTTCAGAAAACGTGACACAAAGTTCTAGTTAGTCTAGTAGACTAGTACACAACCTCCTATGTGGAAAAATCATATTTAGTTAAAATTACCAATATTCTCAGTCTCCCTTCACCCAAGTCATTCTAGAAATTAAAATATCTACTGTGGGATTGCAATAATTTTATTTCTGATAGGTTGCGTCTGGATTAGTCTTAACCCATGTTCAATAACTTTATGATTTTTTTTTAACTTTTGGAAACTTTTTAGTTCAGTTAATTGGAAAGGAAAATACTTCAAAATAAGGACACAAGTTGTAAGATTGTGGCTTTGAAGATGCAAGTTTGGATGCGGATAACATCCAGTTTCAATGCTGAGGGATGTGGACCTGAGCGATCTCAACTACTGCTACGAAATATCGGTATTAAAACAAAGTAAGTTTAACAATTTGTATTTTGTTGTTACTAGGGCGCAAATGACATGTACTGTTAGCTAAGTTCAAACTTGAACACGCAGGTAGCCTAGAAACTTGCCAGTTTATGTTTTCTAGACGAAAACTCGCCTACAAAACTGCTAAAATGTTGAACAAATTATCTTAAATGTGCTTACCTGATTAGTACCAGCGTTTATAAGATGAAACGAATCCAACAGCTTGCACTTGGCAGTAAAACAAAACTTCTCTTGAAAATGTCATAATATTGGCATTAAAAACATCAATGTATAAAAAAAACCAGGTTTATAAAATTGCCATTGTTTTTCTCTGTTTATTAATCTCATTTACTATAAATATCCAATAAATCAAACAAAACAATGACGAAGAGAGTAACGAAACTCAGCTACTACCTATGTCTTCAAATACTGTACCAATATTATGAGTTCGTTTTTCCGCACCCCCTTCTCCTTCGTGTTTAAAAATTAAACTATGGATGTTGAAACCAAAGTGTAAAGATCTTTATACCTTGCTCAACACGGCGACCCCCGCCAACTGGAGATGATATTAAAACTCTGGGCGCAATTGGTTTCTATATTATTAACCACAGACTGTTGTACTGTTGAAGTAATCTGCCAGCCTCGAGTGTAAACCTAAGCAAAGGACCCTCCTGGAAATAATCACCTGACAGCTTTGTTGGCTATCCTTGGTCAAATTGCGTTACTGTTTACCATTGTTTATGCACTGTATACTCCCACGGTCTACGTGCACCGTATACTTACATTGTCTATAATCATGCTGAACTGTACCGTATAACTGCATAGATTATAAATATGCCTATCCAATTGTAAACCCGTATGACAATTTTACTGAATTATTATTATTATTATTATTATTATTATTATTATTATTATTAGAAGGATGCGTTTCGAGGTGGCTGTGGTATTAACTGGTGATATGATTTTTATCATAAGGTGAGAGGGCCAGTATACTGAGTGTCCCTGTATCAAATTATTAGAGCGAAGTACAACGCAAGTTACCTCTTGTATACTGAAAAGCTATCGATGTTATAATGTATGAAGCAAACAGCGCAAGGTTACTCCCTACCTTTGAAACCAACTTGTGAAAATTATGGAATATCGTGAGCCTTGGAATCAAGGTGTGTAGACGGCACACCTGTTGCCACACATGTGACGACACGAACTTATAATTTCGACACTTCACACCAGGTAGCCAATATAAACTGCTGCTAGTAATTTCAACTATCATATCTTATTATCAAAATTGTGATTTAAGTGAAGAAACTGTGTAAAAACAAAAAGTATATTATTACATTGCATATTCACTATGGTGTGGGTGTACGACTATGAAGAAAATGTGAAAATTTAGTCCCCCAAAATTTGAGTCGTTCAAACTTTTTTCAGCTTGGTACTGCAGGGCCACACGGGGGTAAATTTGACGTAGAAGAAAATAAAGGGGGTGGGTACCACCTCTGGTAAGTTCAGGAGACCCTTCACCCCAGAGAAGAAAATAAAGGCTATTCACGGAAAATTGGGATTGCTTTCCCTGAACTCTGGGCAGATATTGTCTTCTCCTATCACCTCTTTTTTTTAATAACTATTTTCTGTTTTTATTGTACTTATTTAAATACACGGTCACCCATCTCAATTTGAAGACTCCCTGCAGCTCCTCTGATGAGGGATGAGATCACAGTAAGCAGCAAGCATTCCCTTTCTAGATTGCTATTCTGAGGTGCTGGAACAAATAGCTTGATGATCTGGTGTCTCCTGTGGTTTCAATAAATCTGGAACCCAGCTCATTCAGGAACCTCAGGGCCTTGGTGCCCCAGGCTCCTAAAGTCTTTGAACTAATTGGAACAAAGCAATATTGCGTGCTAAAGTTCACGTACATTCCCTTCTGATATTTCTAAAAACTTGCTACCCGCCTACGGTGCCTACCCTCACCATTTCTGTTGCGCTGGTGTGAATATGACTGGTGCCAAGGTGGAGGCACATTTGTAGTCCCACACCAGCGGTTTACCATCCACCCACAGGATCACCGTGTATGTCATCTTCGGACCTGCGGTTCCTTCGTGCTGGGCAGTCCGCAGTTGTCAGACTCTTCTTAATGACGCCTCTCACATGTCAACCAACGAATTTCACACACACACACACACACACACACACACACACATACACCATTGCTTCCCCAGAAAATGTGCAAGATATGTTTCATCACCGACACCCGTAGATTGACGACCGCAGGTGTTGAGGGAATAATATGCCATAAATGTCGCTTGATTTATTAAAGTTCGTATTTTTTTATTCTCGCGTTGTTGCTGATTTAATTAACTTAAGAAATCTTTCAACTTTTAAAATAACCTTCAGTACATTATAAGCGCGTGTAGCTGATAACTCTGCCCCACCCTGTTTGTTGGGCATCTGGCCACAGGAAGTTTTAGTAAGTTCCGAGCCTAAAAGGTCTTCTTCAAAGAGCTCGAAACTAGGGGGGAGGGGAGGGGGGAGCGTGATTACAGTGGAACTGTTGAAGACTTCGTTAATGTCTGTTACCCAGTGGTCCCCTCCCCCCCACAGACTAAGATAACCCAAGTTAACAAGTATTTTTACACCTTCGACCTTTATTCCTGCCCAAGAGTCAGTCACATCAACCAACTGCCTGGACAATACAGTATTTCACAACTAAATGGGAGGTCACAGCATTCTCCAAGTTATCAAGTTTATCAGGTTTATTAGTAGTTCTCAAACTTTTGAATCTTACGTCCCACTAACCATTTTGTGAACACCCTACTTCCCCCGCCTTAGTTTGTGGGCGAGGATATGGCTACCACCTTGGGCAGTGTGTAGTGGATTGCCCAAAAATAAAGACTTCGGGAATAGCGTGGATAACTGTCATCAAGTTATGTTTACCTCTTTTTTGTCAATTATGAACACCCAGAATCTTGAGGTATTATCCTTATTTTGTGCCCTTATAACTATTGTATACTTATTTGTCACTAATACCAATATTCAAGGTGTTTTGTGGACTTGCAGTTTTTTGCTCTAAAAAATAAATCAACGGAAATGTGCTTATAACGTCATTGTTTTTATGTGTAAACGTTCTATGTACTGTACTTACAAAACTAAAGTAAACGTGCATGGAAATTTTACTGAGGAGATGGGCAGCGGAAGGCGGGTTAACAATTATGTTATAAAACCCATTTTAAGAAACAAATAGATACTATTAAGAATCATAAAACACATAAATATAATGTGATCATTTACAAAAATATTGGTCAAAGTCTTCTTGCAAAATTCTCACTTACCCAAGTTTTACAAGTTAGTATTTCAGTTCCTGAGACAACAACAGCGAAGTGCAGTAAACGATATGAGTCAGGTTATTGTACGTGTAGAAGCAATGCTCAATGTAACGGCTGAAGCGATACTGCCTAATACAGTACAGTATACAGTAATCTAGTCACTGCAGCCAGGTTGCCAGATTTTGATTTCGATCTCAGTACCAGATTCTACAAGATTCATTACTAAATCGAGTTTACCATTTCCAAATTTAAAACTACCCCGTTTAACATTATTGGTGTCTTGGTAATATCTCAGAGGATCCGTAAAGTACATTTGGTTATGTTTATACGCCTGCTTATGTAATGCGACCTGCGCTGAGTGAAGTGTGAATATGATAAGACAAATGTTATTGTGGGTTTACAAATACTTTTTTTTAATGATGTATGATTTATTAACGACATAATGTATGTGAGATATATACATAGGTATTCATTTAGTAAAATATGCATACAATTCACATCCCTTTAGCATGCACATAGTGTAATATGCACTGTACAGTACATACACTTGAGTAAATATAAAATGTCCCTAGTGCAGGTATACCAACAATGTACATAAACAGTGCAGATAAACAAACAATGGTAGGCTACAGATTAATTACGCCTTTTCAAACAAAATAATCACTAACCTTACATGGGATACTGTTAATAATATAATCAAAACAAATAAAAAATAGTAAACTTATTCATACTGATCGAAAATTTAAGAAGATCCAACATTTTTAGATAGAAACAAAGAATTCAATATTCCTTATACGTAATATGTTAGGATACGATCTGTCTCCTGTGCCGGCTCCTTATTGGCTGTAATGTTTGTTTACTACCAGCTTACACCGTCTTCTTAGGATGGTGGCAGGATGTTCACTAATAATGGTGGCAGGATGTTCACTAGTAATGGTGTCAGGATATCCAATGAGGTAGGTGGTGTTAGTACATGCAAGAAAATAGTGTTTTAGTGGCGTCTCTCAGTACGTGTCAGCGAACAACTTCAACAAGATGATTTTGTTTACGTGTCAAACAGCTCATAATAAATCTGTCGAGTAGAGGTTGACTCAATAACACCACAGTACAGGTATATTCAATAAGAGTGGCAGAGCTATGATGGGTGAAACGCCAGGAAAGCACTTGTGAAAGGTTTAATGTGAGGAGTGGGTGAGAGAGGGAGGTGTGTGGGTGAGAGTGGGAGGTGTGTGGGTGAGAGAGGGAGGTGTGTGGGTGAGAGTGGGAGGTGTGTGGGTGAGAGTGGGAGGTGTGTGGGTGAGAGAGGGAGGTGTGTGGGTGAGAGTGGGAGGTGTGAGTGAGACAGGGAGGTGTGTGGGTGAGAGAGGGAGGTGTGTGGGTGAGAGAGGGAGGTGTGGGAGAGACAGGGGGAGGCTGGTGGGAGGGTGGTCATCAACAGCAAGTCTACTGAGTGTTATATGTATACTGGAAAAGTATAAAATCTTGTTTGTAAGTGTGGTAGAGGCGGTCGATCTGCTCCTTAGTGAGTTTCTTCATATAACTCTCCAGAATGTCCTTGGTGCTGCTGGGATGATATTCTGGGTAGTGTAAGGACTCCGGGGCTCCCACTCTCCGTAGGAACTCCTCAGAATCCTTCACTAGAGTTTCATACTTGGCGATGATGTCATAGTCAATGGCGCACAGGTGACACCGTGTACCGTAAGGGCGCCAATGATTGTTCCTTACGTAGCCGCCATTAATGAGGTAAGTCACAAACTCCGGCCATGTGATATCTGTCTGAGTGGCGTTTGAACGATACTTCTTGACATATCTGAACGGTGATCCTTGATAACGTGTTCTCTTGGGGCCTTCGACCTTATTTCTGTAGGCGGAGAGGAGACGCTCAAATGGGTGACGCACAATGATGAACTTGGTGAATGTCGCCAACTTGTATTTCATATCCGACTTCTGAAGAAAATAAATACATGTACAGTAATTAAACCATTTAAAACTACTGCCATTGGATATATTGAGTTTAGGGACAGTTCATGTGATCCGCGCCACCTTTAATAGATAACAGGCTACCACTTCTCGGATGTTTTCACGTGTAGAAATGTTTTCCTATTAATATAAAAAATGGCTCCACAGGTGTTGGTCCCCTGATACTTAATATTCATGAGCCACAAGTGAACTCATCATGTTAATGGAGTTCAAGATGAGAAACCAGCCCAGCCAGCCTTCACTTGGGCCGGAGAGTTGAGCCCGAGATCCATCCCTTAGGTTAGGTTAGGTTAGGTTAGGTTAAATGGTCTTCCACGAAGGTACACAGACATTAAACATTTAAGAAACACACGTCTCTATCGGGTAAACAAACACAAATTTTCACGCTTACCGACATTAAGAACCTGATGCACGGCGGTTCGTGAACACTACTGATGAATGTACAGCTGGCATATGGAGGACGTAGGCTACTGTTAGTGAGTGGAAACGTACTGTACACTTCTGAATTAATAACCATTACTTACATTTGACGGTAAAGCCTTCTGAACTTAAGGTAAACACTTGCGATAGACTGTGTAATAATTTGCCTCGAGGGCTCCTTTATATGTGTATCAGTAATATGTTGCTATGTATTTAAACAAACTGTTCCTGTGTATGTAAACAATAGTACTAAACAAAACTACAAAACACCAGGATGAAACTTGTTTGAATAGTGAAGCAAGATGATCATACATACAGGTGCAGAAGCCAGCTGATGACAGAGTGTAGCGAAGTGTGTGAAGACTTACTTGGCGGTTCTCCTTACGAGTGTGTCGGTTCAGTGAGACGTGTGGCTTACGAAATTTCCTGGTGGTGTTGAGGCCCGTCAGCTCCAACCACACCTTCTTCCAGGTAGTGCTCGAAACCTGGTGAGTTGAGGGAAAATTGAGATAAAATATGAATTAATCTTTGAAAACCATTAAAATGAATAGTAAATAGATAGTAAATTATCCTTGTTCTACTTAAATATAATATCCTTGCATAGAGCTACAGATAGGTAACAACATGGCCAGTTTATTAAGATTTCATACATTGTACTATTGTGTTGTCTTCTTTTATATTTGGGCTGGTTTATTGTACCCAAGACTCATAAGCTAACACGGGGGGTCAGACTACAAGTCATCTTCAGATGGTAGTGATGGGAGGCTGAGTTACCGGGTACCTGATTGTGTAGGTGACCTGAGGGATGATGGAACTGCATATATAAAAACTATGGGAGTCACAGCCAGGATTCTCATGACTAGGCTTAGGATAATTATGCATTTAAAAATGGCTAAATATGCATGCAAATATGCAGTAAAACTCCTTTTCTGTACATTTTCTCAGTAAATTTACTTTCCCAGACAGGATGTCGCCGAAGTAGGATTTTTTAAAGAAGAATTAAATACAAAAAACAATATACTAACATAAAGTAATTTATTAAACAATACTGAAAAAAGTATTTTCCTTTTAAGAAAACAGAAGAACAAAAGAGTGTCAGGAGGGAACTAATGGAGCCCGTGCATCTATATCCTGCCTGGCTGAACACGAACCCATCACGTACAGTTCATGTCCACTGACCAGCCAATCACGGCCTAGCTAACCACAGCCTAATGTTGAGCTATATAAACGTCACTTAAGTATGTTCCTTTTGGATATTATGACGCTAAAACAAAATCGCGTATTTTCGATTTTGTATTAGTGCAACATAATGGACATTTATTATATTTCAAATATCAGTAATTTCTGCCCCAGCGTTGCTGTTATGCTCGCGAATTTTTTGACCCTTGAGGTTGAAGAATGTTTTATAATATTTGGGAATTTTCCAAATACTGTATATGCCTTATAAAACAAAAAAATATGAATATGCACTTTAGCTCAAAAATGGCTTAAATATGCATTTGCATATGCACATATGCAAATGCATAATTATCCTAAACCTACTCATGACTATTAAGACAAAATGAGTAAGACAACTATTAACATGACCTTCGGGATGGAGCAGTACATCGCTTGGTGGACGTCGTCTATCAGGAGGTACTTCAGTATCAAACCTTCGTCGAGGATCCGATTCAGAGCCTCGTCAAAGGGCGTGCCTCCACAACCTTCCCGCATGGCAGACCTCCTCTCCTGCTGCTGTGCCTCCCAAAGAGTCTTATTACTCTTTTTAACTTGCTCTTGTGAGGGCACAGTATGTTCTGCCCTCTCCTCAGACTCACCTGCAGGAGTTCAAGAAATTAGTGTCGTAGTATGGGACCTTCCCAGGCCTCAGGTAGGCTGTAACTAATACAGTTTTTGTTCCTCAACATCTCATCAAAGTTTACACTCTTTAGTTGTCCTCAGTCGAGACTGCTGCTCATGTTTCATTGTAATTTTACTCATTGGGTGATTCCTTGTACTTAACATGGAGAGGAACAAGGCAGAAGATGAGGCGCAATTACTACTCAATTATTAATTTGATTGGATACAAATGCTAATTGGAAAGCAATGATAATCGTAGGGTTTTGTTAGCATTGGCGGCCATAGCAATGTCCACAAAGCTGTGATCTCAATATTCCCGTAGTGACACTGTACCGGGCACCTGGCACGGACACAGACAGAACCTGCCACCATCAGCAACATAGTGCAAGGGTTCAATACTTACCCCGGATAATCTTGAGGCCGGCTATATGTGTGAAGGCTCCCTGATACCTGCAAGCGAGTATCGTTAATTTTTTATAGATTCACCTGTGTTATATAAAAAAAAAATAGATTCCCTCTTTATACACAAGCCTTTGTACAGAGGAGGGAATCACTACATACTTACAATAATCCGCCTCAAATACTCTACAGTATGTTTAATCCTTAATATTTTAGAACCCCTCCCCACCCTCCCGTCCCCCAATGCACAGCTCTATATTTTATCACTCAACCTCATCGTCACGTCTTTCGTTCCTACCCTTTCTGTTACCCCTTAAGCGTATGCACAGTCCACGAGGCTGGCGAGGCACGTAAGTCTCTATGTACAGTAAGTTAGGATTAAGTTCTCTCATAGAATTTGGTCCTGAAACCGATGAGAAATTTTATGAAAACTCTACAGGTACTTACCACTTTATGCTCGTCCAAATCAGTAATAATAACACTAACAAATTAATTCTTGAAACCCTCCTAATCATGGTTGAGTGATTCCTCTCTTCTTTTGTCAGCAGCAATAAGGTATGTTCAGCCTGAGGTGTGTTCTCTTGTCAATGTCTTGTTTTTGTGTTTTCTTCTACTAATTGTGGCAAGGTGCTGTTGCCGTATCTTCAAACCAACATTGTTTTGTGGTTTATTGATTTTGTTTTAATGTGTTGACGCCGTCCAGAAGAGATTGTAAGGTGAGTTCAGCCAGGTGGCCCCCTCCGCCACAACCTGAGGAGTGACGCTACAGTTACCACATAATATACTTCCTTACTGCTGCCCAAGCTATGAATAAGATTTATGCTGCAAACAAAACAAAACTGATTATTTACCATCGGTTCAGATAACGTGACACAAAGCTCTAGCCAGTGAAGACCAGTGTGGTATGGCAGTCCACTGTTTTTATTGCCCATCTTCAGTGTTTTACTGTACAATAATACTTGGTGTAACAGGCATTACAAATTATAAAACTAGTGGCTTGGATTCACAGCTAGTAAATTAGTAAATTACCTTTTAACTTTGTGGTAATTCCAGCTTTTTTTACTCATCGTTAGTGCAGGTTCTCAGTGTGTACTGTAACCAGACTCACAGCTCATGCCCAGTCTATACCTAATTTACCCAGAACTCCCACCAAACTGTTGAAGATGCCATCACCGAAACCACTTCCACAAACTATTCTCTTACGTGCAAACTGTGACACATCAGTTACATTCGTACCTTTATCAACAGCAACAGAAGATGCAACAAAGGACTTGACGTTGTCCCTGAGTTGACTGTTACGGTTCTCTGATAAATCACTAATGCTCTACAACTGTGTTTCTTGCGGGGCTTAAATAAAAACAAAATTATCCGGTCATATTACTTCAGGTAAATAAATAAATCACTTCAGGTAAAATAAGTGAAATTATGGATAACAAGGCGAGTGTATGTGATAAGTAATGAGAATGATCTGTAATGTAGCATAGTGTTACCTGTATATTATTCTTACCTATTTAAGGCCTTTATCAATTGGTGAATGAATTGATTGTAAATAATTATGATTTACACACACATAGATTCTCACATCGATCGGTATAGACGATGTCAATTTTAATTTATTGGAAATCATTGAATATTCACACCTGAGATAATTGCTAATGTACGCAAATATAAGTGTCAGGTGTTCGATATGAGGACGTCAGGTACACTTCAACCTCCTCTCTAACATAAGCTTTAGAGATGCGTTCCTTGGCCTGAACTGTTAATATCAATTCCCCCGCCGCCAGTTCACATACTGATAGCCTGGGGGCGCCTGTGGGTAGAGCGGTACCGCTCTTACCCCGCAAGCGAGATATCGCGGGTTCGATTCCCGGGCCGGTGGAAAGTTGTTCGGACACACTTCCCAGCCTCCCTTGGTCCCTGTTCACCTAACAGCAAAGTAGGTACCTGCTGTAAATCGAAAGTTGCGAATTCGTATTCAGGGAAAGTTGTTGGAGCTTCCAATAACTTGCTTTGACATAAATCATTGACTCTTCAGGCTTCTACGTCCTTAACTCATGAGACATATAAAGGCAAACATGAACTTAGCATGTTTCCCTGTTGGGCGCTGTAAACGCTTCTGCGCTTCACCTTACACAAGGATGTAGGGGGTGCCCAATACAAAAAAAAAAAAATAATAATAAAAAATACTGTTCGCCGATCAATGATAACATCCTCCTCACCAGCATAAGTTGCACGTATGGTTGTGACCACTGTTGGTGTTCTGAGACAAGAATAAGAATCTCTCACTCACCGTCTACATAACCAAGTTCTTTAGATCTGCACCACCAAGTACAGTATTAAACATTTTCAACATTAGCCTAGTAACTGAGAGATGTTTTAACGTTTTAAGATCACCACAATATTACGCTTCCATCACCAACCTTTATAATAAAAATTTAAAGAGAACAGATAAACAATTATATCCGAGAAAGAATATTATGCAGACGGTCATATATTCTTACTCACCCAGGCTTTTAATGAGGTCCTAACACAACCAGTGAGGTACAGGACAGCGGTGTGTGGGTGTGTTGGCTGTCGGTCGTGAGATGCGTCGTGTGTGAGGGCCGAGACGAGACTAATGAGTAATGACGAGAAGACTTTTGGGGGCTGTTAGTACCGCTGACGCCCCAGGAAACTACAGTATATACACATGGATCAATATACTTCCCATTTAAATATCTCGTTAAGAAGAAAATGTATGTTTTGGTGGTGTACTGCGCACATCATTGTCATTCCAAAAAACCCCATTTAATTCATATTACGCTATATAACATTCAAATCCACCGCTCTTGTAGAATCTCAGAAAACGGGAAACACTGTTAAAGGATAACTCACCTACTCAATGTTACTAGACCATGTGTTGTATTGTACCCAGGTACAGTTATATCATATTAATTGTCTGTATTCATAGCATTGAGGAGAACTCAGGGTATCCATAAGATGAATGTTAAAGTCCAGTTGAGCCGGGCTAGTGTACTGTAGGACTAAGTGTGGATCAGGGTTTGAAGGTCATACTATTTACGTCTGTGAACGTGTAGCGAACATAACTTCCACAGATATCATATGAAAATACATGAGAACAATGATCTGGAAAAAGGATAAATGTATTAGAACTATGTGAGGTGTTGGAAGTGACCCAGAAACTATACTTGAAAGGAAATATCTTGTATGCGTCGGTATGAACTTAATACACCTCGTATCCTCACGTGACATATACCCACGACAGGTACAGTGATCAGAGAATCTTATGTCTGTGTTCAAATAGTGCAATGTGTGAGAGGAGGATCCCTCATTACAGTTTTAAGTGAAGTTGATACACCCCCGCCATGAACATTCAGCCTTTGTTTTAAGGCGCGTCATGTACCCGCCTCGGGTGTGCTGCGTTGATATTATAACCCAATGAATTTACCCACGAACTAGCAAACCAAGACCTTACCTTAGTGTGTAATTTAGGATTAAAATATGTGTTTATACGGCATGAGTGACAATATACCGAAAAGTGTTCAGGTGAGAACCGTAAGAAATAAAAATAAAAATTAAAGATTGGAAACTGTAGGCCTTCGTGGTGACGAGCGGCAGGGCACTGCCCTCAGTACCCTCCGTTCTACCGTCACCTTAGGTCAGTGTCCTATCGGGCTATATCCCGCCCTATAATTAAGGCTTATATAGAAGTTATTACAGTTTAAAGCTTTGCCTGATATATTAGTGTAATAATGTGTTAGGGGGTGTGATAACCGCCCGTCAGGCATTATTTCTCAGTACCCTCCGTTCTACCGTCACCTCAGGTTCCATGCGGTCGGAGTGCCTTGCTGCCCGGCAGCCATTATCCCTATGAGCGTCCCAACAGGTGGTGACTACTCCCAGCTATGCCAATCCACTGTGAACCTGTGGATTTCCAGCACACCACTCCAAATGAGTAGTAACAAATAAGGAGACCGTGAGAAACTCTGCGGTCGTCACTTGGAGCGACCTATAATACCAGGCGTAGAAATTGTACTGGTATGTCTCTGGGTGAAGCCCTCGTCTTTACCCACCGAGCGCGGTGTGCGAACGAGGTGCCTGTTGTGTATACCTAAAAGTTACAAGGAGTCCCATACCTGCAGGGGTGGAGTGTAACAGGTGTGTTGAGATGGTGCTACTATGTATGATAACCGACGATGTTATAATCCATACAGGTGGAGCAGTCTGATGTGTTAAGGGATAGTGTAAGAAGGAATGACCGAGGTAAGGAGGTCACAGATTGTTATGCCATAAGTGTGTGGATGACACGCCATTAATATAAGACGTCTGGTGCCCATCTGGGTAACCAACATTTTCGTTGTTCTTCCGAGGAAGACCAGTTCATGTGTGTGTTTTTTACCAGTATGCTTTATAAGGAATAAATTAATTAAGACATGCTATGGTTTCACCCTTCTTTCCCCTTATCGATCTGGTCAATGGAAAACCTAACCCAATGCCTAGTCCACTCTGCACGCTACCTAACGAGCTACATGCTGTCCAGAGGGGGTCTGGTGGCAGCGACCCTTAGAAATTAAGATTAGAGTTAAGTATTCCCCCTTAGAATTAGTGACCCCCAGTCTGGCAGTATAGTGGCACCTCGTAGTAAAGAAATAGAAGAAGGTGGCACCGTGTCCTCACAAGAGGTGGGGGAAGGTGGCACTGTGTCTTCAATAAGACATGGAGGAAGGTGGCACTGTGTCCTCAACAAGACGCGGGGGAAGGTGGCACTGTGTCTTCAACAAGACATGGAAGAAGGTGGCACTGTGCCCTCAACAAGACGTGGGGAAGGTGGCACTGTGTCTTCAATAAGACATGGAGGAAGGTGGCACTGTGTCCTCAACAAGACGCGGGGAAGGTGGCACTGTGTCTTCAACAAGACATGGAAGAAGGTGGCACTGTGCCCTCAACAAGACGCGGGGAAGGTGGCTGACATGGAGGAAGGTGGCACTGTGTCCTCAACAAGACGTGGGGGAAGGTGGCACTGTGTCTTCAATAAGACATGGAGGAAGGTGGCACTGTGTCCTCAACAAGACGTGGGGGAAGGTGGCACTGTGTCTTCAATAAGACATGGAGGAAGGTGGCACTGTGTCCTCAACAAGACGCGGGGGAAGGTGGCACTGTGTCCTCAACATGATGTGGGGAAGGTGGCACTGTGCCCTCAATAAGACATGAGGGATGGTGGCACTGTGTCCCCAACAAGACGTGGGGGAAGGTGGCACTGTGTCTTCAATAAGACATGGAGGAAGGTGGCACTGTGTCCTCAACAAGATGTGGGGAAGGTGGCACTGTGTCCTCAACAAGATGTGGGGGAAGGTGGCACTGTGTCCTCAACAAGATGTGGGGAAGGTGGCACTGTGTCTTCAATAAGACATGGAGGAAGGTGGCACTGTGTCCTCAACAAGATGTGGGGGAAGGTGGCACTGTGTCCTCAACAAGATGTGGGGAAGGTGGCACTGTGTCTTTAAGACATGGAGGAAGGTGGCACTGTGTCCTCAACAAGACGCGGGGAAGGTGGCACTGTGTCCTCAACAAGATGGGGGAAGGTGGGTGTCCTCAACAAGATGTGGGGGAAGGTGGCACTGTGTCTTCAATAAGACATGGAGGAAGGTGGCACTGTGTCCTCAACAAGACGTGGGGGAAGGTGGCCCTGTGTCCTCAACAAGACGCGGGGGAAGGTGGCCCTGTCGCTTGGAGTTTTAAACACCACTGGGCTAGAGTTGGGTTATGTAAGTCGTAAACTGTATTTAAAAAGTGTGATCACCAGTGCGTCAACAACTACAGGCCGGCGAGTCTGTCCAGCACACTGCAGTCATGTAGTGTGTAAAGTACTAGAGGTGTTATACGCGATCTCACGGCGGAACACCTGGAAGAGAACAGCCTTGTGAAGGAATGCCGACGCGGGTCCATGCCCGGACTTGCCTGCAGGACGAAATTACTGAAGGTGCTGGATGTGCGGACACAGTTCTTTGGAGCGTGGTGGTAATATAAACGATACATAACATACCTTGAGTTTTGTTCAAGTATTACCTAGTGAACCTCCGTACCTACCTAGGTGCCGTGTTTTGGTTTTTACCTTTTTAGACAAGTTGGTGTCTTAAAAAAGAAAATGAAGTTTAGTGGGTGTATCACAAAAAATGTTTTTATTTTTGGCAACACTCAAATATGTTTATCATTACATCATCAGATAGAAATGTGGAGGCAAACAGAAAGAAAATTTGATGAATATTCAGTAAATCGTTAAACAAGTTTTATTGATTCGGCATACAATGAGGAAATGCAGGTAAAGAAAGTAAATACAATGCAAGTATAAACAATGCACATAATGCTTAACGAGAAAGTTGATTCGACGAAGGATAGACAACAAATTCATCATATGTAGTTTCCACTGGGAGCCTTTGCTTAGGTTGGAGTTACATTATTAAGAACATGTAAACAAAATAATTGTGCGTCTCATTACTATCATATTTCACTGACCCAGTACTTTACTGTGAGCCGCAGCATAACAAAGTACAGCATTTATCAAACAGGAAATTATCCCTCTGGAAGAATCATTAATTATGGATATTTGTTTCATATCCGTCCAGTGCTTCGGTTCATTAATGTCAACACCATTCTCTAATTACCAAAGCACTAATTTGCTAATGATACTTTTTACTTTTATTCTCTTCGCCAATGATCGGCTCGTTAGCTGCTTGGACGGTTGGTTACGTCTCTGTTACACATTGTTGGCAAGTGCTGGCACATACTGGTTACAGAATGTTGTATCTACACCTGCGCCAGTGTTGGATAAGTCGAATGAGCTTACAGAACACTCGGTGCCGTCATGTTGTCATACCTTGAGATGGTATATTTATCTAATTTACGTCTACAAGTATACTTATAAGATCTTGTTAGGTGCGTACTGAGTCACGTAATAACATACTGTATATGCTAGACATTAACTGTTAAATATTAAGTCTTCCATTCCATCACACGGCCTAAAATACTAATGACACTTATTAATGCTGTACGGAAATATATTGTTCGGGATTATGTTTATGGCTTGTACTACATTTTTATAATATGCGTTCATTGTTTACATGACTAACAGTTATCATATAATATGATAATATACTTGATAATATTTATAATATATTCTAATTTGCTATTGCTAAATTATATAGTTATAAGAAAACAAGTAATACCTACGAAGACTAAGACGGTGTCAAGGGAGAGCGTTGAAACTCTCCGTGCGGATGTCAGGTGATTGTTGGTTAGCGCCGTGGTTGCTGTTGCTGGTTGGTTAGTACCCCGTCAGCGGCCGAGCTGACAGCGTGTACCATGTGGTGTGTTCCTTGAAGGGTTCTGGCAGCTTGTCTAATTAATGTTACCATCTGTGAGCAACTAAAAGGTATGTACGGGGTATATTTTAAGTTGTATTTACAGCTACACTATAAGTAATGCTTTAACTAGTAAGGTATCCACAGTTAAATATTATGAGTACAAAAAAAATATATGAACATTTAAATTTAATAAGGGAGTTTAGTGATCATCATGTACTAAGACACAAGTTAACGATACGTAACTAGCATTGCTGCAGACCACCACTTCGTATTTTCCCACCAGCTTATTGTCCACATCATTGACCGAAACATAATTTTGGTTGGCTGTATCTCTGTGTTGTGTTCGTTGAAAGAGTGTTGCTGTGGTCATTGTAATATTGTTTGTTGTAACACAGTGTTGAGTCACCTACACCGTCTCCGTGTGTTCCATTGTTCTCGGGATTTTATACAAAGTTAAGAGGGTCAGGCAGTCGAGAGTTACACGTGTTGCCAAGAGTTGCGCGTGCTCTTGTGTAATAACCACTTTAATGTGTTGACTGACAAGTGTTGATTCCCCACCAAATGTTGAACCTACCAAGTGTTACCACATCTACGTTTTGACCTCACGAAGTGTTGCCATCTCCAGGTATTGACCCCACCAACTGTTACCATCTTTGGGTTTTGACTAACTTTACCAAGGTCAAAACATATTAACTTTCCTCAAAACCTAAAAAAAAAACAACGAAGTGACTTGTGTTCGTCAGGAAGCTCAAGATAAACCATAATAGATTACTAGTTTTTATGTCCTTGACAACACACACACACACACGATAATTATATACGTGGCGTGTTAAGCTTTAAAGGCGTAGAAAAGCTTGGTAAGGTTATGGGAGTCAGCTAGACACTAAAAGCTTTAAGGAGAGTAAACTTAAGAGTGTAAGCAGCCTTGAGGTTGTTGTCAGGTGAGTTAGTTAATATCCTGTATAGTGGCTGGCTCTTACTCCTCCTCTTCAATCTTCTTCTCTTCAGCCTTCTCCGCTTCTTCATTCTCAGTTTCTTCATCGTTCTCCTTCTCTTCGTCTTCCTCCTACTCCTTCCATCCTCTTCGTCCTACTCCTCCTTTCTTCTTCCCCCTCCCCTCCTCCACCTCCTCCTTTTCTTCATCGTTCTCCTTCTCTTCGTCTTCCTTTTCCTCCTCTCCTCTTCCTCCCCATCCAACTCTTCATCCACCTCTTTCTCCTTTATTCTTCCCCATCTCCTCTTCTCCCCCTCCCCTATCTCCTCTTCTTCCCCTCCTCCATCTCCTCTTCTTCCCCTCCTCCCCCTTTACCAACTACCAACATATTAAGGTCGAATCAGCCCCCAGGATATAATTATAATGGGGCGGGTCTGGGGGCTGAATTGTCGAACTTTTTACCTTAGAAGTTTTATAAGGTTTTTAAGTATTTTAGTTAAAGTTATCTTACACATAGGTAAATAACTTCCCTAACTTACCGTAACCTAACCTAACCTCATCCCCCAGGTAGTGTTTAGGTGGTTAATCTTTAGGTTAAATAAGATTGGGTGGAGATTCTGCAGGTGATCTCATTAACACGTCATGAACTAAGAGTATATTTGTTAGTTCTTCTTTAGGGAGAACTGGGATAAATCTATTAGTGTAAACGTTTAATATTTTTACAGATTTATAAGACCCACATAAAAAAAATCAACCTATATACGTTATATATACATATTACACGGTTGCAAAGTGACAAAAGTCAACAAACTGACCCGATTATGTGTAAAACTAGAACAGTACCGCATTAACCAAGTAACCCCCAGAAATGACCAGGTAACTACAAAAGCAGAATTACCTCGACAGCACAGTGCCTCCCCTTCCCGGCCACACGTTGACCTTGCCAGCCATTCAGTAGTAAATACCGTGGAATAGTTTCCCCTTCAGGTGCCCTCGCCTCTACTGCCTCAGGTTGTCACGCAAGGTTCTGTGGGCGTGGTCTTCATTCTACCTGTCCTCACTTATTTAATTATATATTTATTTTAAAATTTAATTAAGCTCTAGTTAGGATGGATTAGCTGAATTGGCTAGAACATATTAGCCTAGGAAGGCCTGGGTGGGTTAGGATTATTACGGGGTACTCGGGATTGTGCTTTGTGTCTTCATGTACTCCAATATGTACTCTATTAATTCCTGTGTGACGCTTTTAGATACATTGATTGGATAAGTTGATTATATTCCTTTTTAATCATCAAAAATAATTTGTATTGTCTAAATATTAAGTAATTAGATACAGTAATAAAGGGTTTCACCACACGTGTTCCAGTCCCCTACGGTGATGCCATCATTGTGTAAATCACTAGTTTCCTAAGAGTGTATAACCAGACTAATTATAAAGACGGATAATTCGTCAATAAATCTTTCGTTAAAACTGTAAGTATTAATGTTATAAGACAGTTATTACTTAAATAATTATTGTTTTATAAGACTTACATTTATTGACACATCAAATTCTTCACTGCTGCCTTTCGGTTCCTTTAGGTATTTCCTGTGAAAGTTATAAGGAAATTCTTAACGTGTCCCCGTGAGGTGAACCAGTGTAAATAACGAAGAGTGAAAGTTTGAAATTCGTACTTGACCTGACCTGGGGAGCTGAGGTCAGTAAAGTACGTGATGGCACACTATAGAAGAGTTAACGAAAGACTTCCTTCTCTCCTCGCTCACACCCGTTCCCCAGCTTATTACACTTTAAAATTTACCAACATAACCTAAGTAAGTAACGCAATTGTTTAATCGTCAGGTAAAATAAACCGGGGGGTAATCTTCAGGTGACTCTACTTTTTTGGTATGTTTTGTTACCTACGACGAATGTTCCTTAAACCACAAAGCCCTAGTGAAACCCCCGGAAGAAACGCCAGGTTGGTTGTGTGTCCAGAGCTTTCATCGCTTGCAAAACTCGAGAAAGTGGAAAGAGTAAGCAGTTTTTACGTTATATACAAACAATCCCACGTGGCTGTTTCTCATTAGACAATTAATTCCACCTTCAGAATTATACTATTGTAAACAAAAATAACATTAGGTCGAGTTTCTTTTTTTTTTAAGTCATAGTGCACTGTGAGGGTTAGATGTGGCAAGACTTCCCGTCTCGGTGAAGTGAAAGGAAACGCCATATGTCGGTTGGTGTTTACTGTATACTTGTGTATTTTTTTTAATAGTACGGCGCTACGGCCACCAATTACGGGATGTATAATTATCAAACGTATATCATCCATTTCATCACTCACAGTACATGTTCCGGGTGGGTCGTGGTAATGGAGTAACAATGATGTGGTTGAGGTAACAGGTACACACTACAGCATGGCGCTGGTGTTGTTATTTTCCTACTGTGATATATAAAGCAACACCTCCCCACAACTTTTGTTAATTACGAGACGTTGTATATGTTGCTGGAAAAGTTGAGGTGATTTTTTTTCCTTGTGTCCTCAGTCAGGGCCGTCATAACCTCAGTCTTATTGCACCTTAAAAGTTTATAGTTAAGGACCCTTATTTTTCTACCGCAGTCACGTTGTGTTACACAACTTGTGTAAATCATTGTTGACAAGAGAATAGACTCGAGACCCGCAGGCGCTTTACTCCCCCTCTCACTCCTCAATTGTGACTCACTACCTGCACAGTATTTTCTTTAGTCTCTTTTTAGCCTAGTACCCCGACTACCGCAAATATCATCGATTTATTCTAAACCTCACTGATATCGTATATTTTTACCTGGTGTTTTTTTTTTTACTTGTGTGATTCTGCCTGAAGTTTTTGCCTAGAAAAACTAATTTGAAGTGAAGATATAGTGAGTAGTTTCCTTTAAGTTATTTCACTATACTTCAACAGACGCCCTAGTTGAGACTGCCGGTGATCTTGGTGCCACGGACGTATGGTACTTATCATTCTCTTATGTTGGTGATCCCAGACACCACCACCACCACCACCACAACAACAGCTGCTGAGTTTCTTGGTGATCCTTTCGTGTTTGTGTTTACCTGCCACTTACGGATCTCTTCCCTCTCCCTCCCACTCGCGCCTCTCTCTCTCATCTTCCAATCCGCGAGTGTCTTGAAATGTGAGTGCCTTGAAATATGAATGGCACAACCCTCTTCCCCGTCCACCCAAGACCTACCCCACATCAGTTATTTACACTCCACAAATCATCTAAGTTATAACATTTGATGACACTGACGATGAATTATAGGTTGTGGCATTGTTTTTCTTACCTGTTGATTGATCGTAAAGAAGACTGATGCAGTGCCTAGGTGGTACAAGGTTAATACCCCCAGGTGAGCGAGGCATCCTGAACACACACGGCTGCATCTAATAGTTACATATTGTTGTGTGGTGGTTATTGGTGAACACTTTGAATATAATCTGCTTCCACCACCTGTTTGTACTAATAGTGTCTCTCACTCTTTTATTGAATAGGTGCCAGTGTCCTTCGTGACTGAGGGTGTATAGTATATATTATCCATCAGCCCAGTTACAGAATACACCAGTCAGGTATATGGTTTAAATCTCGCGGTCAAATGTGGTTTAAATCTCGCGGTCAAATGTGGTTTAAATCTCGCGGTCAAATGTGGTTTAAATCTCGCGGTCAAATGTGGTTTAAATCTCACGGTCAATTATGGTTTAAATTTCACGGTTAAATATGGTTTAAATCCCCCCGTTTAAAAATAGATGTTTTAAATAATATAAGATCACCTGAAGAATCTCCACCCCAGCCACCTGAAGATTAACCACCCTAACTAACCTCATCCCACCAAATAGTGTTAGGGTGATTAATCTGAAGGTGAAATAAAACTAGGGTGGAGATTCTTCAGGTGATCCAAATTGTATGTATGTATATACTGTATAAATTTGTACGTAATAAAATAAAATAAGATAAATTTTGTCAAATCTTTCCTTCAGCCTAAACGCCAAATTCTTTTATCGTTCCCTGACTGGGCCAATGTTTACTTTTCTTCCTTGATAACGTTAGCCAATGTGACTATCAGTAAGTGTATCGCAATCTTGATACAAACAGATACCACTTGGCTACACCGTGACCTCTTGGATTACGCAGTTCAATTCTGGTCACCGTATTATAGAATGGATATAGAATCCTTGGAAAGAATTGAGAGGAGAATCACCAGACTAATCCCGGGCATTAGGAACCTCGAGTACAGAGACAAATTATAGCATCTTAATTTGCACTCCCTCGAGAGACGTAGAGCGAGGGGCGACATGATAGAGGTGTATAGATGGAAGTCAGGGCTAAACAAAGGGGACATTACAAAGGTACTCAAACTATCCAACCAGGAGCGAACTCATAACAATGGTTTTAAATTAGACAAATTTTGATTTAGGCGCGAAATAGGTAAACACTGGTTTGGAAATGGAGTACTGGACGAGTGGAACAAGTTACCAAATATCATCATTAACTCGAATACGCTGGATAGCTTCAAACATAGGTTGGATGGATATATGAGCGATAGGGGTTCTTATAAGTTTATAGGATGTGATCACGTGAAGATTATAACCACCGCCAGTTTATTACACCTGATGATTTAACATCTTTACACTATCTGAAGGCATTGGGTTAGATTTGACTTTCCCTGGCACTACACACACACACACGTCAAAGTAACCAGAGAAAAACTAAATCCAATTATTTTTCTTAACATTTTTGTATCTGATTTACGAAAAAAAAACTACCTTTATTTCTTTTGTTCCATTATCTGTATATTATAAGTTGTTTATCCTGTTCCAGCAGCTTTGACCTCTCGTGTGCGGTTGAGGGTGTTGACCTGAAATACCTTGACCTGACCTGACTACTAGATCACCATGAGCCACGACCACCTAGGTCATGCGGCCACAGGTGACCCGAATCACCTATCTCCAGGTGAGTGAGTCAGAGACTGGGTGTGACTGCAGGGGCGCATACAGGAATATGAAAAAGGAGGAGGGGGGGTGGAGGAACAGACGAGCAAAGTGGGCCTTCCCAGCTGGGGGTTGTGGGGCGTTGTAAGTCCCCCGAATTTCTATTAATTTTTTAATCTGACCAATATCATGGCCAATTTGAAGCCGTGTTCACTTGATATTAGGAGATATTCTGAAGTCAATAGTAATTAATTTTTACTTTACAAAAAACGCCTGAGTACAATATTGCATTAAATAACAAATATTTAAATTTTCTGATGAAAAGGGAGGATCCGAACCTCCGCCCCTGGAGTGAAAAAGATATGAAGCAGTGAGTGAATGTGAGTTAATAAAAGAGTGAGGGATTGGGAGACAATGAGTGAGTCCATCCCGTCACCAGAGAGGGGGGTGGGCGGAGGGGGATGAATTACCTTTACTCATCATTTCTACATCAGACCTTCGTGTATATTTCAGTATCTAAATATTGAGTCTACAAATCATTATTCCGTATGTTTAATGCTGAATTGGAAAAATGATTTATCAAACCCAGAGCTCTATAAATCTACATTGATTAGTGGACATATGGTGTGTGTGTGTGCGTGCGTGCGCGTGCGTGCGCGCGCGTACTTGGCCGTATTTTAATGCTTTTTATTTCATGAAATCATGGTTAATATTTTCAGGATAAAATATTCCACTGCCGCTCGTGAATTACAACACGCACCAATAATAACAACATACAGTAGGTTATTATCTACTTATTCACAACCAGGATGTTGTTTAGTGAGTAACTGTTGTTATTGTCGTTATTATCCGCCTCATTCAAGGTTATTTTGGGTGATTGTGACGACGTGTGACCTACAATCTGAGCCTGGCTCTATAAAACAACCTGGAGCTGGAGGTAGTATAGGTGCGTGTGGTCTCTTGTCACAGGTGGGTGCTATCGTGATGAGCTGAGCTGACGTAGCCTCAGGTAAAGCTAACGTCTCCCTTGGGTACACTGTTGCCACGCTTACGATAATTATCCCATTTTACGATAAATTAACCTAGCTAAGATCCACAGTATTTTTTCTCCAATAATTTTGGGAGATATGTTAATTTGTTGATAAAATTGATATAGGATATTCCTTCACCAATACAAACGGAGCCCCTCCCTCCCCTCCACCCTCAGGACTGTGATTGGTGGTGTGGGTATTGTTAAATGTAGTGTGGGTATTGGTAAATGTAGTGTGGGTTTCAGGGTCGGTTATTTGGTTGCGTAGAACGTATTTACATCATTCATGGAGGGAATTAGGGGGGGGGGGAGTCGGCAATCATCAATGTTAGGTATCGTACAATTTCCCCTGAGATATGTGTGTCTGTACATTATTTCTCAGAATCTGGGAGAAAGTAGTACGATATTTTCACCTTTAGTCATTTGGCAACAGTGTCCAGAGAACGCCAAATAATATTCTAATAACATCATACTCGACGAATCTAGTCCCAATATTCCCCAGGCATCCTAAAACCACTATTACATTGACGTCCTGTAGGCCAAACCTAACCTAAACATGAAGTGCAGATAAAAAAAAAATCGACTTTAGACCGTCCTGCTTCCCGGGCTTGAGGCGACACGACCAAGCTGCCACTTTATTTATCAGGCCACCAACTTATAACGGCACCCCTAAACAAGTTCCCGGAATATTACAGCATCGCGTAAGCAGCTGTGTCCGTGGTCTGTCCTTACTGTGAAAAAGGGATTAAAGTCTTAAGCGGGTGGACAAACGAAGCTCCTCCCTCTTCTCACTCCGTCTACCCCGCGGAAATGAGAGTTGGTGGATGTTGTGTTACTTTTAGGTGAATATATAGTCATAGGTTCCTTAAAGTATTAAACCATTAACCACAAAGGTACTCAAATTATCCAACCAGGAGCGAACTCGTAACAATGGTTTTAAATTAGACAAATTTAGATTTAGGCGTGAAATAGGTAAACACTGGTTTGGAAACAGAGTAGTGGATGAATGGAACAAGTTACCAAATATCATCATTAACTCGAATACGCTGAATTGCTTCAAACATAGGTTGGATGCTCATATGAGCAATAGGGGTTGGTTGTAAACGGGACTGCCCAGTATGGGCCAATAGGCCCGCTGCAGTTTCCTCCATTCTTATGTTCTTATGAGTGTTGAGATGGAAGAAAATAAGTATGTATTTTAATCGTTTTTATTATTATCGGTTTTCTTATCGGTCTGTGAAATAGGAACCGAGTCTGTGTGGGTAGAAATCACGGAAGGAAGAGAAAAACTAATTATGGGAGTGATTTACAGGCCCCCCAAGTCTTGGCAAAGAAGCAGCTCAGCCCATATGGCAGGAAATGAGTAGGGCAGCAAAATATAACAACCTATGCATTATGGGGGATTTCAACTTCAGAAATATTAACTGGGACAACATTGTAGGCGACTATGAATCTGAAGACTTCCTTGACGCAGTACAGGACAATTTTTTGAAACAACTAATTACAGAACCTACTAGAGGTGACAATATATTAGACCTAGTATTAACAAATAAAGAAAATATTATCAGAGATATCACAGTAGGGGAAGAACTAGGTAACAGTGATCACAGAGAAATCAGGTTCACCCTAAATTGGGAAACGAAAAACAATGACAATATGGTCAGTCCCAAACTTTCGGTTGGCGGATTATCAGGGGTTAAGAAGGTACCTAGGTGAGGTCACCTGGGAACAGTCACGTCAGTCCCCAGTAGGAAGGGGTGAGGTCATAGATGACACAACAATTGATCATGACTATAATATATTCACTAGTATACTACATAAAGCACAAGAACAAAATATACCATACAGAAAAATTAGGTCAAATAAGAATGAGCCAAGGTGGATGACCAGAAAACTTAAACATGACATAGGAATAAAGAAAGGAATATATAAGAAATTAAAGGGAGGGGAGGAGCAGCTCAGAAATAGGTATAATGTTAAGGTTTAGGAGGGAGATAGGAAGAAACTGGTTCACAAATAGGGTGGTGGACGAGTGGAACAAGCTTAGCAACTTTGTAGTAAGTCCGGGAACTCTGGAAAGTTTCAAAAGGAGGCTAGATAGATTCATGGATGATAGTGGTAGTAACTCTCGACAGGAGCTGCCATGCACAGGCCAACCGGCCTATTGCAGACTCCTTATTTTCTTATGTAATAATTTTTTACTCGTCGATCATTTTCTTTTGTTTATAAACCTTTTATTAAATGCTTGTAGTTTCTGTATTTGGCTTAACCCAACTGAATATCTGTCATTTAATATATTTAAAAAAGACAAGTCGAGGCGATTTTCTCTGTTAAGTAAATAGTATTTAATAACTATACTTGTATATAATCACGTATATTTAATTTCACGTCCATAAACAAATTTAAGTGTTATTAAAGTGTTAAGGAAAGTAGATGATAATGGGTGTTTACTTAAATCTTTCTTATACTGTGATAAAAACTCGTTTCCTAAGGTTCATCTAGTGATTTATTTATATCACTATCTATTAACAGTTGATGAAAGCAGAAAAAGACCAACTTTGACAGATATTTTTACTTCAGAAATAAAACACTGGAGATCTGCAATTTAATTTGAGGAAACACTAGTTACGCGGGTTTCTTTTTTGTTTATCCTTTTGTATGAAATATTGATGGTGAACATAACATGTTTTTAGAAATATAGAAAATGTTGTGCAATTGTAATTATTTTTTTAGATAAGGTAATTGTAATTTAACTTAATAGAAACGTAACAGAAATTTGAAGTCTCCAGAAATGGGCGTCCGAGATCATTGAGCTACCACGGTGGCTGCTAGGGTGGTAGGCGTGGCTTGCCTATATCCCCTGACTCATGTGACGTCACAGTGAGGTCAAGATCAACCCGCTTCTGATCACAAGCGCTTACGCATTAACGTTACGGGTTAGTCTGTCAGGTCACATATAAGAGGGCTGTCCCGTTGAGTCGCTTCAGTTGTGAGCGAACCATTTTACTGTGAACTAGGTGAATTTATTTCATTGGAAGACTTTTAGATCAGAAGGTAAGACATCATAATTAGAAATGAAGATTAGTTTCATCTCCTTTAAAGTTAAATATTAAAGATTACTGGAGAATCAGGAATTAAACGTGTTGTTATTGGCTGTGGCGATATTGTTGGGAACATTAACAAGTGAACATAAATATCATAAAGGTAACGCAATTCTTGTGAGCGCGGGGTACCCGGCTAGACAAGCTCTACCAGAGTAGTGCACAGGGAAACTGTATAATGAATCCTGAACGTTCGAGTGGATATTGTTGGTTACGAATTGTCAGAAAACGTTAAATATACCTAATAGGCTACGATACTGGTCACGGCAAAATAGCGTGACAGGCTGCGTTTGAGCTATTTTGCCCGTCTATTGTTTATATAATTATTTCCGGTAGTTATGTAATTTTGTTTTTTACTTTATTGTACCGCCTGGTGATCGTTGTACATTTTGAATATCAAGAACGTTATTTAACTTAAGTGTGTATATCCTCATGACATGCTTTATGTTTTTAATACATAAACAATGGACCAGTAAAATAGCCCAAAATAGCTTGTCAGGCTATTTTGCCGTGACCGGTACTTTACCCTGTCAGGCTATTTTGCTGTGACCAGTAATTTGTTCTGTCAGGTTATTTTGCTGTGACCGATACTTTACCCTTTCAGGCTAGTTTGTCGTGACCGGTACTTTACCCTGTCAGGTTATTTTGCTGTGACCGGTACTTTACCCTCTCAGGTTATTTTGCCGTGACCGATACTTTACCATTTCAGGCTAGTTTGTCGTGACCGGTACTTTACCCTGTCAGGTTATTTTGCTGTGACCGGTACTTTACCCTCTCAGGCTATTTTGCCGTGACCGATACTTTACCCTTTCAGGCTAGTTTGTCGTGACCGGTACTTTACCCTGTCAGGTTATTTTGCTGTGACCAGTTATTTGTTCCGTCAGGTTATTTTGCTGTGACCGGTACTTTACCCTCTCAGGTTATTTTGCCGCGACCAGTACTTAAACCACTGCCTAAATATAATGCTATTCCAAATGATAAGTATCGACTCGATATGTGGAGATTATTTATATTTTTTACGTATTCAAGGCCCCAAGTCTTATGTCCTTATGTAAAGTAAATAATACAGAGGATCCAAATATTATGGTAAAAGCAGAATCTTCAACCTCGGTTCACGAAAGCAACACTTATCTGACTGAAATGTGGTGTTGTATTATTGCATGTATTTTGCATTCACGATGACTTTACCTTGTAGTTAGATTTTGTGTATACGGTACTAGTTGAGATGGAGTGTAATTGAAACTTTGAAAGGTAATTGTAATTGGTACTTGAGAAAATTAATTGTATTTGTAATTGATTCAACTCTGCTCACTGCATGTGTCTACTAATGGCTGGGGAAAATCCAGTACAGGTATAATTATTTTTAAAATCATTGCCCTCAAACCATTGTTGTCCTGAGAGTGGTAGTAATGACCATAATGTTGACCTGAGAGTGGAAGTGTTGACCTCTAATGACCTTGTTCTTCCCTCCAGGTGGTATGGAGGGACACGAGTCACCAGTGTCTTCCATCCTCGACACCATCATAGGCAGCCAGCAGACCGAGGTAGGTTCTTCTTACCCTGTCGTGGTTTTTAAACAATAACAACAAACAACAGTAATAATAGGAACAACAACTACAATAATAACAATAGTAACAACTGCAAAACATACACACGCATCAGAACCAACGCCCTCTTGGTATGGTATTTTTGCGACTTCACACTCTTAAAATAGCTACCAACATCTCCATTCTCGTCACACTTCTCTTCCTAACTCTTACTTCCATCCCCAACAATCTAACATTCATTCTCCACCTCTTCCTCCCCACCCTTCACTCCTTCCCCAAGGCTCAACATTCACTCTTTCCTGTCTCGGTTCTCAACACTGCCTGTGGCCTAGTATTGTTACCAACACTTCAGGCCTTTACCACCCCCTACCCCCGTGACAGAGGTGCCAGGTACAGTGGGTAGTGGACCTCGACACACAGGTGATAGAACAGTTTATTGGAACCCGTTATGCACCACACGTCTTGTATATGACACACCTGGGGCGCCACACACGTTGTACTTATGTATTTGCGATATTGTATGATTTACTAGTCCCCATGTTTCATCTTAACAAACATACAGACGTCTAACGCTTGAATGTTCTGGTGTGAAATAATGGCTACTATTTTTGTGCACGACCACTCAATCTCTCTCTCCACTTCAGTTGGGTGGAGGGCGAAGGTGACGGTTCTCCCACCCTTGTTAATAATGAGACAGGTGACAGCTGAGGTCCCAAGGTAACGCTGTTGTTATCTGATGACTAGTGTGGGTGAACTTAGCAACTGAAGGTGTGCTGCATCGTCTGTCTCTCTGTTACTTGTTATCAATAGGCTGGACGGTATGAAGAGCTTAGTACCTGGTCAGCTCTTACCGGAGTGTCTGGTTGTGCGTTAGTGCAATTATTTACCTGTTCATTTTTTCCAAACTGATGGGGTTGATTAACACGAGAGAGGATCCTCATTTTAGACCTTTGATGCTAATCCCGTATCGACTCCTCCAATGATAGTTATTTTGGGGGGTTAAAGAAAACGGTGACACGAAACAGTCTTCAGCAGTGAATAAATTGATTTACAGTAACAGCGTCATTGGCTCGATATTCACCTGACGTAGTAATGGTTCGTTGGAGGGGTTTGTATCCACTCGGGCGATATTTATTTACGCCTGAGAAACTAAGAGTATCAGCTAGCCTCCTGACGAGACAATTTAAGGGTCAACTTTTATTATTATTGGTATGTGCATGTGTTTACCTTCTTGTTTGCATACCTGGAGATTACTAAGTTAGGGAGGTTGTGTTCATGTTTCCCCGGGCGTGGGGAGCTGATATAGCAGTAGACGCAGCTGTGTACCATACCGACGGTCGGGAAGAGCTTTATAGCCAGTTGGTTGCTGGAATCCGGTGTGGTCGGTCGTAAATAGAAATTATATTGTATTCAGCATAAAAGTTGAGGTAGTCATTGACGGTGTGGGTAAAGTACTGTATAATGCTGTCAATGGTGTTGTCAGTAAATTATAGTTTTGGTTGTAACTTATGTTGTTGTCAGTATTATTTTATGTTGTCAAGTAAATATTGTTATTAGCCGTGTATGATGGAAGTAACTTAGTTTTGTTAGTAAAATATAATGTTGTTAATTACACAGTATGTAGTCAAAAGAATAGTGTTGGTAGGATTCGATGTTGTCAGTAATTTTGTAGTATATACTGAGAATCCGAGATGGATATAAATATATAGTTATTCTGTAAAGCCGTCATACTTGTTCACAATAATTCAGCATGTATATAGACGCTAAAAATATGGATATAACTTACATATACTGTACAGTGCAAACAATGTACGTAAACAGTGCAGATGTACAAACAGTGAAGTGTACAGTACGTTACATAAGAAAATAAGGAGACTGCAATAGGCCGGTTGGCCTGCGCATGACAGCTCCTGTCGAGAGTTACTACCACTCTTATCATCCATGAATCTATCTAGCCTCCTTTTGAAACTTTCCAGCGTTACAGCACTTACTACAAAGTTGCTAAGCTTGTTCCACTCATCCACCACCCTATTTGTGAACCAGTTTCTTCCTCTCTCACTCCTAAACTTATCCAACTTGAATCCGTTGCTCCTAGTCCTATCCTGCTCGGATATTATAAGAACTTTATCTATATCCCCTTTATTGATTCCTTTCACCCACTTAAATACTTCTATCATATCTCCTCGCACTCTTCGTCTTTCTAGGGAATGCAAGTTAAGTTTCTTTTACCTATCCTGATATGGAAGGTTTCTAAGTCCCGGAATCATTTTTGTCATTCTTCGCTGCACCGACTCCAGTGAATTTATATCCATTCTATAATAAGGGCACCAGAACTGAACCGCATAATCGAGGTGCGGCCTGACTAGCGCAAGATATAGTTGCAATAAGACCTCTGCACTCTTGTTACTTACACTTCTAGATATAAAACCCAATATTCTGTTTGCCTTATTTCGAACATTAACGCACTGTTTTCTAGGCCGTAGGTCCGGGCTTACAAGTACCCCTAGGTTACGTTAGGGTTGGTAGTCTTTGTTTACGGTGGTGTAGGTGGTGTTGATGTAACCTTTTGTGAGTGGTGACGACGGATGTGGGGGTGTACAGTGGAATCCTTGCAGACGAACAGAAGGCCAAGGTGTCAAGAACAGATAAGGGGGGGGGGGGCGTGTGCTGCCAGGCTCCAGAATATCTTAACGTTTGAAGATATAAACAACACGTCTGGCTGTCTGGCTCAAGCTACGACACAAAGTTATAACTGCCACAAATATGTTCGAAATTGCTGCGCCACTTTGCTGTATATAGATTCATTCTCACGTTACCCAGTTCAGGGACAATACTGGCCTATGACTGGAGAATCTGAACACGTTGAAATGTTAAAATTATCTGCCTTTTTCAAACATGATCGACTTTTCAAAACAAATAAACAGCCGTGTTAAATTACCTCCTTCGTATAGTTTCTGATGTGTGTTTTTTTACACATTTTGTTGGTCGAGATAAGTCATGCACGGTGTAACATGACGCAGCGAGACAGTCGAGGAACTGCTTAGTAACTGAAACCAAGAACCATGACGTAGGTGTAGTGTTGTGAGGTGAGGGACGAAGAACAGGATATTCTACCTCTCAAACTCTCATCTGTAAGAATAGACAGGTAGATGCCACGATAAGAATAGACAGGTAGATGCCAAGAAAAGAAAGGACAGGTAGGTTTATCCACCTCTAAATACCTGTGGAAGAAAGTCTGAATGGTTGAGGATGTTGTGTTACTCCTACCAGCTCTCAGGCCGGATATCATACCTCCTCTTGAGTTGATATTCATATCCGGTCAGTGACGGATGGCAGGCAGGCAGGCGAGGACGGGATAATAACCATGTGTGATGATGTTGCCTGATGGTGGATGAGTGGTGGTGTATGTGGTGGAGTATGTGGTTGTGACTGGTGGGGTATGTGGTGGTTATTGGTGGGGGAGGTGGAGTAACATAGCACACACACACAAGGTCGCTCCAACCTCACTTTCCGCCACCCCTTTGTTACAGCACCCGTCTATACCTGTAACTCTGATTCTTCCCTTGCTGGCTCTCTTCTACAGGTGGATACAGTACACACACACACACACGCGCCAATACATGATGCTACAGGGGTACTTGTAAGCCCGGACCTACGGCCTAGAAAACAGTGCGTTAATGTTCGAAATAAGGCAAACAGAGTATTGGGTTTTATATCTAGAAGTGTAAGTAACAAGAGTGCAGAGAGTCTTATTGCAACTATATCTTGCGCTAGTCAGGCCGCACCTCGATTATGTGGTTCAGTTCTGGTGCCCCTATTATAGAGTGGATATCAATTCACTAGAGTCGGTGCAGTGAAGAATGACGAAAATGATTCCGGGACTTAGAAACCTTCCATATCAGGATAGGTTAAAGAAACTAAACTTGCATTCCCTAGAAAGACGAAGAGTGCGGGGAGATATGATAGATGTATTTAAGTGGGTGAAAGGAATCAATAAAGGGGATATAGATAAAGTTCTTATAATATCCGAGCAGGATAGGACTCGGAGCAACGGATTTAAGTTGGATAATTTTAGGTTTAGGAGGGAGATAGGAAGAAACTGGTTCACAAATAGGGTGGTGGACGAGTGTATGTATGTATGTATGCGTGTGCGTGTGTGTGTGTACACACTCGTCCTGTCTGAATCGTCGCATTACTGTGAACTTTACTCGTGATGGCAAAGTATCGGGTAATAAATGTTCCCCCGCCAACCATAGTTATCCATTAGAGTACATAAGAACATAAGAATGGAGGAAACTGCAGCGGGCCTATTGGCCCATACTGGGCAGTCCCGTTTACACCCATCCTTTATTGCTCATATAAGAAGATAAGAAACTAAGGAGTCTGCAATAGGCCGGTTGGCCTGTGCATGGCAGCTCCTGTCGAGAGTTACTACCACTCTTATCATCCATGAATCTATCCAGTCTCCTTTTGAAACTTTCCAGCGTTCCAGCACTTACTACATAGTTGGTAAGCTTGTTCCACTCGTCCACCACCCTATTTGTGAACCAGTTCCTTCCTATCTCCCTCCTAAACCTAAATTTATCCAACTTGAATCCGTTGCTCCGGGTTCTATCCTGCTCGGATATTATAAGAACTTTATCTATATCCCCTTTATTGATTCCTTTCATCCACTTAAATACTTCTATCATATCTCCCCGCACTCTTGTCTTGTCATTTCTTCAGCGAGGTATATATTATTACGAAAGCTGGCACAAACCTGGTTATGTACAGGCAGTATTCATTAAAGTTATTTGTTATGAGAACTTAAAATAAAAGATTCGTGTACGATAGTTCACCTCACCAGGAATTAAAATTTTTAAGAGGTTATTCTTAAGTCTTTGTCTTTAAGTTGCATAAAGATGGCCGTTTGGAAGCCTTTAAAGATTCGTAAATTGTTCACATATTGAAGTCAAAACAACACTTGTGAAGATTGTTTATACACACAGACAAGGCTCTAAAGTCTGGCTAAGAATATAATTGTCTTAAAAAATGCTTAAAGACTTTTCCTTGTTCACTCCACAGTCTTGAGAAAATCCTTTATTATTTCAGTCTGATCTCATGAAAATTACCCCTCGCCTCTCACCTGACACGTAAACACCCCATTTAGCGTCAGAATGTTTAATCATCAGGTGAAAATAAACTAGGCGCTTTTTAATCCTGCTAAGATCCCTTTTCCCCGGAAGATGTCACCACTTGGACGATAAACATTTTGAGAACAGGAACGCACACACACCGGTCTACTGCGGAGGTAAAAGAAAAAGAAATATTACAATATCCCAACACCAAACTTTATTTTTAGTGTATATAATCAGTATTTTCCTGGATTTAACCGGATTTATGAAGATCCTCCACCCAAGTCTCTCAGGTCCGGTTAAATGACTCCTCCAACCTTGACCGTGACCCAGCATGACCTGAGACGGGTACCTGGGTAACGTCAACCTCACTTCCCCATTATAGGATTACGATGATAAAATAGCCTTTACGTTAGTTTACGATCTGTCAGGTTAAAGCTCCGCCCACTGTTGTCGTTGACCAATCAGGTTGTATTTTTCCTAGAAGCCAACCAGGTTTACAGGATGTCTGACAAGAACACCTACGTGGTTAAACTCTCATCAGTTTATAAGTTCAAGTTTGAGTGTGGTGGTGGTCTTCAACAGGGCGGCCTGAGGTTAAGTGAGTATTATAACACCTTCTCTTGTGTTACTCATATATTGATACTAGCAGTTATAAGACATATATCCAAATCTCCCCTAAGAACTCAAACGCGACTGAAATTATTGTTTTTTATTTCTTCAACTTAAATGAGAATTAGAACATATATGACTGATTTTACTCCAGCTCATTTAACTCATTGCTTATTATCACAGCAGAACTGGACTCTACCTACATGTGGTTAGTTTAGGTTATTCATTTATATATTATCTTGTGGTTAACTACATGATCGTAATTAACTTAACCTTACATGACATAACTTTATCTAACCTAATTTATGTATAGTTCGGTTATGTTGTACGAATAAAAAAAGTTATCCTATTTAGCCCCCCAAAACGTTACTCGAGTATACTTATATTTATTTATATATTCAGTAAAAGAAATGTGGTTCTGTCATAATGTCAACTATGATATATTTCTCGACAATTTTGATTTATTACTTACACGTGTAACTTAATACTTCAACCGAGTTCATTAATTTTCCGTCTACACAAACCATGGCTGGAACTTTACACGTTTACTCCTTCAACAGAGGCGCTGGGTCAACATTTATAAAAATTTGTGTGATCAATATTCTCGTAACTGAAATTGAAAGAAATGGACATAACTGATTGATCAGCGGAAGATTTAGTAGTAATGATAAGTAGGAATCTTAAGCCAAGTAAACAATGTGTATTTGCTCGAAACAAGGCTAATATAGTACTTGGGTTCATACAAAGGAGTGTTAGTTACAAGACTAGCGAGGTAGGGGTTGGGTGTAAACGGGACTGCCCAGTATGGGCCAATAGGCCCGCTGCAGTTTCATCCATTCTTATGTACAGTCACCCAAAAATGTCCTGTCGCGAACCACGATTCAGACTCGTGAACCCGAAGCAGTAGACACTGATACATTATTCTATAAATGCTTCGGATTCAAGAGTCTGAATCTCGGGGTTCATGGTTCGCGACAGGACTTTTTTGGGTGACTGTACACTGAAACTATATACCCTATTTAGATACATTCCATTGTTGCCGGCCAGAATTTAGGTACAGTCACTCCTAAAATTATCTACGGATATACAAAATTGTGTTGAGAAAATTTGACAGCGGACGAAGGATTTTGACAACCCTGACTACGATAATTTAATCCATTGAGTATGATGATAACCTTTTTGAGTGCTGGGACTTGTCCCCACATTAAGTTCACTCAAATTCACTCATGAGTTATGACACGATGTTATCTACTACCAAGATGACGTCAAAGTTCAGTGAGGTTCTGACGTAATGATACGTGACGTCAAAGTTCAGTGAGGTTCTGATGTAATAAGTTGCTGATGATTTTCTGATAATCCTCCCAGGAAGTGGAGGCTGTGGCTCACGTCGCCTCAACCCTCGCACTGTCCTTTCCTACTACAGGTTTTTGTGTTCTCCCCGTCACATGAATCAGTTATCATTAGTCTATTACACGAGTGGTAGAGTTAGTGAACAATTATACGTATTTCAGTGTATTAGTTATAGAGTTTAGTTTGATGCAATACAGCTCATTTTTAGAAGACGATTCATTGCCAGTACAAAACAATAGACAAGCGCCACTAAAACACTATCATACCATCATCTTGCATTGAGGTTTTACAGTGGTGCTCTGTCACTTCTCTAGCCAAAGCTACTTGAGTGGAGCTTGGTCCTGCTTGACTGATGGATAAGTGACGACAAGTTATGCAAGTCATGTGTGCTTCCAGATGAAATATTGATGTCGTCTGTGGGCTGGGTGTTGTGGTGGAGTAGTGTGTGGGCTGGGTGTTGTGGTGGAGGTAGTGTGTGGGCTGGGTGTAGAGGTAGTGTGTGGGCTGGGTGTTGTGGTGGAGGTAGTGTGTGGGTTGGGTGTTGTGGTGGAGGTAGTGTGTGGGCTGGGTGTAGAGGTAGTGTGTGGGCTGGGTGTTGTGGTGGGGCAGTTTATGGGCTGGGTGTTGTGGTGGGGCAGTTTATGGGCTGAGTGTTGATAACTTTGCCTCATAATTTCCAGCGTTTTCACATTAGCTCTGTTCTTTGTGTTCCAGTTATCGTTATGACAAACTACACTATCTAGCGCCACCACACCATATAGGAAGGCACATTTCATTTTGCAGAACTTATGTCTACCAAACTTCATGTATACCCTGGACAAGGTATCGATGTAACTCCCTACAACCGCGTCATTCTTGTATCATACAATTACTACCAAGTCGAAACATTTTGCTCCACTTATATGCAGTGTTTGGTAGGAGGAGACAGCAATTGCTTGACCTCCCTTGTATCAAAGCGGTTCACTTTGGTATGGCTGTTTCCCCATGGTGTGGCAGTTCTCCGGGTGTAGGAATCAAATACAACAAGGGTAGCACACTCACGGATTTCCCGGCTCACCCAAGGGCACCCCACTCTGGAATGTGGACTCCGACTGTTGTGTGCTTGTGTACGTTCTTGAGATTATTAGTAGATACATCGTATGATCTGTGTGTGAGTGAGTATGTGTTTGTGAGTTTATTTATGTATCTGTGTGTTTGTTTGTTGTGTATTTACGTAATGTTCGTTCGTGTGTGTGTGTGTGTGTGTGTGTGTGTAAGAACTGGTACACTACATAAATGGGCTGTGTGAACCACATCTCCTGCCCGAAGGATTGGTTGTATGTCTGGCGTCGTACCAATTAGTGTGTTTAGTAGTGAAGTGAGAACATTTAAGGGACATTGTATAGAAGAAAAAAAAATGACATTCAGCAGACACTCGTTATGTTCTAATGTACCTGAAAGAGAAGGAAAAACCTCTTCAAATATCATAAGTTACTTGATGTAGCCACCTCTTCCCCTCCATACATATACAGCATCAACGATAAACAGTGCCTTAAAAAGATTTGCGATTGGTAGAGAATGAGCCAATCAAGAGGCGAGGCAGATGTTGTGGTGAGGCCAGCCACCTGCAAGAGGATTCACAACTGCGCTGTGTAGACAAAATATGTCCCGCCATCGTTGTGGTCAGTCCGGATTCAGAAGATTCTTGCGTCATTCATCCCAACCAAAATTATTGTACCGTAGTTTTAGCGAGTCGGTTAAATATGTTTTCACACTACCATTTCGTGGAAGGCCTGAACATCCGAAAATTTCTGAGAACCCGGGCGCTTAATCCACGTTACACTGGAAAATACGTCACGGAAGATATTAGGATGAAGAGTGGAAATAAATAGATAATGAAAAATACTTATAAACCATCTTTGGAAAATTTGTTCGTGATTAATGTAAGTTTAAGAGTTGTGGGTGTGAAATAAGCATAGATAATCCATATTTTTTTTTCACTCACGGTGTGGTCTCTTCCTTACAGCTGCTGGAGATGCTGCACGTCCCGGTGCTGCACACAGGGGTCAATGAGGTACTGCTTCTGTCCAGTTTCACCACTAATTCTCCTGGTGCCCTCGCCTTTGCCTGCTTCCTGCTCGTCATCTTTGCCATCTTGCTGGAAGTGTTGAGGTTATTGCTGTAAGTTTCTAAGAGGAAGGGAATATATAGAAAGATCTTGGTGTGAGAAGTAGGTAGGTAGGTAGGTGCATTCTTGCTTTTTCAGTTATACAAGTCAAGTGCATAAACACCGGCTCTGTTTACAAGACAGCCTGGTGGGAGGGTAGTGGAGACAATTTACCGGAATTTCTTATTGTTGGGAAATAGAAATTGACTGGTATTTGGGGGAGAACCTGAGAGGAAAGATAAATGTGACGGAAAGTTTGAGATAGATTACTGGAAAATAAAAAGTAAATTGATGAGAAACGCGAAAAAGAGATGATAGAGAGAGTGAATGGAGGTGTTAAAGACGAAAAATAAATAAATATAAGGCAATTTTAAGATAAACATAAAATATAACTCATAAACCCGTATAGAATTATAACTTAATCTTAGTATACGTCAAATCTGTAAACTTAAAACGCGAGGGTAAAATATGTGCAATTTCCTTCCATTGATTATAAAGTGTTAATCTGATGTTACTTTTGGATGTTGCTTTTATTTTTACTCGACTAAAATTACCAATACGTCGTCAGTGTGTTTCAGGGTCAGGCGTGGGCATTGTAGAGATGATAAGGTTCTTTAAAATTAACTTTATATTTAATAAATGGTTTATGTAGTGAATGGAATATTTAAAACACTTGTGGATAAGTATGCGTGGTGTGCATTTATGTGTATATGTGTGCGTGTGATCTGCATGTCAATGTGTCCTGGCTATGGAGGTGGTCTACACAGGTGGACATTGACACTAAACCATCACAGCATAACTCAAATTCACACATATGTATTCTACACAGTAATTCCTCACTCGTTTAACATGAGTGAGCGCCAGGCCTGGACACTGCATGACAAACTCGCTATCACAAACTCACAGTAATGCATAGGAATTTGTCAATGCTACAATATAACTTTAAACACTTTAATAACTATAACTGAGTATCAAACATCATTTAATAAGCAAGTAAAAATATGGACATTCTAAATGGTTGATAAAGTGGCAGCTGAGTAAATGTTCCATGCGACTGAATCCACGAAATCATGTACCGACTTTCACGTGACCTTCGGGTAAAACAACTCTCATGGTGATGGTAACTTGTCTAGGTATATCTGGGCTTTTTTTTACACATGGGATAACTGTGTCTTACGGAGTTTATTTTTAGTGTTTTGATGTGTTTTTGTGTTGTGTGCTGTAGTAATACTATTTCTCCACTATATTTCTTGGTGACAAATTCATTATTTTCCTATTATTTTACAAGTTACTAAATATGACTTTAAATACATTATTTTAAGATAGAATTTCTCTATATTATGATGTCATTGAACTATTTTGCTCCTTGATGCGAATGTTGAATAGAAATTACACGGAATACAACACGTTATCATGATGTGTGTGTTACAGATGGTGGGCGGAGAACAAGTTCATGACGGGCGGAGAGACTGCTCGGGCTTCCTGCGACTGTAAACATTGCACCAGCTTGACCGTGAGGTGAGTGGCACTGTCTGCCTGCTTCCTTGATGTGGCTGGAACCTGTTGTCGGGCCTTTCTGCTGGAGGTTAATCACCTATTGTGGCTTTATTATAAAAATAATGATTGCGGATTTGTTGATTGTGGCGATAAATATAGCTGATAGTTATTTTTAGCTTCAATACTCTTGTTAAAGCCGTTAAGCCAGCAACACATTCCCCATGTTATAAATCATGTCGTTTGTGACAGAAATGTGCTGTTGGCGTTCCCCCGACAGCATATTTTACGGTGAAATATTCAGTGACATGAAAGTATATACCTGTATATCAATTTCAGTTTCTTCTCCAAATAGTGTTTAAAAGATAACAAAATAAGTTTTCTGTGTATATTAGTAAATGTTTACAGTTTGTTTGTGCACAGAAATTAATACCAACCAACATTGAACGTGGTGTTGCGAAAAGTATCGCAATGTATATACTACTACATATAATTGTAAATAATTCTCTATAATATGTATTAGAACATCAAGCTGTATATAGCCTTGTAATCCTAGTTATTCGGACGAGCTAACAAAGTGTTTAAATGTGCCACGAAATGGCTAGGATAATTAGAGAACTTATCTAGAGGGAAGTGGAAATTTATATCATCTTTGACTACGCTTTGCATGAATACCAAGTGAATTCATGGCCTGGGTACGCGAGGAAGACCTGCAAACCACTGTGTTCTAGTAGCTTGAGTCAACTAAACAATACCTCAATTCAGTTTACATGTATTTTAATTGTGCATCTCAAGACATGGAAGTCCTCATGACAACCCTCTCCAGTAAACCCTCAAGGTCCACATGATCTTCCGTCTCTACCAGTTATAAGCTACGGAACACTTAGTTTTATTTAAGCTATTTAAACCTGACTGTGTTATCACTGGTGCTAATATGCAAGTGCAATTCAGTTGGGACAATGTTTTGGTCAATACATCTGATAGTATAAGTAGTCTCGGGTTATAACATGTATTGAGGCATTATACGACATCAGACGCCATAAACGGCTAGTAAGTTTAAATTTTATAATCCGGTTTAAACTTTATAATCCGGTCTAAACTTTATAAACCCTTCGTGATACACTTATACCAGGATATGCCATTAAATTAGTGCATAGACTACGCCAATTGTTCTAACTAAACAGCAATTAGTTTCTTCCGGATTTTGATAGTTTAGCCGTGGTATTTTATTGGGTGTGATGGAGTAGGGTCTCGTATTTTTACTTTTATATATAACACGAGATTTACAGTCCTACCACCAATGTGTATGTGTAAATCATCATTCCAAAATTCCCAACACACGGTTCTTGTGTGTGTATGCATATATGGCTCTTTTACGTGTAATTTATGCATGCCAATGATTCTCACCCATGTATCTCAATATTAATATTTTTCACCTTCCTACCACCAGTTTGCCAGGTGCAGGAGATCGCAAGAACTACAGTGCCATCCACGACACACAGGACTCAACCGAATCCAGCAACACCCTGACGACCCAACCATCCCCTATGTCTTCCTCTATCAGGTGAGTGTACTGTATGTCTTATGTCTTTACCATGCCGTGTTAGGTCTCTTCCTCTCTTGGTTAACCACATCATTGTTCAAGCTGTGATTATGTACAGTACTTGAAAATACTGATGGGAAGAGACACTAGACCATATTGAGTGTCAAAATCCAATATCTAGGAATGGGGTTTGTAGTCTGGGTTAGTTTTCACCCTGGGTTATTGTCTTGATCAACAGCATAAAATAAATGTGGAGATTCTCATTGAGTAATAATCCTACTTACTGTACTCATTTACTCGCACATTTACTCACCTCTGGGATTGATGTTCAGGGACTTCCTTAGCAGGGTAGACTTGAAAGACCGTACACATCAGGGAGGCCAGTGATGATAATACCCCCAAGGCACTGAGATAAGTTATAGCTACTTAACACTAAAATCATGCTGTCACCTTACAAACTGAAGGGTGAGAATGTGCTTGAGAATTTTCATGTCTGTATAAGGACGATGGAAGGTTGCGAGTTTTTTTAACCTGTAGATGCAGGCTTCAGGATGTGGACTCAAATAACCTACAGGTGGAAAGGTCGAGAAAATAACCTGGTCTGAGAATGCAGATGATAATTAAATAATTCCCTTCAAAATGACGATAATTCATTTGTTTATATATAAAACCTCCAGAAACTACTGTAATGATGGAAGTTCTTAGTGAATGGTGTATGATAACTGTTTGCTTAATGCATTTTTTTATATGGGTGTTTATTATTTGATGAACTATTTTTTGTTTTATTCCAGACATATGTTTTTGGGGACTGCCGGCTTACTGCAGTTTGTGATACACGTTGCGTCTTTACTGTTCATGCTGATCGCCATGACTATGAACGTATACATCATTCTCTCTCTGGGGGTGGGTTCTGCCCTGGGTAAGGTGATCACCATCATTGCCCGTAAGATCCTGCTGGAAAAATGTCAGGCTGTTGGCTCAGGTGATGATAATGGCCATGGTGCACCAGCTGGGCCCATGTTAACTCGTTCCTGTGACAAAAACATTTAATTCCTGCAGCTGATGTAATCCTGCCCACAGCAGCTAACACCATCATCTTGTGATCAGACAACTCACTTATGAACACCCCTTGTAGAAATTGTTAATTATGTTTAATTTACAATTTAAGTTGTCATCTTGAATAAAAAATAGTAGCTACTCATCATCACTATTCATGGACTGGTAGATGTCTGGGCTCTGGTCAGTCCATAAGATTTACTGAATATGGAAATTACATAAAATAAACCAGATTCATAAACATATAAGTTCTCTAAATATATTAAGTTAGTTATTTAGTAAGGACCATAAAATGCCTTTCAAGTTGAAAACTAATATTTAGCTTGACCATCTTCCTGCACATGATTTCATCCATGATGTACTTCATAGGATCATCTGAGGACCTGAGTTTTGGTTGAGACGCCCTCCTGTAGGTCCAACTCGAATAATTACATGTTCGACCTCAGATGACCCACACAGTTTCAAGTGAACCACACACTCATTTTAAAGCAATCCACACACACTTAATCTAAAGTTATCCACACTCGACCTAAACTGATCAAACTACCCAAAATAATTTCCTTACATGCATTTATACCAGTCAGGTATATATAACATACCAGACTGTGTGACCATAACGACACCTCATAAATTATATTATACCAAATTTGTCCTCTCTTCTCTTGGTATCAGCCACACTTAGTTCATCTATACTAAGAATTGAACAGCTGATGTTTAACCTGTGTCAAGTTGTTATATCTAAGTTATGTTTTGGTGACCACATACATACTTTATATGTACCTTCCTTATATCTACATGGCTTTCAGTTAAACTTGTTTGCCCATAATATTTAGGTTTTTGCAAACATGTACATATTTTTATAAACAAATGTAAGTATTTCTACTCTAGAATGGATGTAGAGTACAGTACATTATAGGCCACGTGTTATAGTATATATAAATTTGAGAAAAGAAGAAATTTGTTAATCATTTCCTTGGGATTATTTTAGCTCCTGTTTATAAAGTAAAGATGAGGAAGCCATATTAATTTTGTGTTTATTTTTACATAATTATAGGTAAGGATTTTTGTTCTTCAGCTCCAGTACAGTGTTTTAACCACTGATGTATAAATTGTACTTATGACAAGGATGATACACACACACACACCCACAACATCAGACTACTGCTGTGGTCCCTACTAATATTTATCAATGACAAGAATCTCAATTGTCAAATCAACAAAGCCATGTGCTACCTCCAGTATTGTGACATAAAGTACTTCAACATTACCAATATTACTGAGCTATATTGTGTTTATAACTGGCATCGCTGAGTCCTTAAATTTAAAACTGAGCTCAAAGTAAAGGTAGGTGTGTTTGCCTGTGTACATCTGTGTGTGTGTGCTCACAGGGTGTTGTCATGCGTCTAGTGTGGCAGCATTATGTTAGTGTTAAGGTGAAAGCACTGCTTGCTTGCTTCCTCTTGCCTTCAGCTACTGCTGCTGGCTAGCCCTTGTGGTGACCAGAGAAGCAGCTTTGTGTAAGTCTTCCCCTGCCAGTACACAGCCTCTTCACCATCAAGACTCCTGCTGTTCCTCCTCCACACTTCCACTCCAACACTTCCTCCCCACACAGCCACGCCAGCACTTCCTCCCCACACAGCCATTCCTACACGTCACCCCCACAGTCACTTCAGCACTTCCTCCCCACACAGCCACTCCAGCACTTCCTCCCCACACAGCCACTCCTACACGTCCTCCCCACACAGCCACTCTAACACGTCCTCCCACACACAACCATTCGCACGTCCTCCCCTGGGAGTGTGTATGTGTGGGCGGTGGTTGTGGCCGTCAACATCGATCGTGCCGTGCTGGCTGCCATGAGTCCATCCCCACAGCAGAAGAACCGCAGCTCCCACCTTCCTAAACCCTCGTCCTCTTGGCTTGTTACCCGGTCACCCGCACTTCCTCACCTCTAAGATACGAGCTGCTGGTGCTGGGCGACAATGTTGCCTGCGGGGTCAACGGCAGCTTTGTTTTTGTCATGTCGGCGCCGGCGCTCTCAACTCTGCAGATTCCTACCATCTCTCGCTCTCGTCGCTTTTCATAATGTTTTAGTCATCAGCCAGGATACAAAACTGTTTCCCCTTACGTGAAGGATGATTTCAGTTGTACAAGAAGATCTCGTGATTTTTATATGACAGTAAAATGGGAGTTTGGTCTTGTATCTAGTATGAAACTAACAAAAGAGGAATTTTATTATAGAACGAATAGTACTCGAGAGAGCAACACAAGAAGTGTCATTGTGAGAGTGGTGGAGGGATGAGAGAGGGAGCAGGAGGGAGGCAACCTGGACCCGCGTAGTGAAAGTCGACTCACTGGCCGCCCGACCGAGCCACAACACCCAGCTCCTCCACACTCGCTGCGTCCCTCGCTACTCTCACTCGCTTCTCTCACTCTCACGCTCAAGGTAAGTCAATACTTCTCACTTTACTCCTGTGACGGGGCCACCACGCGTCTCTTGTGAACCACGATGATGCGTGGGAGGCGACATAATTCATGGCTAGTGATTTGTGAACTCCATTTTGGTCGAGGACCCTCAGCATAATCTCAACTAAACTGGAATTTGGGTTGAATTCCTAATTATAGATATTTTTATTGTCAAGTTTAGTACGATTTTAAGATGCATTTTATAAGCTATACAGCTGAAGTTTGTGGCATGTGAGCAAAGTAGTTGAGCGAACGAGAGAAAATGACGAATCGAGCATCTGAACAGCCAGGATTCACGGCTACAAGTGGAACGTGAAATCCGGCTCCCGTAGACTTGTGGTGTAGCTGATCAATACCTGCCCTCCTACATCTCTTGGACTAACACGCTCACAAATCACTCATAGGAGAGGAGCGGCTCGAGTACTCTACCCCAGCAAGGTGAACTATTAGTATTTTTGTGTGACGAATGCCGCTTTGTGCTGTAGAATAATTTTGAAACAAGAAAATTAACCACAAATTTATTTCCTTTCTGTCAATAAACTAAATTACTCTACTGATTTTTTTACCGTAATTTATTCTCTGTTTGAATATAAATCAACTTCAGAAACTATTAGTGTCGGATACTAATACAGTTTCTCCCGTTAACAATACACACAGCCTAGTCAAGTGTCTTCGCTCGGTACCTTGTTAAGTCCCGATGCACAAAGGTTCTAACAATGTATTTTTCCTCGTAAATGAAACCATGGGAATAATTCTTATCTAACCTAACTTTAACTTCAGCGAAAACGCAAAAAAAAACCCACTAAAATACCATCACTCATTTAGTAACTCCAAGAATAAGTTACGTTTACGAAGTTTAAATTACAAAACAAAATCAAGGTACTGTACATAATATTATCCAAAAGAATATGTATTTTAATTTCTTCTGGTTTGGTAGCTTTTTATGTTATTTTTGTGTTTTAACTTAAGTCAAACAGTTAGGTGCATTCTTGCTTTTTCAGTTACGAGGAAAATTGATCATTCGGATCTTGGTGACGGCGGCGGGCTCTTGGGCGACAAAACATTCTAGATTCTACCACGAAGTTATTTTAGGTTCGGTGTCTGGTTTATCTCTTAGCTGTGGTGGGTGGTGAAAATTTGTGGTCATGAAACGTCGACCTAATTCTGTTTAGAATGAAAGTTCAGTAAAGATATTCCTCAAGTTGCTGTTAAGGCTCCGACTGACAGACACACACACACTGGCTTTTCATGTTTTAATTTGAATAAACTGTCAAATTCCTTGTAGGTAGATTACGTGTGAGAGCGTCAAGTAGGATGAGTGTATGTGTGAAATAAACAAGTTGACGTCACGCCATCCACATTACCTCGTAACATTCCTACTCGTGGACCACATCACCTCTACTGTGGATACTCTGCGACTATAAGCCATCTCCCCTCGCTCTTTCTTTCTCAACTGCTTCAAGTGAATAATTAAAGGTACTTAGGATGAAAAGGAAGACTCGGTGTCCTTGGACAATGCATTTGATATCTATTGGTTGAGTGATGGTGTTTGTGTGTGCGGTGTGTGCCTGTATGTGCCAATGCCGCCGTATAAAATTTATTCTCCCCCAGTTTCCGAGGGTTTCAGTGCCAGGATTTACCGTGACTGCACTTCGTGTGTGTGCAATCCCAGCATGAAATATATATATATTCAGGTAAAATCGTCATTCAAGTTCACATTTATTCAGCATGTACATAGATAGTGAAAGTATACTAACAATGTAATTAGACAGTTAAAGTATACAAATAACACCTATAAATAGTACAGATAAACAAACCATGTACAGACACTGCAAGTATACAAACAATATAACCACATGGCATATACTGTATAATGTACAAGCATACAAATAATATACATATATACTGCAGATATACAAACAATGGTTAACAAGTCAAATCAACACAGAAAGCCACTACATGATTATTTCCAGTAGGGAGGGAGAGTTAGGGTACCTCGCTAGTGCGTGTAATCATATAGCCACAATATTAATAACAAGTCACAAGTACACACACACACGTATTAATAACTCCTATGCTCCTCTCACATTATCTGACAGGAAGCTCCTCTCACATTATCTGTCAGGAAGCACTAGTCATCTTATGTTTGAGGACTGCAACACTACCACAGTACAGTCCCGTTCTCACTACCTACCACACACACCATGCAAGAGGTAATTACTATATGTTATTGTATATTTTTACTTTATATTAAGACAAAAATTAAGTGTGTGTGTGTGTGTGGTCATAATGTAAAAAAAATTGTTTTGCATCCCCACTGCGTGAAGTTTTCGTCCGCTGCCGTTAGAGTGACGACCACTTGTTCCCGCCACCTAATCTAATTTTCCTGGGTTGACTCTCTGCCTTCGTCTTGTCTTTGTCGTCGCATCTTCCTCGTGGGTCTTGTTTCACCCCCAAAATTCATTACCAAATCCACAGTCCTTCATAATCTTTAGATGATCTTTGCTTGCCATCTTAAAGTTACCTATTATCGTAACTGTTAATCTAGTATGTTGAATAGCAGAACGATAGAAATAATGTAAGAAATTTAGTTGGGGACTTATATTTATATGTTGCATTTAATTTAGGTTATATTTAAAGTAATATTTAATAGATACCTGAATTGTAAATAATTAGTACTCCTGATTTAAATAATAGTTTTGCGCTAGTCAATTTCATTTTCAATTGTTTATTCCTTGATAGAGGAAGCGGGATCCTAGTGCTGTCACTTGGTACCCCTGTACAATGACACCAGAAGCATCTGGCAAGTGTGACATGTATATACAGTATAAATATTATAAAGGGGCTTACTAAAGCCTAAGGAAGGAAGCATATTCCTTTAACACATAATCAATGTTATTTACAAAATATCTGGCCAATATGGGGAGGATCATCGTGTCTCCGTCAGGGGGTCGTGGAGTGGTGGTCCAGCAGGCGTCACGGAAGCGTTGTGTGTGGGTACATCTTAGGAGGTAGTGGATAAGGGTGCTGCTGTCGGGTCTTCTGCATAATGCACAAGAACGTTGCTCAGGGGATGCGGGGATACCAATCTCCCAAGCAAAGTCATACCCAATGATGCGCTAGTCTACATTCATTTGTCTGCGCGCGCATCCTACCAGCTACTGTTGAAATGTCAAATTTTCTGCCATCATTCGTCAGTTCCTTAACGATCCTGACCAGAGAAATACAACAATCACCTTCAGTAAAAACCGGCGATCATGGAGGGGCTCACCAGCTAAGCTCCACCGTTAATTCCTGAACTCCATCCACATCAGCATACCCTGAGTATTAGTTTATATTGTAGGATATCCTAATTTTATACTTTACTTAATCTAAACTCCGACGTTGCCACTTAAAGTAATCACCCATTTCTAGTGTCGATTTAATTCTTGTCCTGATATCAACCAATTCAGGACACTTTCTCACCATGAACTATTTTAAGTATGTCATTACTGCACCTATAAGCGTGCATGTAATCAACTCGGTGACAGGAGATGCTTGTAGTGTCACATTAGTTCCACAGTGACTTGAAACTTGGGTATAAACACAACGGGAGAGCAGTAGTGATGTATAACACTGGACAATGGTTACCTCCTGAGCATGTGTTACGTTTAATAAACTAAATAAAATTATAAAGGAACTCCTACGACCCGGTAATGAAAGGTTCGCACGTAATTATTTCAATGACAGAATTATCTAACCTAAATACACGAATGTTTGATCTTATAATTATTCAAAATATTAAAGATACAGTGGAAGTCAAGTAACATACATGAAATACTGAATCGTGAGTGTGGATTCAGTTCCATCTTGTTGAAGAAAGTAAACGCAAAAGAGATAAATGTTAACAGTTTATATGTCGGACGTGACTCACATCTGATCTGGGGAGCGAACCCTGAACACAATAGTGAGTCAAGTACACTTCAGTCTTGCTATACCACCAACATCCCCGTTGTGTATTACTTTATGTATCTGCAAATGCTTTTATAACATAGTGGACCAGTTTTCATAAGAGTTTGGACTATATCCGTAATCTTAGTAAATATACTATATAAATTTTTGCTTCTAAGTCGAGGAAATCGTCAAATATGTAAATGAGAATGTGACGTCATGCTCTACCCCTCAAATTTTTTGCTGTACAGTTGGCCATAGACTTCAATACCGTGTAACCAGTGGGGTTCCCCAGGGGTCAGTACTTGGCCCACTCGTGTTCATAATCTACATAAACGATCTAGATACTGGGATCAGCAGTGACATAAGCAAGTTTGCGGATGACACCAAAATAGGGCGGCAAATTAATTCAGGACAGGATGCAAATGCATTACAGGAGGATCTAAATAAACTGCAAGGGTGGTCTGAAAAATGGCAAATGGAATTCAACACCAGCAAGTGCAGCGTACTTAATATTGGAAGAACAAATACTTATAATGTATACAGCCTTAACAACAACCTAGAGAAGTCGACTTGTGAAAGAGACCTAGGGGTACTTGTAAGCCCGGACCTATTGCCTAGAAAACAGTGCGTTAATGTTCGAAATAAGGCAAACAGAGTATTGGGTTTTATATCTAGAAGTGTAAGTAACAAGAGTGCAGAGGTCTTATTGCAACTATATCTTGCGCTAGTCAGGCCGCACCTCGATTATGCGGTTCAGTTCTGGTGCCCCATTATAGAATGGGTATAAATTCACTAGAGTCGGTGCAGCGAAGAACGACAAAAATGATTCCGGGACTTAGAAACCTTCCATATCAGGATAGGTTAAGGAAACTTAACTTGCATTCCCTAGAAAGACGAAGAGTGCGGGGAGGTATGATAGAAGTATTTAAGTGGGTGAAAGGAATCAATAAAGGGGATATAGATAAAGTTCTTATAATATCCGAACAGGATAGGACTCGGAGCAACGGATTCAAGTTGGATAAGTTTAGGTTTAGGAGGGAGCTAGGA